GGAAAGCCATTAGCATCCTTCAAAATATTTTGTGAAAGGTGTTTTAAAAGGCATATAATGTTGATTAAAATCATTCATATTTCCTATTATCATGGGAGATTTCATGTTCTTGATGTGGAATTCATGAAAAGTCAGAAATCAAAATAAGGCTACAAATGGCTCTCCATAATATTTAAGTCCAACTTAGAATTAAAGATGAACTCCAGGGTACCGTCTTACAAAGAGTTGATATTGATCCGAATCAATATCAAGTCCCTAAATCAATCACAAGTTTGCAGTCTCCTATCTCTTATGTACATAGTTGTGATTGATATCAATCACAAATGAGTTGTGAGTGATATCAACTCTTTGTAATACAAGGCCCTGTTCTGGTAAAAAAAAAAAGAGCAAATTAATTCTCACAGAATCAAACGAAACTTACACTGAATGTTCAAGATTACAAATAAATGACATGTGCCAAACAATTTTGGAAGAAAATGTATACTGGCTGAGTAATGAGCATAGAAAGACAAGGAAATCAAGGTAGTACTAGCCCCGACACCATGTGTGTTGTCCCATATATAGCTTTCTGTGTACAGTGCTTGTTACTTTACCAAGGCTCGGTCAAATTTATTATGATTTTGATGACTCCAGAACCTTGCAGTGCACACCAATACTTACATGCTACATGATCAACTGTTTCTGATCCTTTCCACACCTTTTCTTTCACAATGCAATCGCCTTACCGGTACTAAAGTTTATCTTTAAGTTGGACTTCGAATCTTTGTGAAACACAGCCCTGGTTTCTTATTATAGGGCTTTTTCATCACATGAACTGAACAAAGCGCTTACCCCGGTCATTGGATAACAATATTACTCTTCTGCACATTCTCCACTCCCTGAGGAGTATTCCACCTAGTCGCCATTTTACGGGCGCGCACATGCCAACCCAAAGAGAGTAGCATGTCTGGAAAGTGTAAGGGTGTTATGGTCTAGTTGATAAGTCACCCGACTGCAGATCACAAGGTACGGGGTTCCAATCCCAGACCGGCAAACATCCTTCGGCAAGACGTCAATCGACATCCTAACGGGTAACAGGTAGTATTTTAGAAATGTCTTTTAGTACTTATGTTTTATTTCTCCAAATGTGTAATACAAACAAAAACATACAATTGAATATAATTAATACAACTTTTCCATATTAATTGCTTATACATAAACATGATTAAACAACAACTCATTTGCAGTATATATAACTGAGCAACAAAGTAAACTTAAAGTACATAAATATAATTTAAAGTCAATACATTATACATATTCACTTATAACAAAATAAACCTTAACAAATCTGGAAGTTGGATGCGAACATTATTGTAATTGCTTAGCATTGTGAGCTTCTGTAAAATGACGCCTGGCTGGAATGCTCCCCAGGGAGTGGAGAATGTGCATACTTTGTGAGCGGGCAAGCCTGAACACGATAACCGGGGTAATAATGTGTTTGTAAAGCGCTTAGAGACATCGTTGATGTATTGAAGCGCTTTATAAAAGCGGTATGTTATTATTATTCTCATCAAAATATGACTTAAAGATATGGAAACTGAAGAAATACATAAGCAAATTTAGAGAAGAATGAATTATAAAGGCCCACGAGACTGACAACTGTCTCGTAGGCTAATTTCTGCTAGTAACAGCCCCCTCCTCCCCTCGATCCTCCTCCCCTATTAATAAATAATTGTCAGAATGCCCACTAATCAAACTTGCCAGTTTTGTAAAACCTCACTATAGTTGTCAGCTAGAAGTCCTCGCTAGTCAGGCCTATATTTGCAGCATTTAAAGTGAAAAGTATTAAGGGAGGTGGGGGTTGTGTGTCCGGAAGCTCCACAACTTTTGCCTTAATATTTCATAGAAAAGCATGCAGGTTTGCATTACATAACACTAACTATCACAAATATTTATATCTTATGATATTTTATATCGTAATAACACTAACTATCACAAATATTTATCTTTTATGATATTTTCAACGTAATTCTTACAATATATGAATATAATATTGCATGTATACACAACCTGAAAGGCGAGCACATTTTTACTTTTGATTACATGCCTATTCAACACTAGCTGGCGCTATTCACTTTTCATTACAAAGAGATTCGATCATAGTATCTTCCAATAGGTTGTACACATGACTTGTATTTGCAATATTTGGGGAATCAAGATTAAAATACGTGCATTCAAAATACTTATTATGTACTTTAGTCTCCGATTTCTGCCTCATAAATGTCTAATTGTAAGAGACAAAATTAAATTAATAAATTAATACATTTTTAAAAAATTATTTTTAAAAATGAAATTAAAAAAAAGTTGGAAAAACGGAAATCGGGATGAAGAGATCAGGGGCGGCGGAGCGACTTCAAAGTGGGGTAGGGCCTTAAAAAGGGGCATTTTCTGGAAAAGGGCACCTTCAAAGGGAAATCTCAACGCTAAAATATGCAATTTTTTGACAATGGTAATACACCTATATTGACGGTAATTACATTTTCAATGATACTTTTAATGTTTGTTTCTCATTATACATCATACACGATATTGGCTAAGCATCATAATTTGTAGCTGGATGTGATGGCCTGAATATTTATTTGCAAGCGAGCGAAGCGGGCAATGACACACCCAAGATCTGTGAGGTCGCAGTGCAATTAATTAAATCTTCTAAAGAGGGAAATACCCACCCTAATGGGGTTATAATCACATTCTCCTAACAGAAGATTGAAAAAACCTTTGATAAGTAATACATTTATATCATTTATGAATGCTAGTGAGCGTTGCAACCGAGCTTTTAGGAGAATTGCTCTTATGTCGCTTTAATTAGGGGCACGTTTAATAATGAGAGAAAAAGGGGACACTTATCGAAAGGGATAAGACACTTATTAGAAGAAAAAAATGAGCACGTGTCAAAGTACAAAGGGTAATTGTCAAAGGTGTAAATGGGACAGAAAAGAGGCACTCACATGAAATGAAAAAAGGCACTTATGACAATAATAGCCTAAATGAGCATTTACCAACGGAGAAGGGGCATCATATTTTGACATGGGGATTTAAAAGAGGAAAAGGGGCATCAATGAAAAGGGGATAGTTCCCTTACTAGAAATGAAATGGAGCACTTTAATTGCTAAAAGGGAAATTATCAGAGGTGAAAAAGGGCACTTATATTGCACCTAATATTTGCACTGACGAGATTTCCTTTCTCACTTATTTTTGTCATTGTCTACTCTGTATTATGACCGTGTTCTTCTATCTTTGTCGTGTAAAGCATTGTCTTGTCCCTTTCTCGTCTCTGTTGGCACCCCCTTTTTCTTTTCCCTATTTTGTAGTTCCTTCTGTAGTTACGGATTAGTTGATTTAATTACACATTATTCCTAATTTGAGGTGTTCACACTTGTACAAACATTGCTTTTTAGTAGACCCCTCTGTTTCCAAGGTGTATTTCTTACATTTGTTTTAAATGCTTATAATTAATTTGTAATGTTTTGTTGGAAACATGAATAAATTTGAAATTGAAATTGAAATTGATTTTTAGGGGGGCACTTGTGAGAATGAAAAAAGGGCACTCATAATAAAGGAAAATTTGCATTTGTTGAAAGAAATGGGGCACCGATCATATTTGAATAGGGGCATTTATCGGAGGTGAAGGGGTCTTTTATGAGAAGGGGGAAGCTTGGCTCTTATTAAAAAGAAAAAGAGGCCCATCATCAGAGATGAAAAGGGGGGTAATTGTGAGAAGGAGAAGGGGCACTTATAAACAAATGAAAAGAGCGCTCATTTGGAGGGGAAGGGGCACTCCCATATTTGAATAGGGGTAACTATCGGAGGTGATCGACGAAGGTGACGTGGCACTTATTAGAAGTGCACAGGAGTAACTTCTCGCATCTGAAAAGGGTCATTTACCAGAGATGAAAAGGGACACTTATGAGAATAAAATGGGACACTTTTTAAAGGTGCAAAAGGGCGGTTATGAAAAGGGAAAAGGGGCTCTTTTTCAATGGGGCACGTATCATAAGGAAAAGGGGCACCTATTAGAGAGAAAAAGGGGTAGGCCTACATGTGAAAAAAGGGGTAGTCATTAAAAAGGAATGGGGCGCTTCTTACAAAGGAAAATGGGCACTTGTCACCTAGTAAAAGGGGCACTTTAAAGATTTGGATAGGGCAATAATCAGAGGTGAAAGGGCAGTTCTTGTAGGCCTCCTGAAGATTTGGGACTCAAAATAGATTAAAAAGGGTATTTATGAGAATATATTCTTATAGTCCTATACGTAGGCCTATTCGCATGGCATATTTAAATGTATTTTCACTTTTATGATTGTTCATTATGGATATGTATGCATTGTATACTTCCTTATAGAAATTGTATTTTCTTAGTTCTCATCGCCCTCGTCATTTGCCTGTCATATTGGCAATCGAGACACACCCTCCCCCTCTTCCCTTCCCCCTCCCATTTGCACCCCCTCCAGAGGAAAATGCAAGAGGGGGGAATTCCCGCCATGAAGTCGGTTACTATCCGGCATAATTGTTAAATACTGTTTTTATCTCCAATCCATTTATATTTGGTTCTTAGAATGAGACATTTAATGTATTTTCTATAAATATAGCATGAATTGGTTTGTTAGCTCAGTATTATTGGCAAGAAAATCATGATTTTAAGTGTTTCACCACACAAATACACAATTTGCAGCATATGGGACCGAATAACTAAAAACAGTTTTTGAACGAGCCTGTCAATAACGTCACCACACCCATGGCGATTTACCCAAAACCTGTAGAAGTATTCATGTTCTTTTATTCATTTAATGAATTACCATTTATTAGTACGATTGGTATAAAGTTATTAGTACAATAATACAGTTGTAGTTGTAATACGTATTGAAACATTTAGTTTAAGACACATAATATCGAATATAATCTTGCTAAACAAGAACTTGATTTTTAATCGCTCAAAGGTAATGCATTGTAATGCGGTTTCACTTGACCGCGTACTGCACTATTACAGCAATCAATCTACCACTTCCCGTGGATTCTATGGAAGTGTAAAATACATCTTTTCACCAACGGCGCTTGTCTATCACCGTCAAAATGTTGCGTTTAACGCCATTTTAGGTAAATTACTGTTATATTTTGTTAGTATGAAGTGTTAAATATGTGCTAGTGATTGAATTATGGACTTTTTACTCCCGGAAGTCTGATATGCCGTGCATGTTTCATGTGTTGTAGAGTCTGCACAACCGGTGACTTATGCGCGCCACACAAATCATTGAACCGAACGAACAAGCCGATTGACAGTGTGTGTAGCGCGGCGAGGCCGGGGGGATGGATAGATAATGACTGAAAACGTACGAAGAAACGTGGGGTCAAAACAGAAAGCTAACTTATTAAGTTATGATCTAAGCATGTGTGTTTGTGTGCAGCTCTAGACTACAAATACTAATGCATGTATCTACTAAGTAGAGTGGAAGGAAACCCTTTTGTTTTAATTTAATTTTGTTTTACCTAACTCTAGATCTAGTCTCGACTGTCTTGACCAAGTCAGAACTTGGGTTGGGAGTCGTACGTAGTTGTCATTAGGGGCGCTGGTCCGAGAATAAGGATCGTTCGCATAAAGACGCTGGCGGCTGGTCCGAGAATAAGGATCGTCCGCGCAAAGAAGGATCGTCTTTGTAAATGCGGACTAGCTAATGATGCGGACAGGTGCATCCAAAAAAACAAGGATCATCCACATTTTGGCAGATGTTTATATTTCTGCTCCACGCGTTGGCTATGCCAGGGAATAATTTCCAGCCAAAAATTTGCATAGCAAATCTGCTACACAAAATAATTTTTGCATAGCAGTTGGATGAACTTGTATAGCAATTTTTTTTTCATGTTATAAATTACAGTGCAAAAACAATGACGTCACAACATCTGGTCATGAATGCATACTTACTACATTTTATGTACATTGATTCTGGTGTAATCTCCCAGCACTTTCTTCATACTCGATCCATTCCCTTTTCTGGTCTAAATCCTTAATCCAACCTTCCACAGTAACTACACGAATTGACACCATGTTTTGAAAATGACAAAAATATCGGTCCAACAATAAATCCAGAGACGAGTCGAGTCTTAAATCCAAATAAATCCAGTAACTTTGAATCGTATCGAGGGTAAACAACAACACGTAGTATTAGCTCGCACATGAGCGCGATTGAGCCTGCCCTGGATATATAATTAGTTCACCACGTGCGTGCATTGTTGTCTGCATCGCAACAACACTCACGGCTAAAAGGTGACCGTAGACACTCATCGCCGATAGTGCGCTATGTAGGTGTGTGTAGCTTCACGGTTAGAAAGTGACTGTAGTACGCTTAGCGCTCAGTGCTAGCCAGCCTGGCCTAGCCAAGCCTGCCTGGGATATATGGATCGGATATCGGAGCGTCGAGGGTGTATGTAGTTTGTGGATTGGCGGTCTGTGTATATGAATGTACGTTTCGCTTGCATCGCAGCAATTGCGATTCATGAAAAAAGATGCGTCGCAAATGGCTGAAAATACATCGCGAATTGCGATGCGATACCGGGAAAATTATTCCCTGTATGCAATAAAACAGATTCCGCGCTGATTTTCTGGATGCATTTTACATTGACTTTGTACAGAGTATAAATCCTTGTGAAGACCGACAACCCACAAAAGTAGATGTAGGGTGTCTGATCGCGCACCCGATGTTGTGTGCTAAAATTCTTCCCATAGAGATTACACGCATCCCTATGCAGTCTACGTGCATTGCGCGACCATGCAAAAAAAGTCAATTGTTTTTTTTCAAATCGAGATTCAAACCTTTATCTGTTGTGATCCTGAAGGTGATAATCAATGAATGAGGTGTCATATGAAAGAGCAGGTGAATTCCAATATTTCCAAAGGGGCATAGCCCCCGAAATTCTAAAAATATCTTGGTCAAAACAGCAATTTAAACATTGTGTCCTGGCTAACTCTGAGGTTTGTCACTTTTGAGATATGACGCCCCGATCGATAAGTAGTCCCAGTCCTAAGGAACAATTCTATGTGATTATATTTTCGCTAGCCCCCAGGGATCACAACTGATAACAGTTTCAAAATACCCTTCTCGCTATTTGGTGGATCAGCTAATTAGGGGGCGTGCGCTCCGCTCAGTCCAAACCATGGTTACATCGCGTAACATCTCCGCGCACGAACGAAAACCCAAATTCAATTACACATTATAGTGACTGAAATTATGGTTGGCAATTCCCTCGATAAACCCGGAAGTGAATACACGTTATAGTCAATGGCAATATCGCGGAGACAACGCACGTTGTCTCCGCGATATTGCCATTGACTACAACGTGTATTCACTTCCGGGTTCTACAGCGGGAATTGCCAACCATACTAGTCAATGGCACATATCGCGGAGACAGCGTGGCTCAAGCTGCAAGTCGCGCATTGGCTTAGCAACATGCGTACTATATGCATACGCTTGCATTTCGCGCGATACAGCTGTTTGTCTGAATTTAGCAAAACAACATCACTCTGCGTGGACGTCTTTTTCGTCGATTTTGACCAAAATGATATGAATATACCAGCGTTTTGGAGGGGCTGTAACTTTTGATAGAAACATTGGTGAGACTTGAAATTTGAAATGTATTATTCTGATAACATTTTTTTATTCAAATATCAAACAAAAATGGTGAAAAACGATCCCAAATTGAAAATTGAAAAATCGTTCAGACACCCTAGTAGATGATGAACTAGGGTTATTTTCTTCTGGGAATCCGTTTTCCGCATCTCCAGCGCGTGGTTTGGGAACCCGCAGAGTTCCGATAAAAGATAATGTCCACAAAAACGCGGACGATCCATTATTTGTTTGGATGCATTTTGTATACGTTTACGAGGATATCCTCGTTTGTGCGGACGATCCTCATTCTCGGACCAGCACCCCTACTGATCAACGCGGATATCCTCGAAAACGCCAACAAATCACGTCCTAAAATATAAGGATCGTCCGCATCTTTGCGAATGATCTTTATTTAGGTACGTGAAGAAAACAAATAAAATTCATTGAATCTGCATAAAAAAGTACCGTTTGAAAGAGCATGAAAAATACATCTAAGATAATACCAAGATCATCATGCATCACCCTCCAAGTAGGGCAACACATAGCGAAATAACGATAGTCTAATGTTTGAAAAAACACCCATTTTTGGTCCCCCTTAAAGGTTTACACCAGTTTTGGAAATGCCCCCCTCTCAAAAAATTAAATGGAAGCTCATAATAGTCCCATAATAGCTAGTTCTTCTATAGCGCTTTTCCGGACTGAAGGCCCTATCAAAGCGCTTTACAGATTTATATTATTACCTCGGTCATTGGATTCAGGCTTACCCGCACACAATGTATGCACATTCTCCACTCCCTTGGGAGCATTCCAGCCAGGCGTCATTTTTACAAGCGCACACTTGCTAATCTAAGCACATTAGCTTTAGCATCCTACCGGGTACCCATTTAACACCTGGGTGGAGAGTAACAAATGTAGATCAGTGTCTTGCCAAAGGACTTTAGTGCTGCGGTATACATCTTTTTGTGTACAGTACCGTACTTGTAACTTTACCATCGACTCCCGATTGTCCCACGCAAAGGACGCGGCAAAGGTCGCGGCAAAGGACGCGGTCAAAGGTGGTCTTGAGGGTTCCCTTTCTCTTTTTTACTATCCTAAAAGTGCAACGGTTATTGTTTGTTGCTACTCTCAGCTGGCCCCTCATGAAGAACCACACAAGTCAATGGAGGGTTGTGTGACAACTTGTGACTTTTTTAAACCCGCATTGGCAAGCAGCAAGATTCACAGCTGACGGCTTTGATACACACAAGAAGCAAAATTAAATGATAATCATTGAACAGTGTTTAAGACCCTTAAAATAAACGTCTAGTGAAGGAGACGGATGAACAGATCATTTAGCCTCCATGAATTTTTAAAAGAAAAGAAAGTTTTTACCCATGTACACTGTGTTTACAGTGTATGTACATATTTTGTTCAAAGACACTACATTTTATTAGAGCAACATATTATTAAAATAAAAATATTGTTATTGCCAATTTAAAGAACAAAATGTAATTAATTTAGCTCTTGTAAATCATTGTACTGAAATAGATAACTGGATTCAATTTTTCTTTGTACAAAACATGTTGCTATACTGAACATGTACAGTGTTTATAAATGCTCCTTTTGAGGACTCTTCACATACATGTAGATTGTAAACATTTCCTTACGAACGTTATTTATTCATGGCATTATATAAATTGTGGTGGGCAGCCAATGGCTGAATTGTTCATATTTTACAAGCAAATAAAAAAACATTAATTTATAAATACATTACAAATGGTCAAATTATATGTTTCAATGCAACCATGTATGGACAAAAATCTGTTCCGTCATAAATCAATAACAAAGAAAATAAAGGTTCATGACTACTCCTTTGAATAATAAAGAATAAATAAAAAATAATGGGACATGTGCATGTGTAAGCCTAAATTTTCTCCCGCCATAACATGCGTCATGTGAATACAGTAGCTTTTATGAATGGACGGCTGCTATACTGTGCATGTGGCCCTTGACACATAACCTTGTTACCTATCTAAGTTTTGTTTGTATATCCACACGTTTGAATGAATGAACTCTTCGCTTTATTAGCTTCTACTTTGAAAGGAAGCTCACCCAAGGCTTTTACTAGCCTTTATTCCAGGTGCTGGATATATTTGATGCGCATCATACATACACGTATTGCCTTTCAAAGGATGAGTAGATGTCTATAAAGTTAGTCCTTCATACATTTGCAGATTATTTTCTCTCTGAGTATAGTAGATGGCAGTGCTCAAGGATAATATGCACCTGGGACACATGGGGGACCACAATCTAATTCTTTACTCACAAAATTCTGATACTTTGATGTACCGTTAACAAATGAATTATTCATAACGTTAACAAGTTTTGTAATTTATTAAAGCTATAGTAATTTAAGATGGCGCCCATGTAAATATGATGTGAGCGCACAGCGCAGGCAGGGACGCAACAAAACATGCACATCTGAAAATATTGATGATGCAGTGTTTAAACGCATATTGAAATGGCAGCCTTAACCGTGAAGGGGTGTATAAGGGCATGCTCAACAGGGAAAAAAATAATATTTATTTTTCGGGGGCTACTTTTCAAGCTTGCCTGCATAAAAATAACACTCTAAAACTTGTTTTGCTTTGAACTCTGTGCAAATTTACGGGGGCTCTTTTCTGTTTTTCAGGGGCTCTTTTGGGCATTTCGGGGGCAAATTTGCCCTGAGCCCCCGCGTATTTATTTTTACTAATGCTGAATGTCTGTGACTGAGACTAGTCCGTAGTAATGATTCAAAGAGGGCGGGGCCCGAATGAAAGCAAATTACCCTCAATGAATAAACCACAAAGAATGCTGGTTTTTATGAAAGATTGAGTGCCTGCATTGTGCATGCTTACTCATTTGTAATACAATGGAGATTGTAGGCAATAGAGAGATTTTTCTCTTTGCAATTTGTATGCTGTAGACACCATTGCATTGTATCTATGAAGTTATCAATTTAGGGTGAGTTAAATGTACACTCTTTGCTACGATAATGTATTTGATGTATACGTGTACATGTAAGTGTACCTGTATTTATTTGACTCCTTTATTTGTGCTTATTTGAATGTGTTGAGACAAAAGCTTCTATTAAGTGTTCGGAGCCCTAAATTTTCAAAAAATTTGATGGCAAAATTTCAGTTATATTGTAGCATAATGTTCTCTCACCCCCCCCCCTCCTCTCTCTCTCTCTCTATAGTCTATATATAAAATCATGTTCTCTCACCCTCCCCCCCTCTCTCTCTCTCTCTCTCTCTCTCTCTCATGTTCTCTCACACCCCTCTTCCACCTCTCTCTTTCAGCTTGTCTTGTTCACATCGTGTCTATGCAGACAGGATACATGTTAATTCTGACACCTCATGATGAGTCTTTCTTTCTCTCTCTACCGTCATAGTGTCCTACAATTTGTACATGTAGTATCATAGTATCCTGGCCATGATCCATCACCACAACATTGATAATCATTGTGATCATTATAATAATAATAACTGCAATAATAATTTGTCGCTGTTTTCACGAAGTGACGGTAGTGAAAAATAATTGCATTCACTTTGCGTGACGATTTTCCTCACTACCGTCACTTCGTGAAAACAGGGACGAATTGTACTACAGTCAAACCTGTCTGTAAAGATGTTTCAATGATAAACTACATGTATTTTCAACGGAGACAAAACATGTGGTATTTGTAGACTGGCAGTCTTTCTATACAGGTGGTCACTCCAGCAGGTCTGACTGTATTAGTAAGGGTAGTATAGTAGTAGTAGTAGTAGTAGTAGTAGTAGTAGTAGTAGTAGTAGTAGTAGAAGTAGCAGTAGTAGTAATGATGGTGATGATAATGATTTATTTATTATTTTTGGAAAGTTTACTAGTATACATGTTTAATTATTTCTCCAATTTCTCTTTGAATTGCTGTTTGCTGTAGGTTTAGTGCTGATCAAACTGACTCGGTGTAAGGGTGTATGGTACACGGAGACCAAGGTTGAGGTACGTATAGCACACTTAAAGCCCCAGTGCACTACTAATAGCTACTTGCGCCCTCTAAAGAGCAAACAATGCCAAAGCGGTGTCCATTGGTTCCCCATGGTCCCCTTTTTCTGTAAATGTTAATTGAGAGCTGAGTTGATGAGATAACCACCTGTCAGTGACCATGCAGCGAGCTAACCTTGTACTTTGTAATAACTTTCGTAAATTTGTGTCTGAACAGAAAGGGGGCTAAGCTTAGCCTAGGACTATAGGTGGGGCTAAGACCCCCCTTTAATCTCACCTACACATTCTGATGGCAGGACGATCATGTCGTGTGTTGTGGGCTTTAGAAATCTCCACCTTGAAATAACTTGCACACCTCTACAGTGACCTATTGTTTGATTGGAACAAGAAGAGGGGTGGATGGTTCACTCTGTTTCTAAAGTAGCCCCCGAAAAATAAATATTAATTTTTTCCCTGGAACACAGAGTCTCTGTATCTAAACGGACAATGCGACGTAGAGCTTTGCATACTTGTAAAACTACACATAATGCTGGTACGTACTTTGAAATGGTATTTTAAAAATCAACAAAGCATTCAAAACTAAAGCGAAAACAGAAACTGTTAAAGGGAAATCCAACCTTGATAACAAATTACACATGTACATGTATTCTAGAAGAAAGACAGATCAGAGAACTAGACATGTGAAAGTTGAATTGATATTGGACGAGTGAGCTGCTTGCAAGAAGCTAAATGTACACTTTGCATGTACATGTACATGTATGTACCGTCGATGTCAGTCTTTTTATGACTAGCTCATGAGTTTGCCTGAATTAAGATTTTTTTTCTATTTAAAGCTTTTTACTTTTTCTTTCTTTCTTTAAAAACAAGGGGTTAGGGGATACCAATATGTATGATGAATTGATTCCAAACCGAAATGTATTCAGAACTATCTTAGTTTGAAATGTATTAGCTACCTGTACATACATGTACATTGTACATTGACACTTGTATTGTATCCAGCCATGTGAGATAATTATGTAATCTAATATTAATTGCTGGAGTAATAATTTGTTTATCTTTTACCAACAGGTCTGAAGCATCTTTCCTGAAGAAAGGGAAACATTGAAAAGAGATTTACGGTGGAAAATAGTTGAGCGCCACGGACCAAGCAGGCCCAGGGCTGTAGGTAGCTAGACTGTGAAAGGGGGAGTCTGGACTCCCACAAAACACTGTAACACCTACATGAAAGAGAGTAGAAGGGACCAGAGGCGATCGTGACATTCCTAAGAGGATTTGAAGGAGAGACTTTGACGTTGTTTGATACGCAGAAAGGAGAAAAAAAGACTCTTTAACGATGGGGAAGGTACTATCAAAGATCTTCGGAAAGAAGGACATGAGAATTCTCATGCTGGGCTTGGATGCAGCCGGCAAGACAAGTATCCTTTTCACAAAATACACTCAATTTATTTCATTATTTTTACAGCGAGACTGCACACTTGTAGGCAGCTTCTTCTTCTTCCATTTTGAGTACATGCCTCTTTACAGAGTATTGTCGTACTATACTGGTGTGTGCAGGTGGACCACTACACCGGGGTTTCCCCCCTACTCTTATACAAATAGTGCAGTGGGTTCTTAACGTGCAAAGGTAGTAACTCTTCTCTACACAGGGCCTCCATTTAACATCTTATCCGAGGGACAGAGCGTTTTCCACTTAACATAGCCTGTGTCTATGAACAAGGGGAGGGGCACATTAACACACAATGCAGGCTTCAATCATCCCCCTCAAAACAGCCAACAATGCCTTAGCGGTACCTGTTGATCCCCCATGGTCCCCTTTTTCTTATATCCCTCCTTGATCAACTAGTGCAGATATGGTTTAATTAATTTTGATTATTTAATTTTGAAGGGAAAATTTCAGATCAAAATACTGTATTTTAAAGTGGTTTTCTCTCAATGATCAATAATTTAGTTTTTGAAAACAATAGAGGGGGTTAGTAAAACACTACCTGTTACCTATTTCAAATCAAAAGAAAAATTGACAATGATTTTGCTAATCATGAATATTTTGCTACCATGCTTTTAGGAAAGATTTCAATCATGTTTGTTTTACAACAACATTTTCGCCCTTTTACAAGTTTTGAGATTTTTGCCGCGTAAATCCATGCAACACCCCTTTAAAAGACCAGATGCACTAGTTTGGCCAGGAGGGATTAGACCTCACTGCATGGTCACTGGCAGGTGGTTATCTCATCAAATCAGCTCTCAGTTAACTAATGAAAAAGAGGGCGCAAGTACATGTGTAGGTATAAGTAGTGCAATGAGCCTTTAAATAGCCTCTAAACTACATGCACAATGTTGCTAGCATGCTACGCCGTTGGGCACATGTCAATTATTTGTTATCTTGATCACTCACTGTAAGTTTCATTGGATTCTGTGAGATTCTATTTTCTATATATTTACCAGAACTCAAGATTATATTGTTTATACAGTATACAGTACATGTATGACTGTGTATTGAGCACTTCCCTACTATGATAGCATGCGTCAGTCATGCATGCAATCATAGTGTACTGAATGAACTAGGGTGTCCTTACTGTGTGAAGTACTATGCATCATGGATAAGACAGTTCCTCATTTTCCTGCAGTAATTAACACAGGAGATTCAATTAGGCATGAGTAGGGCTATCCCCCTTTGTAGTGTTCTAGGCTCGGTGTGTATGCAGTACTCAGGGGTTTGGTGTCGGCACTCTGGTACATGTGGCTGCTATGCAGTATGTAGAAGAGAGTTTTAATACATGCACATGTACATGTATGTGGGGAAAGAAAGCTACTTCTACATGTATCTTTACTTGTGTGTGATGCATGGAGAGAGAGAGAGAGAGAGAGAGAGAGAGAAAGAAAAAAAGAGAGAGAGAGATAGATAGAGAGAGGAAAGGGGGGGGGGGGAGATAGAGAGAGGGGGAGATAAAGAAAGATAGATATAGAGAAAAAGATGTAGAGCGGGGGAGATAGAGAGAGAGATAGAGAGAGAGATAGAGAGAGAAAGAGAAATATAGATAGAGAGAGGGGGATGGGGGGGGGGGGGGGAGAAGGGGAGCGAGGGAAGGGGTGGGAGAGACAGACAGACAGAGAGAATAATAATATTATTTCCAGAGTAATTATTTCTGTATGCACATTCCCTTATGCACAGTATGTATTAGTGATCGCTTGACGATTCATATGGCATCATTTAATCTCTTTTTTCCTTCTAAAAAGATAGGGAAATCTGACCTTTGAGTTTTACCTGTACATGTACATGTATGTACGTGTACTGTGTACATTGTATAGACTATGAAGGTGAGTGTTAGAGAGAGAAAGAGAGAGAGAGGGGGGGGGGGGGAAGACACACAGACAGACAGATAGAGAAAGAGAGAGAGATAGAGACAAAGACGGATAGACCGAGAAGGGGGGGGGGGGGGGGGGAGGGTGACGAGACAAATAATGAGAAAACCAGAGAAGGATCGTTTGAAAACGAGTTTGAGAGAGGATAAAGAAAGATAGACAGACATGAGTGGGGGGGGGGGGTGAAAGTGAGGGTGGTGGAGTGAGAGATAGAGGAAGAAGACAATAATTACAAGGAAAACCAGAGGGAGATTGTTTGAGAAGGAGTTTGAGAGAGAAAGAGAGGGAATGAGAATAGGGATGGGCAAAAATGAGCACTTGAAAGAAAGAAAGAGAGAGAGAGAGAGAGAGAGAGAGAGGGTGCAGTGTCAAGAGAAGGAGAGAACCAAGAAATGGAATTGGGGGAGGGGGTTTAGAATTCAAATATTGAGCAGTAGAGAAACTGTTAGACAAGAAAAGAGGGGGAGTGAGAAAGAGTGAGAAAGGCAGAGGTGAGATAGCGAGAGAGAGAGAGAGACAGACCGACAGGGAGTTTGAGAGAAAGAGAATGAGAGGGAGTGACTGAGTTGGAGAGAGTAGGAAGGAAGTGGGTGAGAACACACTTGAGAAGGAAGGAAATGAAGCAAATAGAGTACATATTACCGTGTCAAGTGTTCATGACCGACCGTACTTCATTATGAATGCAGTCTTTATGACCTTGTTCACACTCACAAAATTCATCATCAAACTTTATGTACATGTACATGTACATTGTTCATGAAAACCATAGAAATACGTGTACGATTATTATTATTTTGTGTACCGGTAAGTACCTGCTTAAGTGACGACATGTATAGCAAGAGCACAAAAGATGGTCTTTGTAGACAGGTTACATGTTTCAATGAGAAAAACATTTTCAAGGGAAACTAAAAATGTCTTGGTAGTCAGGTGGTCCTTGTAGACAGAATATTATCTTTTTTTAACAATTAACCTGTACTTGGCAGTACTTATGACACTCATCCAAACTCTATCATTCTTTCTATTTTTTTTTGTGCGCCTCGAAGTAGCATTGTCTAGATACATGTAGACGGCGCTATATAAATGCCTATTATTATTATCATTATTATGGTCAATAAAGCAGGTTTGATTTTTTTAAGAAAAGCGCAGTAAACTTGGTAAGGCTTGTTCGGGTATGGAGCTGTAAACCATGCACAGACGTACCTCAAGATTTCCATATTTAAATCAAAATTGTCTTCATGAAACAGCACAAGTTTGCAAGGCACATTGAACAGTGCTCTGTCTAGTTGAGTGAGTCACAGCCTATTTTTAACAATTACAAATAAAGGCACATGTATGGTTTTATGGATGTTTTAATGGGAAGTCCCTCCCAGCTTGCCAACATTGCCAGCTTCCCTGTTTAAATGCAATAGAGTGTGTTTACACAACTAGAAATATTCAAACAAACATGTTGAGAGTTGTGAAGTACACTGTATATCAGGTAAATGTAGATTTGCTACAAACTCACTGATAATGTACATTACATACAAGTACATTGTAAATGTAGTTAGTTGTACTGGACAAAAATGACAGTGTGTGTATTTGAAATCTATTTATGAAAGTAAATTTGTCTTACATTTGTCCATGTTGATAAACAAAATGTGCTCCGTTTCCTGCTAGAGAATCGAAGAGTCATTGTATGTTTCTACAATGTCATTTATAAATGTTTTCAAGTCTGCTATTTTTGTCAAGTTAATGCGGGGTTCAGGTTCCATGCTGCATTGGTGTAGATACAATGTGCAAGTATGGGCAAAAGGGCACCCCCCAAAAAATATAAAAAGGGGAGAGGGATGGCTGAAATTAACGAAGCTTGTACAGAGTGTGGTGTAGTGCCCTTTTACAGTACATGTCAAGGAATGAGCTCTTTAAGTGGTCATGGTGCTTCACTGTTTAAGACTCTATCAAGAGAGGAAATTGAAGATTTAGCTTAACGTGAAGTTGTCATATTCTAAGCTACTCAAAAGAGATGATCACAATGACTCACTTATCTTATACATCAGATCAGGTCTGCATAGTTAAGTGATTAGTACGTGTAGTACAGTACATGATTAATATGTGCACAGTACAATGTACATCGCAATGTACATCACTTGGCTTTCAATAGATAAATGAGTTCTAGATGAGTTATCAATAACATGTTACAATATTAATCTGTTATTTATAATAAGGCTGTGCACAACAGTGCAATGAGGTACCGAGTACACTCCCAGGCTTACACTCGAATATTCGGAGCCCATGTTTTTATATAATTTTTTTTGCCACCACCATACCACTGGAGCAGTATTCCAAGTCCATCGCGGAAAACGCATGCAATTTTACTTCGAGTTGCAGTTGAAGGTGCTGATTTAATAATAATAATAACAGTAAACAATGCTGTTTTAAAAACCAAAGATGGCAGAATGATCCATTTTCCTTCGAGTCCAAACAGAAATCCGGACATTTGGTCCCAGTTTCTGAATGGTGAGTTTGACAGTGCTTGAGTTGGGGAACATTTTTACCGACGGTACCATGCCAGCGGCAGGCGCTCTCCCTGGCACGGCTAAGCGTCGGCCTGGACAGTGCCAGGTGACGGGGATTTATTTATTTATTTGTATTTTATTTATTTTTAATTTTTTTTTTTTGCGGCCGAATATTCGAGTACGAGAAATCGTACTCGAGTAGTTTTCAACCGTGCAGGTACTCAAGCATTCGACTACTCGTCGCAGCCCTAATTTATAAGCTACTGAAATCATGGCAGTTGATTGGCTGAGAGCAAATTTGTCATAGATATTTAGCATTTGTTATTGATAACAAGTTTTATGTGATATACATGTTGTATACACAAGTACACGTACTGTACATTGTACATGTATACATCACATAATAATGTACTATGAGTACTGAGCCCTGTTTTGTAAAACAAGTGGACAGAAAGTATTTTGTACATTGTCTACAGTGTGTACAATGTGCATGTACTGTACATCTAACATTGTCAGAATGTGGTTTACTCCTTGCAACTATTCAATAGATTTGTAACCTGCGTGTAAATTAATTTGTGAAATAACGACTGAAATTCATCCATTTAACGATGCTTAGTACAGTACTTTCCTGCTCTAGTTTCAGTTGCGTACTACCTTCAATAATGGCATTGCACTTGCGCACGTTACACACTTTCAAAGCATGTGAACAAATATGTACTGTATGCGTTATCTACAGTTGTGCTCAAAATTGATTAAGCTCATGAGTGTAATATTTCACACTGTTTGTAGCTAACATCAGATTTGTTATAGCAACAAATAAGCAAACAATAAACAGGAAGTACCAATGATACATGTAGCTTTTTACTAATGAAGAATTTAGAAAATGTATGTTGTTTTCCATAAGGTGCACTTGCACATGTGATAGTTAACAAACTTTCAAAGCATGTGTACACTACAGTTGTGCTCAAAATTAATTAAGCTCATGAGTCCAATATTTCCTAATGATTGTAGTCATTGTAACATCAGAATTGTTATAGCAACAAATAGGCAACAGATATGCAGGAAGTACTAATAATAGCTTTTACTAATAAATGAAGAATTTAGAAAAGTACCGGAATGTTATTTTCCATAGGGTATGGATAATTATGAATACAACTGTACAAGTACCGTATGTAACGTACTGTACGCACGCTGAGTATAAGAACATGTTGAGCTGTTGATGAACAAGTTTACAAATTAACTGTGAAGTGTACGATGTACATGTACAATGTACATGTACAGGGGGAAAATACAGACCTGGGGGGGGGGGGGGTGTTTCACAAAGATCCTAAGTAGAACTTAACAATAAGTTGGACTTAAAAATTATGGACAGCCATTGGAGCCTTAAAATGAAATATATTCAAAAGCAGATATTCAAGTATTTTAGACTTTTTATGAATTCCACATCTAGAACATGAAGTCTCCTTGATGATAGAAACTATGAATGATTTAAATCAACATTTTATGCCTTTCAAAATAACTTTTACAAAATATTTTCAAAGATGCTAATGGCTTTCCATAAATTTTAAGTCCAACTTAGAATTAAGTTCGACCAGGGACGTGATAGAGAAGGACTGGAATAAAGCCGCTCTCCTTTGACCCCATGCTCCAAGCCGCCGAAAAGTTATGCGCTAATCTGCAACTGTTGACCAGGTGGTGAGATAAAAGAGCGCATGAAATTTCAGGAGTTAGAATTCCTACATCAGGAAATGGTATCACTGCAACTGTTCGCTGTCCCTTCCAATGATTTCTCATCCATTGTTGAATGTGTAAAGAGTAGAACAAGCGAACACAAACTTGTGTACTTTCATCCTTTTTTAAACTTGAAAAATACAAAAAACACGCGAAAACACGCATTAGCAAACTTAATGTTATTGAAGATTGTAAACCATGGATCAAATAACGGGACATTAAAGCATGCACAAATTAGCGCATCATCCTAAAATATTGAGTTTTTGACAGGATGTAATTTTTCTTTTACCATCTCTGGCACACAAATTAAAGGAAGGACGGAGTTTTAAATTTGAAAATTTGTTTGATGCACTATTCCCAATAAAATCCCCATATAAAGTGTTTGATTTACACTGAAATTTTGCCGGTAATTTAATATTTTGTAATAAATGTAAAACTGGTGCCTGGCTTCCGAAAGTCCCCGCAGTGGAAGCGCGGTTCGGAGCATGGAACTTCAAAGCCAAGTGGAATGTTACACATCCCATTGTTACGCTTTAGAACTCAAGAATGCGTTTGAATAAATTACAAGAGTTTCGCCTCCTTTTCTTTCACCTCCCTGGTTCGACTTAGGATCTTTGTGAAACACCCCCCTGTACATGTATGTAGATTAAGGTTACAGTTAACACCTGAAATATTCATACCCCTTGTTGATTTGATTTAAAAAATCAATTATTTTTAAAATGCAAGATTGAAGAGTTGAACTACATGTAGTTGAATTTGGGCCTTTGTTGAAAATGAATCGGGACAAATCAATTTTTAACATATTTTAAACATTACAAAACTTAAGGGTATGAATAATTTAGTTATTACATTGTAATTCTGTTTACAGGAGTTCATAAATCTCTTATTATTGGTCTGAAAATCCAATTTATTTCAAGCTTTCACCGTTCTGTATGTACCCGTATATTCTGTCTGATTCAATATTGAGTTATTGACCAGTCTTCCTTTCACAGCCGTGTTATAAATATAAACTCGGACTTGGTTCAATCAGTCACGACTATCATAACTCTAAACTCTCTTATTATTGGTCCGATTTATTTGAAGCTTTCACCATTCTGTGTACCTGTATGATTGAGTGTTTACCTTAACCAGTGTTCCTTCCTCAGCGGTGTTATAAATATAAACTCGGACTTGGTTCAATCAGTCACGACTATGTTCTCTAAACTCTCTTAATATTATTGGTCCGATTTATTTCAAGCTTTCACCATTCTGTGTACCTGTATGATTGATCAATGAGTGTTTACCTTAACCAGTGTTCCTTCCTCAGCGGTGTTATATAAACTGAAGCTGGGTCAATCAGTCACAACCATCCCAACGGTGGGCTTCAACGTAGAAACAGTCACATTCAAAAATGTCAAATTCAATGTATGGGTAAGTATCAGAAAACACTATAATTATGTTTATTGAAATATGATGAAGGTGGTGGTGGTGGTGGTGGTGGTGGTGGTGGTGGTGGTGGTGGTGGTGGTGGTGACGGTGATGGTGATGGTGATGATCATAGTGATGACGATGATGATTGTGAGGATGGCTGTGGTGATGATGATGATGATGATGATGATGATGATGATGATGATGGTGGTGGCGGTGGTGGTGGGGGGGTGGTTGTTGTGGTGATGATGATGATGATGATGATGGTGGTGGCGGTGGTGGTGGTGGCGGTGGTTGTTGTGGTGATGATGATGGTGATGATGATGATGAAGGTGATGATGATGATGGTGGTGGTGGTGGTGGTGGTGGTGGTGGTGGTGGTGGTTGTTGTGGTGATGATGGTGATGACGATGATGAAGGTGATGATGATGATGGTTGTGGTGGTGATATAGTTGGTGATGAGGATAGATGACAATGATGGTGATGATAGAAAATAATAATGGCTAATGTAAATTTTGTGATATTGATAACAATATTATTGATAGTAATAATAACGATTTCTAAAATAATAGTAATAATAGTTAATACTACAACTACTATTTCTTGACACCTTATAATAATGATAATAATGATGATGATAATAATCTTTCACAACTACAGTAACAATGTTTTCTTTATGAGTTTCAAGCAATATAGCTACAGTCTGAACACAGCCTGGTTGCAACAAGGTTTTGTTCCTGTATGTTTGATCCAAATTGAGGCACAAGGAAATGTAAATGCCATACTTGTAATGCATATTATTGTAATGTATATGTTTATTTTCGTTAGTGCCAGAAAGATTCCTGCTCATTTTCTTTCCAATGGAATGATTTCTGTATGCACATTCCCTTTTCACAGGAAGTAACTGATCGCTTGACATATGGCATCATTTAACTTTAAAAAAAAGCTACAGAAATCTGACCTTGTGATTTACTGGTATGTACATTGTAATATAGACTATGAAAGCAAAGTATGCAGAATCGAGGCGATACACCACTTAAAAACAAATCAAAACCAAATATGAAAATTAACCTGTCTTTCTCTCTCTCTCTCTCTCTATCTCTCTTTTTTCTCTTTATCTCTTTCTCTCTCTCTCTCTTTCTCTCTCTCTCTCTCTCTGCTGAATGTTAGTGGTCCAGATAATCTAACTTGTATGGAGGTGTTACCCAATGTTTACCTAGTGCCAGACTATTCTGCTTCTATTCAATTTTTTTCTAGGATGTTTATGGTCAAAATAGCCTCAGACATCATGTTCATCTTCTTTTCTTTTGCAGGATGTTGGTGGTCAAGATAAAATTCGGCCTCTATGGAGGCATTATTACACAGGAACACAGGGGTTGATCTTCGTAGTAGACTGCGCCGACAGGGATAGGATAGACGAAGCAAGGCAAGAGCTCCATCGGATAATCAATGATAGGGAAATGAAAGAAGCTATCATCCTCATCTTCGCCAATAAACAAGACCTTCCAGATGGTAAGAACTCTAACTGTTACTGATCACCGGACCATTTGGTTCTTTTTCACCCTTTTTACTATCTTGTCAGTTTTCGCCCCTCATTTCTTTTTCTTTTCATCTTTTTTGTCTTCACTCGCACTTTTTCCTATTACTCACCGTTATCTTTTTTCTCCCCCATTTTACTTTCTTTCGCCCTTTTACTTTTTATATCTTGGCCTTTTTTCCTCACCTGCCCGTTTATCTTTTTCTCCCTTTTTTACCATCTCTTGCCCTTTTTATTATGCTGTTTTTGAGCCAATATATTATGGGTAACACCCTGAAGTGACTGCTAACCAATGATGAGAACCAAACAAAAGCTAACATTCTGTGGTGTCATTTCTGTTTGGCTTTCACAAATTAGAAATAAAAACTGAACTCCTAATTTTTGTAACATGAAGCAAGTGACATAATAATAATAATAATAACTATTTCTTATATGGCGCTTTTTCAGGAGGGCCCTATCAAAGCGCCTTACAGATATATATACTATTACCCCGGTCATCGGATTCAAGGCTTACCCGCACACAATGTATGCACATTCTCCACTCCCTGGGGAGCATAGATGCATTAATACCTATGTGCTGTTTCTCTTTCCCTCTCTGCAGCCATGAAGCCCATTGAAGTCCAAGAAAGACTAGGCCTCACCAAGATCAGGGACCGGAACTGGTTCGTTCAGCCTGCCTGTGCGACGTCAGGCGAGGGCCTTCTAGAAGGGTTAACATGGCTAACATCTAATAATAAACCCTGATCTGATGCAACACAAATATATATATCAACAAAAAAACAAGAAAAACTAAAGTCTGCCTACTTTTTCTTAGCCTAGCTTCCAGCAGGAGGATATTTTCCGTCACATTCTCTCCCCTATTGTACAGTCTAGCTTTTCGTTGCACCGCCCTCGCTAGTCAAAGGATGTTTTTGGAAAGACTTCAACATGTTTTGCTAGTCAGGGGTAATCGGTAGCGACAAATAGCTAAAGGGGTGTGAGATTGTGAGAAAATAATGATCTTCTTGTATGGAAACTAGGCTAACTATACCTTCTTGTAATCTTATATAAATAAAGACAATTTTTTAATAAAAAGATTTGTTTATACTTAGATGATTCAGTAGAGTTAATTCTCAGAAAATGAATTTTTGTTGTTGTTACAATGTGTATATTAATGCTCAAGATACTGTTCGCCTGTATGTACAAATCTCCCATATTGGTTTTGGAAAAGAGTTTCAATGTAAGGCCTGTTTACACATGGTGTGTCTGTTCAAGCGATTTCTTTTACGTTTCAGCGAATGTCAATTGGGGATGAAGCACAGTGCAGTAGGCAACAATGGTATTACATGTACGGACTACCCATCTGTGTGTTAAACGATGCAGAAATGTGACAAGCTTGGCGCGCACTATACGATCCATCTGTATGATCTGACTTTGAAAGAATTTGTGATAGCAAATGTTATGAACGTTCACACATGTAAAATCTTACTGAGCGAGGCTCTCATATCATTGATGAATTCAAAATTTCAAGGGATTTCAGGCTCCCTTGGACGGGAAATGCTAAATGGCGTAGAATCATACAAACGTCAAACTGGCTATTGGCTACGATTTGACGCAGTTTTGGTTTTATTTCGACTTGAAATGATACACACAAATTCCAAGTTGATTATTTGGCACCTAAATCAGAAAGGAGATAATACAATTCTAATTTCTACAAGAAATTGATTTGCAGTTGGATCGTATAGTTTGCGTTGAGCTTTACTAAAAAGAACACAATTCTGCCGGGTTTACGGAGTTGCATGTGAACTAGTCTTGTGGTGACTTTGCAGAGGTTTATTGTAATCGGACCTACCTTGCAGTGCCTATGTTGCAATAAAACCTTACATTTTCTCAATAGAGTACCGTAGTGTGATGTCATACTGGCTAATTTGTCAAGGTTGCTGGTTCCAAACAATTTTGTGCTAAACAATGGTGGGGTGATCACACCAGCCTCAAACAGTAAATCGGCCCTGCTCCATCCCGTTGCTTAAATTATTGGGGTGAACCTCATGCGCAGGCTCCGTTGTTTGGAACCAGTAACCTGGACGACGAGTGAATATGATGTTAGCACTTCGGTACTGTCTTACTTAAGCCAAAAGCTCTGAAGATCCCACCAAGGTGTTACAAATGTGGTGTTTGGTGCTTAGGCAGTTATTAAGCACATTCAAACTATTCCTGTGTTAGAGATCCTGAATTCATTTTATGGTTTTTGTGCAGTGTTAGCACCTGATGAGGTGTTTGCTTAGCACCAACATACTCCATTACACCTGTATTGAAATCCATCAGTGCATTAATGACTGAATATTAGCACCTAGTCTTGGTGTCAATGTAAATCCTTTTCAATCGCTTGAGAAGTTTCAAAGAATTAGTTTCTCGCTGCAAAAAGGACAAATTAATTTGACAGTATTTTAGTAGGCAGAGTATGAATTGCATTGCTGCTAAACCGACATGTACATGTATTAGTACATGTCATTAGTTCAAAGTTCAAAGCAGTTGCTTGATGTGCACTTCTGTTTCACCCTCTTCTTGATATCATGTGACTTGTCATGTGATTTAACCATCAGATCACATGACCAAAGTTGTCACATGCTACTTGCCTTTGTATTGTTGTAATGTACATTGGCTTTATGCAATCCTCCTAGAGAGACTGGATAGTAGTTGTTTCGCAACCCCTAGGGTTCTGCCGGAAAGTTTCTCAATGATCCTCGGTGCTATGGGAAACAATCGCTCGTGTCGTGTTCAAACGATTCCTAGTTACTGGTAATAATTTAAAAATATGATAGAACATTTGTGCTATACCACAAGTCAATACTAGCTATTAAAACTAATATTAAACATCTTTCCTGTACCAATGGTTGATATAGATGGCGATGAAGAATTAACAAAATGCAAGTTTTTGCTTGGGCTGAGCCTTAAAGCCACACTGTCCTACTTGTAGCTACTTGCTCCCTCTATATAGAAAACAATGCCTAACCGGTGACCACTGGTCTCCCATTATCCTCTTTTTCTAATGTTAATTGAGAGCTGAGTTGATGAGAAAACCACCTGTCCAGTGACCTTGCAGGGTGGTCTAATCCCTCCTGTAAACTAGTACAGATGTGCTTTAACAAATATGCTCTCAGCCAATCAAATGCATGGATTACAGTAGCTTATACCAGTTATTGCATCTTGCCATTGATAACAAGTTTCATGAAGCAAGGGTGGGCCTTAAAACAATTAAATTAAAATCAACTATTGATTCATATCTCCTGATTACATAATAATCAATGTATGGCAGGCTTTGTAAATGTAAAACGGGAGAAAAATTACATTTTTATTATTAATCTATGCATGTACAGGCATTTTGACTTACCTATTAATTTTCTTCTATATACTCCTTAGCACTAATTTGTATCTATTTCTTTTATTTGAAAAAGTGCTAATATCTGAATACATTTGAAAGATAATTCCTTCTTTTTTTTTAAATAAAAAGACTATCTGGGACAGTTTGCATTGAGTACATGTATTTATATTTTCTGAGTTATTTCAAAACTTGTCCAGGCTTTGAGAATTCTGTTAGAAGATGTAGTTACCCAACGATCAAGGCATTCACAACAGTATATCTTTTCAAAATGAACATATCTTTGTTAATTATTTTAGTAAAAAAAGTGTGAAATTAAATTTCACGTCTGTTAGGCATTATTTTCATTTGCAAAACAGTTGTGATGTAATTCATTATTCTTTCTACACATTATCAAAGCTCATCTGTACATTATTTTAGTTAAAATAATAGTTTTACAAAATTAACTCACTCAGGCACATTTCATCCTCAAAGGCACCCTTGTGTCTGCTCAACACTTGTTATCCTGGGCCCCTTTTCACAAAACTTTTCATCAATGACAAATGACAGTTTATGTTAATACAAGCTACTGAAATCCTTGCTCCTGATTGGTTATCAGCAGATTTGTCACTGATTTTTGTCATTTGTCATTGAAAAAGGTTTTGTGAAACAGGGCTCTGGACTTGGCCCTGCTGATGTATGCAATATGTGGGACTAGGCTAATGTTTCCAATGTAGACACCTATGCAGTGAGTTGATATTTGTTTAATGACTTATCGGCCCTTTCTGATTGAAACACAAGTTCTGCAGCTTCCTCAGGAAGTTCATACATGCTAAAGCTAAACAAGAGAGGTTTTGTGAAGTCAGCTTGATGATGTGGTAGTCATGAAACAACTGTTCAAATCCAGCTAATTTGTGAAAGCATTAAACCTATATCTGCGTTTATATAATGCCCAGAGTCAAAAATCTTTGTAACGGTTGTTAGACCGCTGGTTGGAATGGAGTAAAGGCTTGTCAGATGTGGCGCTGTAAACACCTCAGAAATGAGCCCTCGTGTTTTAAATGGATGGTAAATGCGCACAGTAAAGGACTTGAGCGTATATTCACTGGGCTCTGTGTTACAAGATACAGAAAAGGAAAGCTTGTTACACTTTGTGTCATTAGATAAAAAAAACGCAGCGGTATTGCTGCATCATTTTAGCCCAAGAATTAAAGCAGAGAAAACCTAATGCAGCATTCAATGTTGTAGCCGTTAGGAATGTAGAAAACAAAGCTTTTTGTATTGCATGCACTCGTGTATGGGAACAGTCCAAGTCATATACCACAGGGCTGTCTCCATGGCTTAAGTTTATTCTTCCATTGTGTATTGTTATGGAGTTATATCCACGGACATGAGTCCAAGCGTTACCTCTCAGTGCGTGAGGAAAGATGCATCTTTGAAACAGGGGGGGTGTTTCACAAAGATTCTAAGTCGAACTTGTTCTCTAAGTTGGACTTGAATATTATGGACAGCCATTTGTAGCCTCATAATGAATTATATTCAAAAGCTAAAATTCAAGTATTTTAGACTTTTCATGAATTCCACATCAAGAACATGAAATCTCCCATGATAATAGAAAATATAAATGATTAAAATCAACATTTAATGCCATTTAAAATAACTTTTACAAAATATTTTCAAGGATGCTAACAGCTTTCCATAATAGTCCAACTTAGAGATAAGTTCAACTTAGGATCTTTGTGTAACACCCCCTGATCTATTATTATTTAGCTTTTTTGTGTATATCTGAAAGAAAAAGATGAAATTTGGTGCAGTAGTTGTGTGTATTGCTTTCAAAAGTAGGAAAGATTATAATGTACATATCTCTATATTGACTCTCTCTTGTAATTATTAACTTTCCCCTCTATCTTGTAGATGCTCTTGATCTCCCCTCCAGCTTGGAATGGAATGATCCTGTCATGTATTTATAGCATAGATTATTTCTTGATTGGGTTCGCACCACTTTCAGATGATAGGGGTGTGTTTTATGATGAGGCATTCTTCCCCTCAGTGCATGTTGTATGTAAGGTAACAGTGCAAGATTATTAAAGACGATTACAGCTTTTTTTCATGTTTGTATTGAGATTTGTAAATTAATAACAGTCATGAATTACCCTTACGATTGAATTATATGTAATAAAACACTTCTGATCATACATTCATACATGTATTTATTATTTTTTTTAACATTTTGAATATGAAATGAAATTAATGCGCAGAACAAAGTTCTTTTTGGGTATACATGGTAGACCTTTAAAATAATGCATTTCAGTTGCTTTTTTGACATCTAAAGGCATTTATTCATCTGCTTTTGTTATTTTATTCTATTTATACCTAATAGTAGAGAAGAAGATTTATCCATAGATTCGTCAATTGCAACAAACTTACTTTGTGTATATATATCCCTAGAATGGCACAAATTCAAAACATTGTTCTGTAATCAAAATTTAGACAAATGTAAAATCAAACGATAAGAAAGAAAGATATGTGAGCCCTTATACTTATCCTGACCAAAATAAACACTTCATTATTCGTACGTTTTGCAAATACACTATTTTTCAGATACCGTATACTTATATTATTGTGCCATTTCCTTGTATTTTTATCTCACTTAACTACATGTGTATTATAACCTTACTTTCCCATCCAACACGATGTGTTATATTTTATTTTGCTTACCGGTATTTTTAATTTTTGTTGTACAGTGTACGAGCATAAAAGGAAACCTTTGTATTTTGTGTTCCTACCATCCGGCAGGGATTGAAAATTCAATTGAAATAGGTCAAAGGTCAAGGGGAGTCTGTTCTTCTCTCTCTTGCATTTGTTGTCGGATCCAGTTTGACCTAATGGGTTCATTCATTTACTCGCCAATAATTGGCTACTTTTCGCTGATTTTCGGTGAAAGGACGCCATTACAGGGATTGAAAATCAATTGAAATAGTTCAAAGGTCAAGGGTCACGGGAGTCTTTTCTTCGCTCTCTTGCATTTGTTGTTGTTGTCGTTTGATTCACGCATGTTCTTTTGCCCACTTTGCCTAACGCAGAGAATCAGAACCGGTTTGATTTAATGGTTCATTCGTTTACTCGCCACTGCTTGGCTACTTTTCGCTGATTTTCAGTGAAAGGCCGCCATTACGAGGCAGGTTTTTATAACTCACTTTGTATGTGATGTGGGCAGTTAGATAAAAGCCTCATGAACATGACGGAAGTATAGTTAGAAGGAAAACCAACTTTTTGATACCAACCAACCAACTGACAGTTTACATGTTGTGAATGGATAACAAAGGACTTTATTAAATGCATGTTGATGTTGTTGACGGGGCTTCAATGACCTTATATACAAACAATGTATGTATGAAGTAATTTGCATTCTCAGTCAAGAACTATTGAGAAATGAATAAAACAATATATGTGAGCCTACCCCTTACTGTGTTCCTGTAGTTGTTCCTATTTGTTGCTTTATTCATTTACATGTTATTTATAATAATAATAATTATAATAATAATAATAATAATAATAATAATAGTTCGTCCTTATATAGCGCATATCAGGACCGCATTTATTCATTTATTTAATTGTTTATTCATTATTTATTCATTTTTTAATTCATTCTTTAATGTATCATTTTTTATTAATTAATTTATTAAGTATGTATTCATTTATTAATTCATTTATTAATTTTTTTATTAAGTTATTAATTCATTTATTCATTTATTAATTCATTTATTAATTCATTTATTCATTTTTTTTATTAATTTATTAATTAATTTATTCATTTATTAATTCATTTATTCATTAATTTATTAATTTATTCATTAATTAAGTTTTTTTTTTACCAGTATTGCTTCATCAGTGATCTCAACACTGTTTAACAAGAAGGCATTGCATTGAAACTGATTTGTATTGGCTTCCTACATGTTGGGCTGTATTTTGTATTGTATTGTGTTGCAGTTTTAACTCACTTGTAACTCACTTGTAACTCACTTGATCCAGGATTATTCAGTCTTAAGACTGTTGTTCCTATCCATGGTTTTGTTCGGTTGGGGTTGTCATCGTATTTATCTGGGGCATCTTTCCACCATTTCTCAAGCCCAGATTTGGCCGCTTTATGTATGATCCTGGCGTATGAGAAAGTTATGTTACAAGTTCAACAACATCCTATTCAAAGCATGTTCATTTTACTAAAAGTATCAACAAGATGTCAGCGAACTTGTACTTTTGACACTTTTGTGAAACGCTGGCGTGCTCTCTTAGCTGTGTTGCTGTGTCTGATATATACCCTTACTGAAATCCAATATTAGATTTTGTGTGGGGAAGAAATTTGCAATATCAATATGAACAGTGAAACAAGATTTTTTTTTTCATAGTCTTATGAATGAAAGTGAAACTGGTGAGGTAGCTAGTACAAGCTTCCTTAATTGTCGGAGTAAAACCCTATTAGGATACAAATGTAGTGATGTCTATTAAAGGTAAAGACCAGTATTGGAAACGCCCCAATTTCAAAAAATGAAATGGAAGCTCTTATTACCAATCATGTGAAAGAATATGTTTTGACTAATACATGATGATAAAAAATTTGCCGGGAAACCGCCTACTAATTCATATATTTGGTAAATTTGTTTCTCTCATGGTCTGTGAGAGATATAGGGTAGTCCCATATACATCTTTCTGTGTATAGTGCTTGTAACTTTACGAAGAATGGGCCAAATTTCTTATCATTTTGATGATTCCAGAACCTTGCAGATGCTAGATGCTAGATGATCAACCTTTTCTGATCGATCCCACAACGTTTCTTTCACAATGCAATCGCATGACCATAACTGGTCTTTACCTTTAAACCAATGGCATGGTACGAAATGATTTATCACCTATTTAGCTTTAAAATCAGCCTGATGACTTTTATGGCCGGAACCAACCTGTGGTGATCTATTCATTACTTTTTTAAAAGCTTTCCCCATTTAGTGCGATCTCATACAGTCAAACCTGTCTATATAGCGACCGCCCAAGGGAAACACAAAAAGTGACCTTTGTAGACAGGTGGTCTTTGTAGACGGGTTCCTTTAGTACATGATTCAATGAGAAACCATTTTCAAGGGAAACAACAAATGTGGCCTTTGTAGACAGGTGGTCTTTGTAGACAGGTGGTCACTAAAGCAGGTTTGACTGTATTTCTTTTCAAATCTGATAGGATTTAGTTCATAGCTTGTCCAATGGGCTTCAGACTATATATTTGATGAACTATTATGTTGCCCTTTTTGTTTGTATGATGTATATTGTAAATGTGAAGTGGTAAACTGCCACAGGTTTTTTTATGCAACTACTAACTAAGGTCTTGGTTGTATTCACTGAACCCTGTGTTTTAAAGATACAGACATGTATTACATTTTACATCACAACAAATATTTACTTGTGATAAATATTTATTAATTTAGCACATAATAATTAACAAATAATTCTCTGAGCGCTTTACAATCTACATCAACATATATAAGAGGACAAATAACACCAATATATGCACACCAACACTTTCATACAAGAATAGTATACACTATAGGCCTACTGTATTTAATAAGAAAAGGTGCGTTTGAAGGGAAGATGTATTCCTGATCATCAAGGGCTGGAGCTGAAACCACAAAGGATCGGTTTACATATATATGCAAAGAGGATGTACTGTATTTAACAAATAGTTTTCAATTTCATTTTGCATCCACATTGCATTTAAAAGGCATCACAAATAACTGCAAAACATAACTGCAACATAAGTGCATAACATAACACAATCTGGAATAAAATGTTGTTGCTGTTCAGGTCAGAGAAGGAGGCCTGGGGTTTGTGTTCACCTCCTGCTTTGCTATCGTTTTATTGTACCTGTATATTTATTTTTTGGTCCAGTCTATAATTATGTACATATTTTATAAACACATACATAATATCTGCATGTATAAACAATGCTGATCGAGAGGAGGAGGAGGAGGAGGAGAGATAGAGATAATAGAGAAAGAGAGAGAGAGAGAGAGAGAGAGAGAGAGAGAGAGGAGATAAAAATAGACGGAGAGGGGAGGGGGGATATATATATATATATATATAGAGAGAGAGAGAGAGAGAGAGAGAGGGGGGAGAGAGAGAGAGAGAGAGAGAGAGAGAGAAGAGAGAGAGGGATAGAGAAGGAAGATTGCTAATAAGGCTCGGTAAAGTTAAAATGTAATACCATCTTCGGTACTCGCATCACTAAATATTAGTAAAAGTGAAAGGACCGGTTAACCGGATATCCGGACCTGTAAAATCCAAAATGGCGTTTTATCATACTGCTTGTTTTGTGATCACTGTGATGGTTGTCTGCAATGCCATCTTATATCCCACTATATTCAGCTCAATCTTCCGGCGTTGGTTCGGCGAAGCACCTCCGAAGCCAGAGAAGGAATCAGTTCCGGGTAAGATTGATATTTTGTTGTGAATTATCTCGTTTTAATTCAGTGTCAAGAGACGATGTTGTTTGCCATTCCTGGCCTGGCTGGATTGTGGATGAGCTGCTGCTGCACCTCGGTTTTGCCGTAGCCGGGTACGATGGACGGCGGCGCTTTGTGCATTGAGCTGAGTGAACGTGAAGTGTAGACAGTGTGTGAATGCGATGCTGATTTTGAGGATTAAAAGAAGATAGATTTCATAGTCTGAATCTGAAATAATACTGCTCAACATAGCTAGATGATTAATACCAGATATGATATTGATATGACCTAGATCTAGATTCTAGCCTTAATTAATTGGCATCCATTTGCCTGTGTAAACGATAGGGGAGCTGGCCGGTCTGACTCTGAAAATGAGGATTGGACGCTGTACTTCGTATCCATTTTTTACCCGTAACTCCGGCGTGGAGATACCTGACCAAAACATACCAAAAATCAAGTAAATCTTCATCAATTGTTCAAATAGGTCTAATAATGGTCATGATTTAAAAGTCTTTGTGTTTCTCACCTGGTTTAGTGGTTAGATCTAGACTCTCTAGATCTAGTGTCAATTTTATTATTTCTTTTGAAGTATTTTTCCTACAAAAGAAGACATTTATAGATATTCTCACAGGTTCCACATTGAACTGCTGCACAATTACAATACAATTGCATACCGTGCGTACGCGTACCGATGAAGGGCCTAGGGTAGTGTGGGCAGGTACAATGTATGCATGCGTGAAGTTAGTGACCGTAGTAATGATCTTAAATTTATTCATGGACACGTGTGCACATGCACCCCTTCGTCGAGTTGTCGGTATGCGTTACCAGAGACGCCAAGTTCAAAGATCAGCAATGCGTGACATTTTCATGATTCGGCGTGCGGGCGAGGGTATAACACACGTATAAGGTATAGCGTTTTTTCTAAACCTATCGTGCGCACCGTGCTTGAGACCATTTTCAGACCTTCAAAATGGGTGACGTTATAAGGGGGTTCACTATGTACAGACAGGAAGGATTAGATCTCAGACAGGAATTGGGTTAAAACACCTTTAATAAGGCGACAACGGCCTTAGAAACAACAATCGAAATCTTACAGACAATCGTCCATTTTCTCCTCTCCCGATCCCTCTCCCGATCATATCGGTATCGGTATCGGTTATCACGATATCAATCCCTATACTCTCCCCCACCAAAAATACCCTACGGGGTTTTTTTTCAAATTATATTCAAACATTTCCAAACTGCTCATAAAACAAGCCAAATCTCGCCCGAGACATATACATGTGAAGCAACAATATTGCAACCAAGCGCGCGTACAGACAAAACAGACGACCACCAGTTCTCTTAATTTGCTGTGATCGCTATCGACTCTTTCTATGTTGAGTTCAGGGTAAATCTATACACCCAGTTCGCTTGTCTGCGCAAGATACCATCAGTACTCAAAAAATGTACACTGTAAGAATAACGAACACCGCACCCCAAAGGATAGCTTCCCCCTTTAAAACAGAGATGCAAAATACATAATGCCAAAAACCAACAAGAAAAAACGTCCAATACAGATTATCGTCTGAACATGTTCAAACATATCCACGAATACCTTTTCAAAGAAAAATCAAAAGAAGTAACACAGCACCAGCACAGCTGAGTGCTCTTTTGTTTGATTTCTTTCTAAAAGAAATAACCCTTAGACAAATTTGTAATTTATCCCTACCTGCATGGCTAAAGTGTAGGATGAATGACAACTAAACATACTTCGTATCCTCTATTAATTTAAATCCGTTCAGCAGGTCCGGCAAAAACATTTAAATATATATAACAATATATATATATATTGTTATACCCAATGTCAGGTCAGATATAGTGTTTACCAAAGTGTAGGACGTTAGCAAAACTAACATCTGTATATGTGTAAATTATAAACTACACTCAATTGGTAGTCCTTTTGTTTCGTTTATCTTTTGAAACACAAATTCTGTGTACATACTGTATAACAATTTCATGTGCACAAAAATTCAGTGTACATGTATAACTCTAAGTAAAAACACTAGATGCAAAGACAGAAAATTCGCAGGGAATCACAAGTTTATATACAGTTCCAATTTTCAACAATTTCCAACCGGTTGTATTTATCCTTTAACTGTAAAGATAAGGATCCGACATGTTAATATAATAGTCATCAACAATTCTGAACTCTGAAGAGTGCATAATTCTGCACGAGCCGGAATTAAAGCACATGGGCACGCACCAATATAAATGGTTGACATTAAACATATAACATCAGTTGAAATAAGAGTCTGTTAGAATCTATATTAAGAGTCCAGATCAATTAAACTTAGCGTCCATTTAGTTTCGCGATCCATAGCCCAACTGTGACAGTCCCGCTCTCGACCAAACTGCAATCTTACTCGGCTATAAAGGTAAGTCAATGTAATCGTGAGTCGCGAACTTTCAACCAGTCCTGATCCAATATGCTACAATAAGCGACAATTTTAACAGCGTTGACAACATGCGAAGTCTATGTTCGAAGTAATTAGCACCCTTTCAATTGGTCCACATGAACAATGCGAGTTATCTTCTTGTTGGCAGCGTTCACCACAAGAAAATTCACTGGGGTTAGTTTTTTCTGCACAACAAACGGCCCAGTCCATCGTGGTGCTAGCTTAGCTGAGAAGTTCTTTTCCGCATTTGATAGAGGTTTAGTCTTCACCATGACTTGGCTTCCTTCAGTGATGCGGCACTCATCACGGCTCTGGTCGTAGTATTGTTTGGAGCTACTAACAGCGCGTCGACGATTGTGTGCGATTTCTTCTTGCGTAGGAATGTCTTTGTTTCCCTCAGTCTGCAGGCGGTTAGTCAAGGGAGAAGCCAAGCGCCGTCCAAACATAACTACTGATGGTTCTACACCAAGTGTGTCATGACTACTGCTGTTCAGGGCAAACGCGAGTTCAGCGAGATGAACATCCCACTGTCGATGGTCAGATCCGGTGTAAGCTTGAAGCATGGCCTTGATGTTACGATTCACCCTTTCGACCCAGTTCGTTTGGGGGTGATATGGCGTGATGAAGATCTGCTCAATCCCCCAATCTGTGCAGACAGCTCGCAGAACCTTCCCTCTGAATTGGGGGCCATTGTCCGAGAGCAGGGCTCCTGGAGGTCCATATCTGCAGAACAGTTCCCTCACTAGAGTGGTTGCAACCGACTGGCTGGTAGCTGACTTCAAAGGCAGAATCTCCACAAACTTTGAGAAATGGTCGACAGCCACCAGAATATACTCATGCCCAGCATACGACTTTGGCAAAGGCCCCATGAGATCTACACCAACCTTTTCCCAAGGCCTCGTGGAGGTACTAGACAACATCTTCCCTTGACGTCTCTGGTAAGAAGGTTTTGTTTGAAGACAAACCTTACAACTGCGAATAAAGCTTCTTACAGACCGCGACATACCACTCCACCAGAGACCCATCGACTTCAACCTTTGAAGTGTCTTCTTTCTCCCAAGATGCCCAGCTATTGGCTTGCAATGACACTCAACTAACACTGCATTCTGAAGTGCCTTGGGGATAACTACACATTCATTCTTATACAACACCATTCCCTTCAAACTGAAATCTGAAAACCTCTGAACAGGACCTTGATCCTCCCCACCACCATTCTTTTGCTTTTCAAGGATCTGAATGATTGGCAAAAGATCTGGGTCACTCTGTTGTGCCCTCAGGACAGAATCCTTTGTCAAATCCAAAGGAAGAACGACTTCATCCGTGGCCTCTGACTTGCCAACACAAGATGGGCAAGAGTATTTGTCCACCTCCTCCGCCTCTTGAGAACCAATATGGACACAAACCTGGTGATACCACTTATCACAATCATCACATTGTACCCAACTAACCGACTCATCATCCGGGGAAATGCAATCACTGGCTGCACATAAGTCCTTTTCATGTCCGTCACAGACTCGATCCGACAAAACCCTGTTTACAACTCCCACCAAAGGGGCAACACCTTTCTCAGGAATCCTAGATAGTGCGTCCGGGACATGATGTTGCTTTCCAGGCCTGTATATCACCTGAAACCGAAAATCCTGAAGCCTCAGAATCCAACGAGCAAGTCGCCCATTTTGCTTCTTCTTCCGAAATAACCAGCAAAGTGCCTGGTGGTCCGTTATTACACGACACTCTCTACCTTCCAGATATGGCCGCCATTTCTCTAGGGCCCATACTACAGCCAAACACTCCTTCTCAGTAGTACTATAATTCCTTTCTGCAGCAGACAAAGACCGACTCGCATAGGCGATAGTTCTCGTCCCAGACGGTTGCTGCTGGATCAGGACTGCACCGACCCCAACATTGCTGGCATCTGTGTGTACAGCAAACCTTGATTCTTCATCAGGGTAGCCTAGTATTGGCTCAGTGAGGAGGCTCTCCTTCAAGGCCTGAAAAGCACGAGTGCAGTCAGCAGTCCAATTCCAGGGAACACCTTTCTTCTTCAATCCATGAAGAGGTGCAGCAACCTCTGAGAAGCTAGGAATGAATTTCTGATACCATCCGGCCATCCCAAGGAACCTCTCTAATTCCTTGATCGACCTAGGTTGGGGATAGTTAACAATGGTAGACACCTTCTCGGGGTCCATCTTGAGTCCATTTGAGCTGACAACATGGCCAAGATATTTCATTTCTTGGCAGGCAAACTGACATTTCTCAGTATTTACGGTCAGACCCGCTTGTCGTAAGCAACAAAAGATCTCCTGGAGATCAGAGATGTGCTGCTCAATATCCGGAGAGAAACACACAATGTCGTCCAAGTAGACATAGCAATTTCGCCCTATCAGGCCATCAAGCACCTTGGACATCAACCGTTGGAAACTGGCAGGACCATTTACCACACCAAAAGGAAGGACCTTGAAGTGGAATAGACCCCTATGACAAACAAAGGCAGTCTTCTCCTCATCCTCATCTGCAACACCCATCTGCCAGTATCCACTGCGCAGATCTAATGACGAGAAAACCGAGGCACCATGCAGAGAGCTCAAAATGTCATCCACTGTAGGCATGGGGAAGGCATCAATCTTTGTAATTGTATTCAATTTTCGGTAATCGACACACATCCTGTACTTCCCGTTCTTCTTAGGGACCATCACTACAGGAGCGGCCCAAGGTGAATCTGAAGGCTCAATCTTCCCCATGTCCAGAAGCTTATCCAACTCTTCATCAAGAGCTTGTCTTTTCTCAGGACTCACCTTGTACGGGTGAGAGCGGATGGGAGAAGCCCCTCCTACATCAATTCTATGAATAGCCATGTTCGTATGACCAGGTACCTCACTAAACACATCTGGGAAGTCTTGAAAAACCTGATCTAATTTCTGTCTATCTGCTTCAGTTAGATCAAGTTTCTTCATCTCATCCTCAGCTTGGAGATGAACATCGACTTCTTCTTCAACATGTGACATCTCCTGCCCTCCATTCAACGAGAACTTAACTGGCCGCTCATTGGCCCCATTGCTACTTGTGCTATAACTACGACTGCCAAAATCTATGATAAGTTTCACCTTTTCAGCAAAGTCAGCACCAAGGAGGACAGGTACTGGGAGCCTACCAACCACATGAAAGACCTCAGTCGCAGTGCTGCCTCCTAGACCCACTTGCAGGGATGCTAAACCATCAGGCACTAAGGCGGTTTCATTGATCATGCCTAACACCCCTTCAGTTTCACGAGTAACCTCTACCCCTAACTCCTTACACAATTCAAAAGTGACCAGGGAAACCTCTGACCCCGAGTCCAGCAGGGCTTGGGTCTTCACCACTCTGTCATCTAGACCCTGAACAACAACATCTGCAATTGTAGCATCACCCCTATCCTTTGCAATGAAATTGCACCTTGGTGACGGTTCTCGAGTAAAGCCCTGTGGAGGTCCTCCCTGGAAACCCGACCCTGTGGCCCCCGGAGGTACCGGACAGTTGGCAATTCTGTGCCCGAGCTGGCCACACCGGTAGCAGGCAGCATTAAAGGATCTACGTCCCGTGGGGTTACTGCCTGCACCTGTCCGTCGTGGAGTGGAGGGATCACTCCCTGGGGTTGTGTTACCCGCATTCGCCCCCCTCTGGATTACTAATTCGTCCGCCTTGCGCGCAACTACCATGAGAGATGTGGCTTGTAGCTCCCTTAGCTTTAACCTCAATACTTCATCGGGTACTCTCTCTAAGAATTGGTCAATCATGACCAGATTGAGCCCTTTAGAGACTTCAGGCATCTCTACTGCCTCCTGGGGTATCTCAACCCACTTCAAAAAATAACCTTGTAAATGACTAGCGAATTCTTCATAGCTTTCATTGGTCTTCTTATGTTCTTTTTTGAACTTTATTCTGTATGCCTCCGGAGTGAGGTGGTACCTTCTCTTTATGGCCAGGACAACATCATCATAGTTGTTTTGTTCTCTAGTACTCAGGGCGTGGAATGCCTGCTGAGCTCTTCCAGTAAGATATGGTTCTAACAGCCGAGGCCATTCACTCTTTGGCTTGTTTGCTGCCAGGGCTAGTCGCTCAAAAGTGCTAAGGTAGCACACCATATCATCATCGTTACTTAGCTGATGTAATCCCTTTAACGGAGGACCAGTTTGTGCAGAGCTACCGATTGCAGCAGACAGTAAGGATTTGCATAGTTTCTCAGTCTCATGATGATGAGAATCTTCAAGGTGCTTCATGACCCGCAAAAGGTCATCCACACCCACACCTGTATTTTTTGGTTCATCCTCTACCAGCTTAGGCAAATCACATAAACATGAGATCCGCTCTTGCTTGGTCTTTACAGCATTGGTATCAATATGATTCAATTCACACAAGTGTGCTATGTGCTCAGCTGTAAATCTGCCGAGATATGCTGATCGGTCTGTCATGGTTAATTTTATCTTTTATTGAGCACTGAATATTATACTAGACTAGGCTAGATCTAATTTAAATTTAATTTAGTGACCTATTGAACGTGTGTGTTTTAGTGTATGGTGTATGGTTAGTGAGAGTGGTCTAGACTTCTAAATCTACTACTATTTTAATCAAACTTTTATTTATTTAGTCTAGTCTAGACCCTATGTATTTATTTATTTTTCTATTTCATTTTTAATGTTACTTCAATACTAGACTACTTGTGTAATAGCTACCTTAACTTTGATTAGTCTATCTGTAGAGTCTAGACCTAGATCTAGACCCTAGATCTACTGCTAAATCAACAAGCACTAGTAGTAGGCCTATAGGCCTGCACAATAAGTGGGGCAACAGTCACACACTGCATGAAACAACCGTGTCAATTAATTTCTCACCCAATCCTTAGATTTCCAAAAAAGCCATAGCACAAAGAAATCCCTGCCGATTACGCCAGTATAAGGGGGTTCACTATGTACAGACAGGAAGGATTAGATCTCAGACAGGAATTGGGTTAAAACACCTTTAATAAGGCGACAACGGCCTTAGAAACAACAATCGAAATCTTACAGACAATCGTCCATTTTCTCCTCTCCCGATCCCTCTCCCGATCATATCGGTATCGGTATCGGTTATCACGATATCAATCCCTATAACGTCATGCCTAATGCGTGACATTTGGTACTGTAACGGTTACGGTAACAACATGCAATTGTATTGTAATTGTGCAGCGGTTTGCTGTGAAACCTGTGAGAAAGTCTATATTATAATGTCTTCTTTTCTAAGGAAAAATACTCCAAAAGAGATAAGATAATCGACAAGAAACGACATGAAACGGGTATGAAACATAACAAGGATATCCTCGTATACAGGGACAAAATGCGTCTTAAAAAATAAGAAAATGCAGACGTAATTTTAAATCAGACTTTGCTCAAACTTTCAATGACCTGTTCCTCTCATTTTTTCTGCTTCTTTTGAAACCAACTTTAATATGAGAGTGAACTTTCACTTCAACAAGCACTACATGTACCGTAAATCTCAGATGTATACATGTACATGTAAGACGCACCCTAATTTTAGGACCAAGACCAAGACAAAAAAACAAACAAAAACTCTCTTCTCTTCAAATTAGGAACGTAGTTCTACTTCAATTTGTAGATCCCATTATTTATTCGCATTGTGTAATTCATGTTGAGACACAAATTTTCGAAAACCACTAAAAAGTATCTTTTTTGAGGACTCAAAATATCCAACCCCGACGTTTGAATTTTTCCAGCGGAAAATTAGAGCGTCTTATACACAGAGATGTACGGTAGATGTAAATGCAGATTATGATTATAATGATTGTATGTTTGTCTGACAGATTACCCCCCTCACATGAGGCCTAATGCTGGGGTGCGTGGAGGTGCGGCAGGGAGGCTGAGACCCAACCCAGGCAAGCCCTCTATGTCTGGAGGAGGAGGGGGAGCAGCAGGGGGCAGTTCAGGTATGCTCTCATATCATTACAGGGGGGGGGGGGGTGCAGGGAGGCTGAGACCCAACCCAGGCAAGCCATCTATGTCTGGAGGAGGGGGAGCAGCAGGGGGCAGTTCAGGTATGCTCTCATATCATTACAGGGGGGAGGGGGGGGGGGGGGTGCAGGGAGGCTGAGACCCAACCCAGGCAAGCCCTCTATGTCAGGAGGAGGGGGAGCAGCAGGGGGCAGTTCAGGTATGCTCTCATATCATTACAGGGGGGGAGGGGGGGGGGGGGGTGCAGGGAGGCTGAGACCCAACCCAGGCAAGCCCTCTATGTCTGGAGGTGGGGGAGCAGCAGGGGGCAGTTCAGGTATGCTCTCATATCATTAGGCCATTTAAAAAAATATACATGTTTAGGGTCCCTGCCCAATTTCTTTTTGGGGGCCACCTCCTATTTTTTGGATCTTTTTCTGATTTTAAAAAAAGAAAAAGAAAAAGGGCCTCCTCCTTCCTACTTTTCCAAAAAACAGGACGCTAAACATGTTTTTTTTTTTTTTTTTGCCTTACAGGGGCTTTAAAGATGCATAGGAGTGGGCTCTCATGAGTCAAGGGGGATTTGACACTGTTGTGTGATTTCTCCAAATAGCAGGTGTTGTCAATCACCATGATTAGCCATCATTAGTCTGAGAAGAATAAGAGAATTATCGATGCCACTCTGAATTATTCTTACCCCTTGTAAACAAAAACTTGTTTTTTTTTTAAGTATCTCAAAAATAAAAGATGGACTGGTTGATTTGGGGTCTTTGTTGAATACTTTTAGATGTACATTGTGTAAGCTTTATTATGTCACTTTCTCAAGAAACATAAATCTGAGCAACTCAATTTTGTACTTAATACATGTAGGTCAAAAATTACAAAACTTGGTTCGGGTATGCCTAATTCAGTTGTAAACTGCTTTTTTTCCACATCAAATGTACTGAATTTAAATGAAATACATTTCAAAGTACCGGGTAAGTAGGTTAGATAATAGGGACTTTTATGTGGACTGATGCGTGTGACGTCCATTCAAGGCAGTGCATTAAAAGGATGTCGATCGTAGTAATCCACATTGTCGTTGTGCAAATCTAAAAGTCCCTAATGTAAAATGTTGTTGACTGCATGTACACAGAATGGCCCATGATGTGGTTACTAATAAATAGATATTAATTTTATGTTTGAAGGTGGGGTCGATCCATCGTCTTTCATGGGTCAACAGGCGCAGGAATCCAAAGGCAGAGGCATGATGGGAACTGTACTTCCTGTCTATGCTGTAGGAATCTTCATCTACTTCGGCTATGTGATCTATAAGGTAAGGTTAGACACTATGAATATGACGGACAAAGAAAGCGGACAAAATATACAGTTCCTCAGGTAGACATCAAGGAACATCTCTTCACTGCTATTATGTAAAAATGTGTAGAACAGGTGTCACATGCAAATTCACCTGTTCTACACATTTTTACTTAATAGCAGTGAAGGGATGTTCCTTTGTCTACCTGAGGAACTGTATATTTTGTCCGCTTTCTTTGTCCGTCATGTTTATAGTGATAACGTGTATATTAGACAATTGTTCAATGGTCAATTCCAACTGACCTCCTAAAGGCTTGTTCAGATATGATGAGGTCAAATTATGATATGCTTCACATTTCTGTATCTTGGTCTTCAATTTTATGACCAATAGACCTTTTGTAATGCATTGCCTTTCCCTCACCCAAAGACTCTCCGAGAGACTAGAGGTATGTATTGATAGGACTCCTTCCAAGTTCGCTGTGTGCAGACTGGTGCATCCATTAATGGTATTTCCACCAAGTCTGGTGTCAGCTAACTATGGCCTTCTGCACATGGAAACTGATGAACTACCTACTTTCAAAAAGCTTGTCGACTACTAGACGTTTACAGTTTATTAGCAGAAGCTGAAATTACAATTTAATTTTGTTAATCAATCCTTGTTTCCCGCAATTTGGTTTTCCAGTGTGACAAACCATTGACACCCTCTACCCAGATGAAATCACTCAACAAGAGCGGTCAACCCTCCAGAGACAACAACTTTCTTAGACTTCAGTTGATTGTCCTCAAACTTCACTGTGTTGTATCTCCTTCTGATTTCATGAAGACCAATGTAGAATCATTGTCAATATCTTCTGTAATAAAAGTTGAGGTTTCATAAATCTTCACCATTAGGTTTTCCTGCAGGACAAACCAACGACACCCTCCACCAGACCGACCTGGGGCTTCTTAGACTTCAGTTGATTGTCCTCAACTTTTATCGTGTTGTTTCTCCTGATTTCTTCTTTGATAATTGTTGATGTTTCATAAATCTTCACCATTTGGTTTTCCTGCATGACAAACCCTCGACGCCATCCACCAGACCGACCTGGGGCTTCCCGGACGACGTGGCTCAACAAGAACGGCCAACCCTCCAGAGACAGCAAACTTCTTAGACTTCAGTTGATTTCTTTCACTGTGTTGTTTCTTCTCCTGATTCATCAAGACCAATCTTCATGACTTTCTTCTTTAAAAATTGTTGATGTTTCATAAATCTTCACCATCAGGTGTTCCTGCGTGACAAACCCTCAACACCCTCCACCAGACCAACCTGGGGCTTCCCAGATGATGTCACTCAACAAGAACGGCTAACCCTTCAGAGACAACAACTTTCTTAGACCTCAGTTGATTGTCCTCAAACTTTCACTGATTTTTCTTCTTTAATAATAGTTGATCTTTCATAAATCTTCCCCATTAGGTTTTCCTGCGGGACAAACCAACGACACCCTCCACCAGACCGACCTGGGGCTTCTTAGACTTCAGTTGATTGTCCTCAACTTTTATTGTGTTGTTTCTCCTGATTTCTTCTTTGATAATTGTTGATGTTTCATAAATCTTCACCATTTGGTTTTCCTGCGTGACAAACCCTCGATGCCATCCACCAGACCGACCTAGGGCTTCCCGGACGATGTGGCTCAACAAGAACGGCCAACCCTCCAGAGACAACAAACTTCTTAGACTTCAGTTGATTTCTTTCACTGTGTTGTTTCTTCTCCTGATTAATCAAGACCAATCATCATGACTTTCTTCTTTAAAAATTGTTGATGTTTCATAAATCTTCACCATTAGGTTTTCCTGCAGGACAAACCAACGACACCCTCCACCAGACCGACCTGGGGCTTCTTAGACTTCAGTTGATTGTCCTCAACTTTTATCGTGTTGTTTCTCCTGATTTCTTCTTTGATAATTGTTGATGTTTCATAAATCTTCACCATTTGGTTTTCCTGCATGACAAACCCTCGACGCCATCCACCAGACCGACCTGGGGCTTCCCGGACGACGTGGCTCAACAAGAACGGCCAACCCTCCAGAGACAGCAAACTTCTTAGACTTCAGTTGATTTCTTTCACTGTGTTGTTTCTTCTCCTGATTCATCAAGACCAATCTTCATGACTTTCTTCTTTAAAAATTGTTGATGTTTCATAAATCTTCACCATCAGGTGTTCCTGCGTGACAAACCCTCAACACCCTCCACCAGACCAACCTGGGGCTTCCCAGATGATGTCACTCAACAAGAACGGCTAACCCTTCAGAGACAACAACTTTCTTAGACCTCAGTTGATTGTCCTCAAACTTTCACTGATTTTTCTTCTTTAATAATAGTTGATCTTTCATAAATCTTCCCCATTAGGTTTTCCTGCGGGACAAACCAACGACACCCTCCACCAGACCGACCTGGGGCTTCTTAGACTTCAGTTGATTGTCCTCAACTTTTATTGTGTTGTTTCTCCTGATTTCTTCTTTGATAATTGTTGATGTTTCATAAATCTTCACCATTTGGTTTTCCTGCGTGACAAACCCTCGATGCCATCCACCAGACCGACCTAGGGCTTCCCGGACGATGTGGCTCAACAAGAACGGCCAACCCTCCAGAGACAACAAACTTCTTAGACTTCAGTTGATTTCTTTCACTGTGTTGTTTCTTCTCCTGATTAATCAAGACCAATCATCATGACTTTCTTCTTTAAAAATTGTTGATGTTTCATAAATCTTCACCATCAGGTGTTCCTGCGTGACAAACCCTCTACACCCTCCACCAGACCAACCTGGGGCTTCCCAGATGATGTCACTCAACAAGAACGGCTAACCCTTCAGAGACAACAACTTTCTTAGACCTCAGTTGATTGTCCTCAAACTTTCACTGATTTTTCTTCTTTAATAATAGTTGATCTTTCATAAATCTTCCACATTAGGTTTTCCTGTGTGACAAACCCTCGACGCACTCCACCAGACCGACCTGGGGCTTCTTAGACTTCAGTTGATTGTCTTCTATAAACTTTCATTGTTGTTTCTCCCTGTTTCTTCTTTGATAATTGTTGATGTTTCATAAATCTTCACCATTTGGTTTTCCTGCGTGACAAACCCTCGACGCCCTCCACCAGACCAACCTGGGGCTTCCCGGACGACGTGGCTCAACAAGAACGGCCAACCCTCCAGAGACAACAAACTTCTTAGACTTCAGTTGATTTCTTTCACTGTGTTGTTTCTTCTCCTGATTAATCAAGACCAATCATCATGACTTTCTTCTTTAAAAATTGTTGATGTTTCATAAATCTTCACCATCAGGTGTTCCTGCGTGACACCCTCCACACCCTCCACCAGACCAACCTGGGGCTTCCCAGATGATGTCACTCAACAAGAATGGCTAACCCTTCAGAGACAACAACTTTCTTAGACCTCAGTTGATTGTCCTCAAACTTTCACTGATTTTTCTTCTTTAATAATAGTTGATCTTTCATAAATCTTCCCCATTAGGTTTTCCTGCGTGACAAACCCTCGACACCCTCCACCAGACCAACCTGGGGCTTCTTAGACTTCAGTTGATTGTCTTCTATAAACTTTCATTGTTGTTTCTCCCTGTTTCTTCTTTAATAATTGTTGATGTTTCATAAATCTTCACCATCAGGTTTTCCTGCGTGACAAACCCTCCACACCCTCCACCAGACCAACCTGGGGCTTCCCAGACAACGTGGCTCAGCAAGAAGGACCAACCCTCCAGAGACAACAGCAAGAGAGTCTACAGCGGAAGCTAGCAGCAGAACTCAAAGCAGCTAACTATCCTGAATTGAAAAAGAGTGATAAGAGAGCTGCTGAGGTCGCCGCTACTGTCGCTGCTGCTACTGTTGCCGCCACTGGGGATAGCTCCAACTCGGCACCGGCAGGTGAGTAGCGGGGGGAAAGGGGTTGAGTCCAGGGGGGTGTTTCACAAAATCCTAAGTTGAACTTATCTCTCATTTGGACTTAGAAATTATTGAAAGCCGTTTGCATCTTTGTAAAAGTTATTTCAAAAGGCATAACATGTTGATTTAATCATTCATATTTTCTATTATCATCAGAGATTTCATGTTCTTAATGTGAAATTTATGAAAAGTCTAAAATACTTGCATTTTTGCTTTTGAATATATTTTATTTTAAGGCTACAAAATGGCTCTTCATAATGTTCAAGTCCAACTTAAAGTTAGGTTTGACTTGGGATCTTTGTGAAACACTCTCCTGGTGAATATTGTTTACACTACATCATACAGAATAAAAGGGACCATCATTTAAAGCCTATTGAGGATTGACAGGTTGGTGGGCCCAAGAATTGGAAAGCAACAACATAAATGTTTGGGGGAAAAGGAAAAGTAAGTTAAAACAAAGGTGGTGGGTATTAGCGGTAATCGAATGTAATTTAATTGAATGTTTGAATCAAATGAGATTGAATGAAATTGAATTTAATGTTTGAATCAAATGAGATTGCTTGGGATTAAAGGAAATTGAATGTATTTAATTGAATATTTGATTTGAATGAGATTGAATGAAATTTAATTTAATTTAATTGAATGTTTGAATCAAATGAGATTGAAATTGAATGTTTGAATCGAATGAGATTGAATGAAATCGAATGTAATTTAATTAAATGTTTGAATAGAATGACATTGAATGTAATTGAATGTTTGAATTTAATGAGATTATTGAATGTCATTGAACAAAATTAAATGTCATTGAGTGAAATTGAATGTAATTGAATGTTTGAATTGAATGAGATTGAATGAAATCGAATGTAATTTAATTAAATGTTTGAATAGAATGACATTGAATGTAATTGAATGTTTGAATTGAATGAGATTATTGAATGTCATTGAACAAAATTAAATGTCATTGAGTGAAATTGAATGTAATTGAATGTTTGAATTGAATGAGATTGAATGAATTTGAATGTACTTTAAATGAATGTTTGAATAGAATGAGATTGAATGTAATTGAAAGTCATTGAACGAAATTAAATGTCATTGAGTGAAATTGAATGAAATTGAATGTATTTCTTTTTTGCAGGATCGACTGAAGAAGTTGATATGTTGAAGAAGCGCCTGGAGGAGACAGAGAAGACAATGCAACGTATGATGGACATGATGAACTCAATGGGTGTGGCTATGAGCCAAGTCTCTCATCATCTATGTGAGTATCATCAGGGAATTGCTGTTTGGTTTACAATCCGATTAGTCTATTCCCATATGGTCTGTACCCATCATTATTATTAATTAGGATTTGATGATCATTATACCGTATGGATAGTAGACAAAATAAGCACCAGACAAACTGGAAATTAGACAAAATGAGCAATAGACCGAATCGTCGCTGTTTTCACGAAGTGACGGTAGTGGAAAAAAATTGCATTAACTTTGCGTTACAATTTTCCTTACTACCGTCACTTCGTGAAAACAGCGACTAAATGGGTAATATATTTATTGGACATTAGACCAAAATGAATTAAATCAAAATCACTTAAGTGTAAATGGTCATTAGACCAAATGATATGAAGACAAAATGATTATTAGACTATGTGCATAGTAGACCATGGGCAAAATAGACCAACTGGTTGTAGACCAAGCAGCAATAAAACTGTATCAAGTGGACAGATATTCCAGAGACAAATACATGAATGAATATGAAGAAATTATATGCGGACAAATTATTTTTAATGTCTCTATACCTTACCAGTATTAAGTGATAGAAAATAGTTTGACTGTATTTATATTGTATTTGAATATCTGCAGCAAACGATAAGTCTGGATCACCCACCCTGCTTCCGGGCTTCAGTGAACCCAAGGAGGTCGACGACCACGACATCGAGGACGATGACCTGCTTGACATCGATGTCGACAATCTGAGCGACGAGGAAGACCTCATCATCGGCGACAGCATGGATCCCTGTGGGAGCTCCGATGAGGAAAACGACGTGAGCACAACAAAGGATGATATGGACGACGATGTCGAGAGAAGACGGCCGAACAAGATGAACATTGTGGACGTGGAGGCGGACGATTACCATGATGATGACGACGATGATGACGGGGATGTCGATAGCGATGATGAGTCAGAGGTTGAGAACATAGGAGTAGAAGACGCTCTGACGTCAGACACTCTTAGACGAAGGAATGTTAAAGGAGGCGACTCTGCTGCAGACGGATCGCGAATCGAAGGATGATTTGTCTTTTTGTATTGAATCTTAACCAACAAATGATGCCATGTTAAATTATTTTTATTGTACATAGTACATGTATGTACAATATTTAATGTGTATATACCATGGGTTTGTATGGGGAGAAGTCTTGATGACTTTGAGTCTATACTTTAATTTCATCTCTAGTTTTGGAAATGATTAAACAAAATATAAATTAGGTATTGAAAAAAAATGACAAATCTGCAAGGATGATTTCTCTCCAGTACAGACACAGACCAGGACGTGATTGCCAACAAAAATCTTGTTATTTAAACTTTAGATCTTTTTCCAGCTTTGCTATGAAAGTAGAGAGCATATTTCTGATACTTTTAACATACATTTTTCCTGGATTCTCTATTGTAAGACCAAAAGATTTAGTTCCGAGAGGAGTTCAGATTCGTGAACAAGGCTATTGGCTCCCATTTGCAAAAGTTTCATGTCTAAAAAGTTTCTGGTATAACAGTATAACCACTGTACTGGACTTTGCATGACCTTATTCACTCCTTTTGAAAGATCTTGTTCACTCCTTTTGCAAGACCTTATTCACTCCTTTTGCAAGACCTTAATCACTCATTGTGCACCAAGTGTAAAAATTGCAGATGATTGCATCTATACTTTGATTGTTCTGGGCCCTGTTTCATGAAGCTTGTTAGCAGTAACAAGTTACAATACCTGTTATAAGCTACTGAAATCATGGCATCTGATTGGCTGAGAGCAAATTTGTAGTAGAATTTTAGCATTTGTTATTGATAACAAGTTTTATGAAAACAGGGCCCTGGTGCTTGATAAGATATCCCACCGCTGCCACCATGCAATCAAGGAGACCAAACATCAGCTTAACCACTTGACTGCAATTGGCTTAAAATGCGTTCATCAGCTTAACCACTTGACTGCTATTGGCTTAAAATGCATTCATACCCCCTTTGCTGTACAAAAACCTGACAAAAACTGTACACTGTACACAAAAAAAGCCGGATTCTTTTTGGAAGAGCGCCATCTACTGTTCAACACCTGTATAATATCATTGCAGTGCTAATAACACAGTAGGGGTTGGCATTATGCAGTGCTACGGTCTTGAAAGTGCAATGCCCTAAGCACGTACATACATGTACGTGGGTAGCAGTCAAGTGGTTAAAGGCTTGCTCAGATATGATGCAGAAAATCACCCGCTATTTAAAATGATATGTAAAGTGTATGGGCTTCACAATTTTGTATCTTATGACACAGACCGCTATTATAGTCCTTTGTTGCGCTCATTTGCCATTCATGTACACATAAACAAAACAACGCTGCTGATTTTTTTTTTTGTGGCGGTTTACTTGCGCCATATCTGAACAATCCTTAAATAGACTTGAACTAGAAAATTAGGCTATTTGTGTGCATCCCTGCTCAGTTACGTGGCCGAGGTAACAATAGTGGAGTACCAGGAGTGTCAAGTCTGACGAACATTAGGCACTACTATACAAATCCCCACTATTATTATCATTATTAATTATTCCTTCCTTACCTTGGGTGGCACATCTCGTCCAAGATAACTGTAGACCACAAACGCAGTCGTGATAACATGAAACTTTTTTTCTCTTCTTTTTTCTGATACAGTAGGTTTGTGGGTGCACCATGTGAGCGAGAGAGAGAGAGAGAGAGAGGGTTGAGGAGCCCTGAAAAGGACTCTGACTCTGTAATCTTTCTTGGGGGTGTGTGTAGTCCTGAAAAGGACTGTTGTTATCTTTCTTAGCACCAGATACAGCTACATGGTTTTCCATTGAAGATATTTTATGCCAAATGTAGAAATGAATTTAAGTATAAAAACTTATGATTTTAACAGTAACGGTTTGTTTTGATGATTATTTATTTACCCAGTGGCACAGTAGATGTTAAATTTGTTTTCCTTAGTAAGAATCGTTGCACAAGTACTTTCAATATCAATAATCTTCCTGTTAATATATTAATCATTCATGATTATTTATCGATTTGTAATATATCATGTTAGATTTAAATGTTCATACATGTATGTGTATTATAGATATTCATTCTTATTGTAAATAGTTTGTGTTATTTATGAATATTTAGTGATTGTGGTTTTTTTACTGGTGTGTTTGTGGAAATTGCCAAGTTTTTCTCCCTTTTATGTTGTTGTTTTAGAGTAACATAGCTTTTATAGTTGTTTTCTTTTTTAATTTGTGCTAGATAGCTTTCAAGCTCTTAAACCGCTTGTTGGTGATTTCATATTCCCAGATATATATGGGCAATACCACAAGTATTATTAACAAAACTGATATAGTACAGTTTCCTCTTTTCTTTTGCAAGACATATCTCCATCACATGAAAGGTGCCAGGTACAGTCTTTTTAAAATTTAATTGTTGATATATTTTAAATGATCTCTTTTTATAGTAAGAGGAGTCAATAATCAGCCCATGTTTTTATTTATTTATAATGTAAAATCTGTTCCTTTAATTTGGTATATTTTGAAAAACTCCCATTTTTGGCGACTGACATGCGAATAGTGCTCTAAAAGCATAGACATTAATTTGTAATACATGTATGTACTATCCAGAACCCTAATGAGGCAATTTATGATAATCATTTTTAAATATAGCGTAGATATAGCTCCTTATACATACATGTAAAGTCTGAAATCGTATTCATTCCGTATCTTAAATCTGCTAATTTATGTGTTGATTTAAAATGTTCATGTATTTAAAGAAACACATAGGCTGATATATTATCAGACAACCCTTTTACTATTATGTAAATGAAATATTTTACACTGAAAGCTTACAAACTGTAACTTAAATCTTCCCTCTGTATTCTGTATGAAAACAAGGATTTATTTTGGCATATCTGCAATACCCATGTCAAATATCCTATTTTGTACAAGTTTCCTTTTTAAGATAATTATGTGTGCAATATTCATAAAGTAAGTGTTAGAGGTTGTATACTATCAGTCATTTCTAGACAGCTTTTATTTGTAGGGCTAAATTCATCACACTTATTCCTCTAAACTGGCAACAATGATTTGTTTTATTTTGTCACTACATTGGCAAGATAAAATGTAACGTCTCTGCAAATAATATGCATAGACAAGAATGTTGTCAAAAATGTAGAACAAATTGCCAATTTTAATAGAAAAACAATGATTTTGAATATCTAGACATGTTGCCAACTTAAGGATTGTTGAGCCTATTTTCCTTTTGAAAACTTCTTGGCATAAAAAACAATATAGTCCAGAAAACAGAAATGGTTGTGGTGTGTGCAAAAATGTTTTCCCTGGCTTTCTACTCATGCATATGTTTAGGGTTCTGAATCAAATCTTACACTGAATGTTCAAGATTACAAATAAATGTCATTTGCCAAACCACAAAATGTGGAATGATTTTAGTGACAGGGTTATATGCCTCTCATTATGTACCTGTATCCACAAAATATTTCTTTTCAAGAAATCAGTACTACCCTTCCTACCCACTACAGTGCTATTGTAATCATGTACTATATCACTTGTAAGATTAGTCCAAACTTGATAACATAACATTTTACAACTGTTTAATTCATTTACTGCATAAACTCATGGGAAGAATTGCTGCATTTGTCCAAAACTTGACAAAGAAATGTTAATTTATGGCTGATGTATGGCTGTCAAATGAAATTGTCCAACTTATTCATCTTCCTATTCCAATGGCTTACTATTCTGGTTAAGTATGTTCACTCTATATTCCTGTTTATCCTTTTAAAGATCGGAAACATTTCACTTCTTCCGTCATTTTAGAGCAACAAGTCATCGATTAACAGCTAGCAAACGGTGTACGATACGTACAGTGTATTCAGAATGGTGGTGTGACCATAATTCGCGTACTAACACTAAAAGCGCTTAAAGAGGAGAGCAATACGCAGCGTATACAATTAAAGTTCGTTCCACTGTGTAGATAGTACTACTATCTACCAAGTGCAACGCACTTTTATTGAAGATAGTAGTACTATCTACACAGTGTAACAAACTTCTTTTCTCCCATCAATGATGGGCGATCTATCTTTCATCACGATTTACTTTTGACCAATCGTAGAGCAAGATTCTTACTACCGATATGTGGAATATAATACATTTTATTGTTTGGTTTAGAATGTAAATGTTGGTGATGGAGTTTTCTCCTTTTTTTTTCTTAGTCCCACACATTATCTCAGTGGAGAGTATTTGTATCAAAACGATATATAAACCATTTTGGGGTTGTCTTTTTGTTGATGTTGTTATTTATACACATTTGCTGTTCTATTTATTATGTGTTTTAACTTTGTCATTAATATTTGTGTTTTCCTTTTGGACATTATTCACAATTATAGCAATATTATGTGTAAGTAGCATTTGTAAAGTATTATTTGTGCTTTACATAAAGTGGAATTGTGAAATGAACAAAGAATCTAAATGCAGTGCTGTGTGCTTGTATCATTGTATCGTTTCAAATGTAGTTAATTGAAGTCACCAAACAAAGAGTGGCGATTGATCTGAACGAATCACAATCAATCGCAAATGTCATATCACATTTAAACAAAAGAAGACAAAGTGGTAGAGGGAGAGAGAGAGAGAGGGGAGGGGAGAGAGAAAGAGAGGGAGAGAGAAAGAAAGAGGGGAAAGTGGTAGAGAGAGGGGGAGGGGAGAGAGAAAGAGAGGGAGAGAGAAAGAAAGAGGGGAAAGTGGTAGAGAGAGAGAGAGAGAGAGGGGGGGGGGGGAGAGAAAGAGAGGGAGAGAGAAAGAAAGAGGGGAAAGATGGAGAGGAGGAGAAAAGAGACAGAACAAGAGAGAGAAGGGGGTGGGTGGAGAAAGCTATAGAGATAGAGGGGTGTGGCATGAAGGAGAGAGAGAGAGAGAGAGATAGAGGGGTGTGGCATGAAGGAGAGAGAGATAGAGGGGTGTGGCATGAAGGAGAGAGATAGAGGGGTGTGGCATGAAGGAGAGAGAGAGAGTGGGACAGGGGAATAGAAAGGTAGAGAAAAGTAGAGTGTTTGCACATAAAGTGTTATCTATTATAGAATGACAGAATTGTATTTTTTGGTATTTGAAGGGGATGGTGCTCCCTCTTCAATGGACTTCTGTTAAGAGGTGTCATTGGTGTTCTTTTGATCAAATTTTGGTTCTAGTCCAATCTGTGGGCTTATATGCCTTTAAATAAGAAGACACTAAAATGTATTTGCCACCATCGACCCAAGTGCTTTAACAGAATGTGATTTTGTTTAAAAGAGTAAGGCTACTCCGACATTAAATTGTTTTTCAACAGAATCGGGTCAATAAAAGTTTGAGCAAATAATGATTAACATAAGAAAGTTATGAACATTTGAAGGCGCAATCAATCAAACATGAATTGGCAATTCTCTGACGCATCTTACGAGGTCTCCTCCAATTTTTTCCTGTACTAAAAACTTCAACAATTGAAGAAACTTCAGAAATGTTTCCATCGTACCTTCACCCTTAATATAATTATTGCACATGTTTTTTATACAACTCCTGTACGACACGAGTCTCTTCTGTCACTAATAACTAAGAAAAATGAAAGTCAATGAAATTATTTGTACAAAGCAAATTGGAGAGGAGCTCGCAAGATATTCACAGTGTTGCCCATTTGTTTTTTATTTATTGCAACTTCACTAAATCTTTACTTTACTACTTTTAATCAAATATTGCTCAAACTTTCACTGATCTACTTTTATAACCAAGATAATACCAAGGTGGACTTGCCCTTTAATAGATACTTTCAAGTTTCACTTGGAAACATTCATCCAGAATACTCATAAACATTAAAAACAAGCAAGTGACACTCTTCTTTTTTCACAAATATTTGCACAAATATTTATTCACAGGAATTTCATGGAGATACAATGTATATAGATAAGAATGGGCACAAAGTACTAATATAGAATTGGGTTCACAATATATGATATATATCAAACAGAAGCCATATACAAAACTCACACTACAGATATATAAATATTCATAATCACGCTTTCTTGAAAAAAGACAAACAATAAGTACATGCTTCATCACAGAGGATCTGTCGTAACTAAAAAAAGATGAGACAGATTTCTTTTTTCACACTGAATAATTCATAAAATACACACATACTATATGAGGAATGGTAATAGATTCCAAAGGGCAGTCAGATTTGAATATACAGTGAAGTGTTTGCATGGATGATGGTTATGATAACAAGCGACTGAAGAAGGTCATCTGATCGGTGATGCAACTTGAAAATTAGTTCTTTCTTCACAATCAGAAGAAAAATTCATTTCCTCTTGCGTTCGAGCACTTCCTACTTAACTGTATAAGAGGACAGTCTTTCCATTTAAAATTATTTGCATCTGCTCTGTTTTTCTGTTTATCAGATTGTTATGTAATGACTTCTGAGTGCATATGCCTATACTGGAACTGAATGAATTAAATGTTTTGGTTTGTGGTTCTTTAAAATTACAAAATAGCCGTCCAGAGACTAATTGCATAATTGTTACCATGTAAAAGTGGCCTGTCATAAGAAAATCACATAACAGGCACTCCCAACAAGTCTATAACATTGTTGAGGGAGACATATCATTAATTATTGAGGTACGACCTGCCGATGTAGAGCATCTATTTTCAAATTACCCACATTATAATACACACTTACACCCCTGTAAGAGGCAGGATGGGAAATACTTGTCATCGTCATGGTTATCATTATTTTTATCATCCATATCTGACCAGCCTTTCACAGAGGTTACATACATGTACACAATTGCATGTCTTTAATATTGCATAAAACAGAATGTTGCTATATATTCAGACAATACTAGTCATTTTTGGTATATCAACACTCAACATATATGAGTAAGATAATATGGTCAGTGATTTTCATTTAGTGCAAACAGGACACAACTTCATAAAAACGAAGACTATTCTCTTAACATTCCGAAATGTGAGTTTCTTTATGTTATATTACTACTATAAGGATGTATCTTCCAAGCATGTTTATTTATAACTTATTATCAATAGCAAGCATTACATGATAGCAGTATAGAATTCCATAACGACCTGCAGCTACACAGCGCAAGCTCTATGGCAGTAACAACTTTTGAGTTCTAATAGCACGTTCATAAAATCAGTCCATTTTTTTGAAAGGAAGAAAGGGCCCTTTGCAAACATACTGTACAGGAACAACTCCAAAAAGGATTGATTGAGAGACGGGAAGAGAGAGAGGGAGAGAGAAAGAGAGAGAGAGGGAGAGAGAGAGAGAGAGAGAGAGAGAGGCAGAGAGAGAGAGAGAGAGAGAGATAGAGAAAGAGAGAGGCAGAGAAAGAGAGAGACAGAGAGAGAGAGGCAGAGAAAGAGAGAGACAGAGAGAGAGAGAGAGAGAGAGGGATGAAGAAGGGAAATGGAAAATGAATACAAAAAAAGGGAAAAATCTATCATACCCAAAATATTATTTGGAAATCAATTATTATACCTCCTGATATCAATATGGGCCTAATTTGATAATGCTTTAAATAACCTGATGTCTTTGTATTGTGTAATGCTTGAATTACATGTATACAGACTGAAGCACCAATACTGACTACAACATATCAACATTAAGTACATACGAGGGGGGTCATAATACATTTCTTCACCATTGTTTATAATACCTAATGAATTTCAATTAACATTTCATTATCAATACACTCTAATTGAACCAGGATACACCACTGTATGGTTTGGGACATTTATAATATAATATATTCATATCTATTTTAATTGCACACATGAATATTACAAATTCGACTTCCATATATCAATCCATTTCATTATATCTATATATTAAATTGAAATCAATGCAACAAACAAAAAAATAAAACAAATGAAGACCTAACAAATTCAGAGCAAAAGAAAGAGATGAAGAGAGAGACAGAGACAGAGATAGAAGAAAACGTCACATACTGCATGTGATCGTTAATCGGATGATCATTACAGAAACCAATATCTGGGATCTAATGTTGGAATATATATTTTATTTAATTAAATCTGATAATTAATCCATTCAATATGATATATTTTGTTTCTATCACACACATCTCACTACATTCCCATAACACCTACAAAAAAAAACACAGCAATATTGACTAGGGGTAACACATTTACCATGGCCATGTCTATTCAACTAGAGTGTAGTATGCAAAACTGGGCTCGTACGCGCAATAATCGATAATACATTATTAACCAAAAGGGACAGAAGTATCGACAAAGTGCCTTACTATTCTTCAACATGACACTGTTATCATTGACCAAACATAGAAAATATGATGACATTATATTGTATAGACATGCAAATTGATACACACGTTCTGACTGATAAAACATCTTCAATTCAGTATAAGTGAGAAATTATTTTGAAGAAGAGATATACATTTATTTCACTCAACATCAACATTGAGAAGTGGTATGCTGAAAAACATTTTTGTATCTTATTTTAGTGAAGGGATTCAGTTATAAAATCTATATCCATCTATTTATGTCCCATAGTTTGGAGGCTGTTGGGGTGCCAATGAACACAGGTTCTCCATAACTTCCCGTCTTCAGCTGTTCTTGTTACCTGCTCAAATAACATTCCCATCCACTGCTTGATGTTATCAGTCCATGTCCTAGCTTGTCTGTTTCTCTTATCAGTTCCGCCTTGCAAGATAGTGTTTGCCAAGCTATTCTCCCATCTTCTCAAACCACTGTAGCTGTCTTCTTTTCACAATCGTGATGAGATGATTGTGTTCCTGTATATAACTCTCCATCATCTCTCTCTTACTGTAGTGGTCTATTGGATATATGCAGTTGTCGAAACAAGTTGAAATTGTTCTCATTAACTCCAATTTTGACAGAAATGTATATGAAATACAAAGTATCCATGTAGGCCTATAAAGTTACCTTCACTAGTGATCCAACACCTCATCATAGTTAAGCTTTTAAATGACAATTCTACAAAACTTTCCCTAAAATAAGAGATAAAATAATTGCAAGCATACCACCTCAGACTTACACTTAAAAACACAATTTAACCTGATTTTTTTAAAACTTTTATAGAATGTATAATAAGTAATACTTAATATCAAAAGGAAAACCACTTTCCATTCATACACAAAAATAAATCACCATTTCTACTTATACATCTGTTTTTGGATTAACATTGAAATAATGATACATTCATTAATGTACACACACGTTGTCTGTTTAGAGCCATAAGGGCTCTAACTCTGTTTCTAAGAATACAAGTTAAAGCCCTTTAGCATCAAACAGACAACATATTTTATTGCTAGCAATGTCATTGTTACATTCACAGCTAAGGAATAACTCCTCATACAGTCCACCAATTTAAAAATACAATGCTCAATTTTTTTTTTGAATTTCCAACCCCATTTTGCACTTTTATTATAAAAAAACTATGATATACAAAATGGACGAAGCGAGTGATCAAGAGTATACATTGTACATAGAATGGTATTGGACGCAAACTTCTAAAGCTACATGTATTTCACGCAAGGAAAAACTGCATAATATCGTTCACATTTTGCATAACATCACTAAAACCTCAATATAATCATTTCATGTTTCCTGTATGTATATAACATCAAAATACAGTTAATATCACATTTTAACTTTTTCTGATTACATTAACATCAATTGGGTCTAATACAAAATAAAACCAGAAAAAAACAAGAACAAACATAACGATGTATAACAATATCACAATGCTGCTTGTTAGTGTCGGCTTGCATGGTGATGTAGATATACAGTAGGCTTGCGGGTGCACCATGTTCTCCTTAGAACTATAAGCTAAGAAAGATAACCAACTGTCTTTTTCAAGACTACACAAACAGTCCTTTTCAGGACTACACACCCTCAAGAAAAATTATACAGAGAGTCTTTTTCAGGACTCCTCAATCCTCTCTCTCTCTCTCTCTCTCTCTCTCTCACATGGTGCACCCGCAAGCCTACTGAATATCACAAAGCTTTAAGAACTCTAATATCTGAGAGAAGAAAAACAAATACAGAAAAATTAGCCAATTATACAGGTGTAGATGAGCTTTCACACCTTTGTCACTTTTTAATCATAACAAAAAGTGGAACTGGGTCTGTCTTCGGTCAAGAGGTAGTCAAATGGCCCTTGAGGTTTGTTTAAAGTGATACTCAACTGAAATTTTTGCCCTAGCGTACTGTTTACTGCACAGCGCCATCTCTTGGTCAACTTGCCAACAGTGTGTAACCAAATACCCAATCTCTGCTTCGCAGACAGAGGATTCAATGCGAGAACCAACAAAGCAGCGATTAATGGGACCCTACTGCTACAACTGACCTGAGATGGTGCTAGAGGGGATTCACTAGTACAGTGTGGCTTTAATAGTTAAATCAAAATTTGTAGCGTGCTTGAAAGGTATGCTATGAGTCACAATCAAACCTGCCCCCCCCCCCCCCCCACCCTAAAAAAGGGTATGGGTGGGGTTTGTTTTCATTGTTTCTTCTTATCATTGTTTTGTTTCGAGATTGCAAAGATTCTACTATCGATAGACCATGTAGACAAGCTTTGCTCAGAAGAAGAACATTCCTAGCTGCAAATTTTTTGAGGAGCCACAAACAATTGAATTGAATTGAATCAAATTAATAATTGGCAAGATAGCACAAGCAAATACTTATTAAATGCTGATGAAAAAAATGATTCATATCATGTAGTTGCAGCTCAAGAGAATATATCATATATTCAGAGCACCATCATCATTTGTTTAATGCTGATGAAAACAATATGCAGCAAATGAATAAAATAATGCAGATGAGGCAAAAAAAATTGATTCCTATTTCTAACCCCTTTGTAATATTCTTCCTGCTCTAGTCCTTTTTTGCGTGTGTATGAGGAAATCTAAGCAACAGAGTATGTGGAAATTAACAAAATGGGGCAGTTTCACTTCACAATCATTCATGTAAGCAGTTTGTTTTTTGGTCAATAACCTGTGAAAGGATGCACACAAGAATGTGTTCATGAACAGCACACATTAACAATTCTTTTCTATAAATTACTTTGAAAGACCCTGATGCGTTAAAGCCTTTTGCCGCGATCCTCTGAATAAACTTCTACCCTGCAGCCCCATGTACATGCAACTTTATATCCATCTTTTCCTTCAGTTAATGTACGGTATTCCAGTGTTAAAATATATAAGAGAATTTTGTCAATAAGTGAAATTGTGTTTTTAAAAAAGGGCATGTTACTGTAAGTACACTGTACATGGACGGTAATGTGTTAATTTAGTACACATAACATTTAACTTTTTTTTTTATCTGTCAAATCCACACCATACCTCTAAAGCCCTGCAGTACTTACCACTAAAAACCTTGTCATAAACCTCTAAATCTATGAAACTATATTTACCTTGTAAACCCATCAAGTATTTTCTTTTCTTTGGTAACACACCTGTGAGTACGTTCACAAGAGGGTACGTCTGTGAAATATTCTTCTGAATATTATAAGTTAAGTACTTTATTTTCTGTCAAATTCATGTGAAAACTTATTGACCCTCTATACCTAAGGAACCGTTTTGAGCCAATCAATCACTCAAATATTTCCGGTTGATGTGAGTTGTGAAAGTGCACAAGCATGGATGTTTATGGCAGCAGTCTTACCCAAACGAGTTCAATTTTTTCAATCAAATACTTGAAAATTTTGTCGAGTTAACCATGTACTTTGGTAAGATGAAAAACAGAGTAACTACCCACATCCTAAATAATGAAAGAAAAGCTGGTATGTAACTATACTAGAAGCACAATTAAGCAAAATAAATAACACTCACTCATAGATCTAAGCAATGGAAAGACATTCACAACGGGCCACAGACAACAGTTGAATAAATATATTTCTTTCCTCAGCAGAAAAAAAAAAATCTACACAAAATACACTACTCTCATACCAAAAATAAATACCAGTAATCTATCACAAAGTATATGCACGTTATAAACATAGGGTCTTAATCTATTTATACATAATAAATACTCATGATATATTGAAATCCATTATGACACCGAGACTGTATACACTAATACATATTGCATTATATGTATGTCATTTGAAATGTAATAACCTCTCTATTACCATTAAAAGATATCACATGAAATAAAACATATGACCTTTGACCTCAGTTTACATAGTTGCCAATTTGATGATTATAATGATTTCTCCATCAACAAAACGAGATAGATACAGCCCCAGGTCACAGTGCACTTCACATGAAAACCCCCGGAAGCCCGGCTGTAATTTTATCTGAGTCGCTATCACATTTACAGGTGTTGTGGTCTAGTGGATAAGTCTCAAGACTGTGAACCAAAAGGTACAGGGTTCAAATCCATGCCACAACATCAGAGACCTTTGGCAAGCCATTACATCTAATCTAGATTTGCCACATGATGGTACCTGGTAGGATCTATTCCTTGAATGCGCTGAGCGCTACGGTTTATGTGGTAATGTTAATTGTTATTGCACGCTACAAGAGTCCTATCTCGCACCCCGGGACAACGTGTCTGACACGGCCGGTTGTAGCAACTACTCCGAAGATAAAGATACATTAATCTTGGTCCAAGGAGACACGAAAGAACACTACGGTTTCGAGAGCTAAAGTCTGTGAATTAATAACCAAAGTCCTTTGCATAGGAACATTACATCACAATGTGGTAATCGCGATAATAGAAGGGAATATCATCATCAAGAATTTTAATCACAACTACAACAAACAGCGGACAAAAAATAGAATGACTAATAGTAATGGTGAGGTTTTAGACTTTGGCTAGATAAGTGCTTGGGACAAAACCCTGTTCTCCGTCTTTCTCGACCAACCACCACTCTGAGTTGCCTTCTGTGTCTTGAGCTGCAATGACCGTCACAACACCGCCCTCTGTCAGGCTCAGCTCATTCGGACTGCTGGCCGTAAAGCCCCACTCAGCATAATAATACTGCCGTAAAAGATTACAGTATGTAATGTATGAATTTGTGTAAGAATACACTGCATTATAATACTGACGCAAAAGATTACGTTACGCAATGTATGAATACACTACATAATAATACTGTCGTAAAAGATTACAATATGTAATGTATGACTGCAGTGCATACTGATACTGTCATGAAAGATTACAATATGTAATGTATGAATACACTGCATAATAATACTCTCATAAAAGATTGGGATATGTAATGTATGAATAAAATGCATAATAGTACTGTCGTAAAAGATTACGATATGCAATGTATGAATATACTGCATAATAATACTGTCGTAAAAGATTACGATATGTAATGTATGAATACACTGCATAATATTACTGTTGTAAAATATTACGATATGTAATGTATGAATTAGTGTATGAATACACTGCATAATAATGTTATTACACTTTGTGTTTCCCTTAGGCAGTCGCTATAGACAGGTTTGACTGTAGTTTTAACATGTTGAAAGTTAGAGGACCTGAATAAGAAATAATAAATGATTTGCAGCGAGTTATTCTATGTTTCATCTTTATTTTGGCAGAAGTTTGTGGCTTACCTGGGGTGACCCGAGGTCGCTATAAGGCCCTTTATTGGCCTCATCATCACTGGAGTAGATGTTTGTTGAGTGACTTTCGTTACATGCTGCTAGGATACCCATCGGTACAAACCCTTGGGATGCTGTCAAGAGAATCAAAATCAAAGTATTTGACAGGATTGTTCACAAATGATGTAGGAAAATGTTTGTTTAACATTTCTTTTTAAAGGTTACGTGAATATCATAAGTGGTATACATGCAAACAATAAAAATGGCTACGTGCTACAGATGTCCTATGCATACTCGCTCCTCTGTTTGTTATTAGATACAGACTTAACAATTATGGAAAGCCGTTGGCATCTTTGAGAATATTTTGTAAAAGTTATTCTAACAGGCATACAAATGTTGATTCAAATCATACATACTTTCTGATATCATGGAAGATTACATGTTCTTGATGGGGAATTTATGAAAAGTCTAAAATACTTAAATTTTTGCTTTTGAATATATTTCATTTTATGGCTACAAATGGCTCTCCATAAGTCCAACTTAGAGTTAAGTTCGACTTAGAATCTTTGTGAAACACCTCCCAGGGAACCGTTTCACATAGCCTTTTTTCAAATTTGCTTATAACCAATCAGAAGCAAGGATTTCAGTAGCTTATAACAAAACCTGTCGTTTGTCACTGTGAAATGGTATTGTTGAAATGGTATTGTAATGGTATTGTAATGGTACTGTAATGGTACTGTAATGGTACTGTAATGGTATTGTAACGGTATTATAACGGTATTGTAAAGGTTTTGTAATGGTATTGTAACGGTATTGTAACGGTTTTGTAATGGTATTGTAACGGTATTGTAATGGTATTGTTATGGTATTGTAATGGTATTGAAATGGTATTGTTATGGTATTGTAATGGTATTGTAATGGTAGTGTAATGGTAGTGTAATGGTATTGTAATGGTATTGTAATGGTATTGTAATGGTATTGTAATGGTATTATAATTTTGTAGCTTTCAGTCTTACCTCCACTGTCGACGTACCACCTGTCAGAGCTCCCGGTCGGATCCTGCTCTTTAATGATCCCCACAATGTTAGCCTTGTATACACTGATATCCATTGGCTGCTGGGCTATGAAGTTAGACTTCACTTGGTATACCCGGCCCGTTGGGTAGCGTGTCATGACGCTCTGACGCTGCGCCTCGCTCTGAGCTTTTGATGATGGCTGTAGAAATAAAGAGAGACATTTGAGCTTATTAAAGACTTCCGATCGGCGATAGGATTAATCATCTTTTGTATCTAAAGATGTAAAGTACATCGAGTTGTTCTGATGTCGTACCTTGCTATGATCTTTTGACAATGGTTATACAATTGAGAGCAAGAAATTAAATGATTGAAGTCTATAATTTTTGTATATAAAATCCTAACTATAAGTCTTTTTGTTATTAATTTTAACATGGAAAGAGAATCAGAGCTGCTCTGACGTTTTGCCTTCCATTGGGCTTTTAATGATGGCTGCGCAATAAAGAGACGTTTTAAATTTGATAGTTTTATTACTAAAATACATACCATTCAAAATGAATGGAGTTGCTCTGTGCTTTTGAGGATAGTTGTGGATTTAAAAGAGATATTTTAAATAAAGACTGAAATCATCAATAGTCTTTTTGTTATCATTAAAACACTTTAAATGCATCGTGTTGCTCTGATGCTGTGCCTTACTCTGCGCCTTTGAGGATGGTCGCAGATTGGAGAGTGAAATTTGAAAGACTGAAATCTGTATAATAATAACTTATCAACAGTGATCTGTTCAATAGGTTCTTCAACCAACCCCTGGCAACAATTTTTCCCCTGAACAGTTCACTAAACTAACAGAATTCTGAACTTCAACCCTTGACTCAACACTGTACCAAAGGTTGATCCAATGGCAACCCTTTAGCTTTAAAGAGACGGTTGAGTGCTGGGAAGAGGTAAAACATGATTTGTGAGCATTATCATTGTTTTTATGCAAGTGTGGAAGAACATCAGATAAAACATGTTCCCTGAAAAGTGAAAAGCAACTCTCTTCAAAAGCCTTAGTATTCTAAGTATGACATGTAACAGCATACCTATTGGGACAGATTTTTATGTCACATGTTCATGTAGTCCAATATACATCTCTGTGTGTACCGAGACTGGGCCAAATTTCTTAACATTTTGATTATTCCAGAACCTTGCAGTACACACCAATACTTATATGCTAGATGATCAACCTTTACTGATCGCAATCGCTTGACCAGAACTCAACTATATGCCTACATGCCTAAGAAACATAATTCTCAACTTACTGGTTTACTTGCAGGGACTTTCGGCTCGGTAAACGGCTTCTTGGATTTCTTCTCCGTCTTGTCGACCTTCCGGTCAAAGTTTCTCGGTACGAAGGAATAGATGAGCATCCCTTCAGATGCATCTTGATGGCTCGTCTCAAAGTCAGACATGATGTTTGTCATGTCGGTCGATTTGACGATCGAGAGCTGCCAATTTGAGGAAGATCAAATGAAGAACAAGTTTTTATAAATAATGGTACATGTAGGATATTTCCAATTATGTTTCATACACATACATTTTAAAGTACCTGTGCATGCAGCAAAAGAACTCTTGCACCTGAAAGTTAGTGGATTTGACGATAGAGACGAAGACAAAAGAAGGAGGAAAAGTTTTTATAACTATGGTTCATGTAAGTCATTTTCAATTGTTTGTCATACAAACATATTGAACATGTAAATATACATGTTTATTGCAGCATAAGAATTCTTAAATTTTTACCTCAAAATCAGACATAATGTGTGTCATGTTGAACTTCTATACGAACTCAGTGTTATTTGATCTGGTTCATAACATTACAAACCAGAGGGAAAAAACACTGAGCTCCTATAGGAAATCTTTTTATTCAGATGGTCATATCTCAGCCAATTGGCTTTCGACATTTGGATATTATTTTTGATGCTGTTTCTGAGAATAAACAAAATTTTGAGAAATTCTGACAAATAGATTTTTATGATGTCACAGATTCGGTACTCTATATCCTTTTCTCCAATTAGGTTTTACCTCAATCAAGGGATAAAGCCTCTTGAGTGTCGAGTTAATGTGATCTCTCTCAGCCTCTATGAAAGATATGACGCAGGATTTAAAGAGCGCCAGTGACATGGAGCATAGTCTAGGTAGCTCGTCTTTGAGTTGAATGTTAAGAGCCTCGTAATTCTTTCTTGCAACCTCCTTCTCATCCTTGACCTAAGAAGATGGAGCCAAAGAGAAATATAAAAATTAATTGGTTTGGTTTGATTTATAGATTTCTCTTTTGATATGAACATAAACATGTACAAGGTACATAGAAATTCAATATTGATATCAAAACAATGTCATGAGATTTATAAAAGACAAAATAAAAATATTGCAACTGAAATAGAATAATTATGTATAAGTCGTACTTCTATTATATTTACTGCATGTTGATGTAACTGTTTTTATTATGGAATTATAGAAATGAATTGAAAAACTGGAAATGATAATGGAATATTATTGAGCTAAGTTTACACAATGAAATGGAGGGGCATTCTAAAGAAGCAATGTTTGCATGGCACAAGCCCCTTAAATTAGGCTGCATAAACATCTAGTTTCGGTCCCAAAAAGTTGTAACAGTATAATCTAAAAAAACGGGCAAAGTTACAAACAAATTTACTGTTTTGTTGAGAAAATTTATAATGAAAGAGAAAGAGAGAGAATGAGGGACAGGAAGATGAAGATTGGGGACAGGGTTTAGTATATAACATCATCACAACAGGTCCACACTATTACCATTTATGTTAGGTGAATAGAAAGAAGACACACTCGCAAAATCTATTCAGCTATTTTGTTGTAAACGACCACATCTAGGACGTGTATCTGATGACCATATGAAGCTGATACATGGGCCCCGTTGCATAAAACTTACCATCGATGGTAACTTTGCCATCAATGGCAACTACCATGGTAACAGGGCTCAACAGCCAATCAAAATCAAGGTTTCCATGGTAGTTACCATCAATGTTAAGTTGTGTGCAACAGCCCCCTGCTCTACTTATAGGTTGAATCAGACAAAACATCAAATTAAAGTAAGGTTTTCATGTCAAGTTGTGTTCACAAATTTCCATGATACAATTCAATAATACTTGGTAATGGATGGGAATCCTTTGGACAGTTTCACATACCTGTACACGTAGGCCTTCAATTCAAATGTTTCTCACATACGTTTGAAGCAAATGCATAATCACTTTTTTCTTTTTGGTGGACAGTTGAGACAGGCTCCATATAATGTGGGTTTACATAAAAATTCAAACCAAATCATACACTAGATGTTCATATACAGTACACAGCATGCTCTTTGAAATAAGTTGAGAACATTCATGTGTCTCATTCGACCACACACTATCATTAGAGTTAACAACTAAATTATTCATAACCCTTGTAAAAGTTATGTTTGTGTGTAGTTCGTGACTTAAGAAATGAATGGTGGACTGGTAAACGTGGGGCCTTTGTTGAATACTTTTAACAAGTATGCTGTAAAATGTCACATTCTCAAGAAACATGAATGGGGAATAATTAATTTTTCACCTCCTTTAACAATAAAATTGTTAAGGGTATGAATAATTTAGTTTTTAACTTTGTCATTCCTTGCAAAATATATATATATATAAATCATGGCATTACACCAGCCTGACAGTAGTATGTTTTCTGGACCAAATGTTCGGACATAAACATGTGAAACAGATAAAATGTTTGTAAACGGAAGATGGGTGCATGACACAGCGTACATGTGAATGTACTGGATGCAAATAATTAAATATCAAGCAAAATCTTCACAACAATGTTAGAAAGATAAATTAGCATTAATATGATAAACAGTATTGATAGGAAATATATGATATATGGAGCTTGCAAATAAAGGCCTTGTTATTAGATGGTAGAACACTGCCTCTTGCACCGCTTTTGATGGGCAGAGGCATACAGTTAGAAACTTAAAACATAATTATAATGACATTCATTTTCTTTGAATTAGGAGCAGCAAGACTTGAGAAGCATTTAAATCAAACAAACTCTCTCAAACAATGAAATAAGGGCAAATAAATGAATGAATCAGTGTAGGGACAATACAGAGGTACCGGTTCATATATCAACCAAAGATAAACAAGATCAATATGGAAAAGTAGTTATCACAGATTATCATCAATCATTTCATGTTTCATGCAAGTATCTGTAACAAAAATGATATAAAGGGTGGTTTCTCATTACCAATCACTAAGTAAACTTGAACTAAATTATATGATGTTCCTTTACTGCACAAATGAATTCATAAACTTGAATGGATCAGAAACTTGGAATGTGAAGACAGTAGAAGAAGGTATCTTGAGGAAAACAGAAAGAGCCAAGAACACAAGTAAGCTCATGGAAAGGAGGGGTCCGGAAGAAACTGTGGTGGGAGTGGTAAAGAGAATTGGATTGAGATGGGTGGGTCATGTGTTGAGAAGGGAAGATGATGAACCTGTGAAATGAGTGCGGGATCTGGAAGTGGATGGCGTAAGAGGGAAAGGAAGACCGACAATTTCATGTAAATATATGGTGAAGAAAGAAAGCAGTAAGGTTTGGAAAAATGAGGAGGATGCTCAAGACAAGAAGAAGTTGAGGGAGGGAGTGTCATCATGGCGCGAAAGTCAGTAACCCTTTATGAGAGGGAACGTGCTAACTGTAATAGTTGATGATGATGATGATAATGATGATGATGAAGATGCCAACATGAAGAACCTTACTCACATCCTGGCACAACTAAGCCACCCCTCCCCCCACATACACTCTCCTACCAAACCCAAGATCAAGTGAGTGATTTTCTGGTTTGATAAACAATTACATGTATCATGCAGGGGAATTCGCATGACAAATATACACATTTAAATTAAGAATTTGTCCAATTTTAAACTAATAATGTATCATTCAGGCACTTATTGCAAACACTTGTTGACAAGAATGTAAAGCATGCGCCATGTAGTGGTTATCAACACAAAGGATACAATATTCATTCATTAAAAATTATATCACTCTTTTCAAGAACATCTCAACTCCACAATCTTTCTCTATGTTTTCTTCTTCTTAAAAAAAATATTGTCACTGACACAGACAAGACGAGGGGCAGGCAGATATAATTTTGGCGTCTCATTTCCCAAACCTCTCTTGGATGTCGTTCTTTGAGACGTCGGGGCGCCCCTACGGTCGTTGCCTCGTCTTCGCTAGCACTGTCTGTGAGTCTCTTATGTTTGGACTACGGGCGGTTTGATGTAAAAGGAGATATAGCAAGAGGAATAGAATCATGAAAAAAAGGCAGGATCTTTCTTCTACAAAGACATAGCAGTGATCTCAAGATCGATCTACCTAAATAAATCACTTTTCATCCTCGAATTGGCACATATTCTTCCTGTTTCCAACTCCTACATACCGGTAGCTCAAAAAATACATCAAAATATATAAGGAATCAACTAATGTGGATGAAAATCATTGAATTCTGCAAAAAGCTGCCATTTCAAACACAATTATTAATTACACATTCACACTGCACTGCCAATTTAGAGACTGTAATGATTACACACAATTAAATCATTCGTATGCATGAATGGCACAATGTGCAGCATTGGAAATAGACTTAACATGTTCTGTGATATTTACTGTCTGCTCATGTGTGCAATTTCTAACAATCTGAATGAAACAATATTATTTATTTTAAAAAGGGACATTAAAAAGGTGACAGTGAACTGTGATGGATTCAAATCGCAATTCATCACACATAAAAAAACCCACACATACACCTGCATTAATTAACAAGTTGGTGCATATCCAGTATACAATTAGTAAATCAAGATTGTATCATGCACACGTCACCAAATAAAACCCGGCCCTAACCCCAGGCTAGACTTACCTTAAACCCAGCGTTAAACTTAACACAAACCTTAAACCTAACCGTAGATCCATCGCAAATTCTGTAGAGCCTTTAGCTCGTAAAATTTTCCATTAAATCCACCTCATTCTGGGCTTCCTTAAACATCTTTTTGTTCTAATTCTTTTTTATACATACATTTGCCAAGTATACCCATGACCAGTCCTACCGTCTATGGCAAAATACTGTAGTTGTAGTATCGACAATGAGACAACAAACATCTATGCTATGTTGAGTACAATTAAACATATAACCTGAAGCAAAGTGGGGGGGGGGGGGGGGGGGAACAGCAATTAAAATGCATTCATTACTAACGAGTGCAATACAGTGTGGATCTTGGCAATGAAAATTAAAAAGAAAAGAAGAAAAAAAGTGTGCTTTCTGACCTCTTTTAAAGTCTTCACGAGCAACTTTAATCAAATCAAACCTCATTCTCATCTGCTTCAAATATTTGTTTTCCTATAATTTTTCCTCTACTTGCCATTTACATGCTCTTCTACCAACCACAAAATGAACACTATACAGACTACAAATACACCAGGAGAGGGTGAAAGGGTGGGAGGGGAGAGACAGCAGTTAAACCACTTGGACTGCCAAGGGGTTGGCCATGCAAATCAATAGTTATGGTTCAAAACCTCTTTTGAAGTCTGTGTAACAACAAAGTACACCAATCTAAAAATAGCCTTTCATGTCCCACATTTCTGTCTACAAAGTAATCAGGTATGTGTAATACAAGTGAACCAGAAACAAGAGGTGATGAAAGACAGTTGAATCACAGCTCTGGATCAAAGTCATGCACATATTACCTATGAAAACTTCTGAACAAATTAAACTACTTCATGAATGACCCTTATTCTTATCTTCAAAAACATTTTGGCCTTCTATTTTACACCTCCAATAGGCACTTCTACCAACCAAACTATACATTACATTCAATCAAGTACAAATAAACCAGAAACAAAGAGGTAAGGGATTGGAAAGATGGAAGAGTCGTGGAGGGGTGGGGACAACAGTTAGACAACATTGGTCATAAGGGGTTCTGGACACAACATTGATCTTGGCCATGCAAATTTAAAGTTGTGTTTCCCAACATCTGAAGGCTTATTCTCATCTTCTCCAAACATTTTTGTTCTTTTATTTTACATCTATACATTTAACAACAACGATCTTTGCTCTGAGGAATGCAAGACAAATCTGAAGCAAGGCAAGTGGGGTGGGGAGTGGGGAGGGGTAACAGTTAGATTACAACGACAACCATCATGGATTGGGGCACAACATTGACTTTGGGCATGCAGATTGAAAGTTGTGTTTCCCGACCTCTTTAGAGACCTTCTCCTTGAGCCGCCGGGGGCTACCCACGGTCGTAGCCTCATCGTCATCACTGTCAAGGTCTTTCTTCTTGTGCTTAGACTAAGGGATGGATGTGATGCAGAAAGAAAGGGATAAGGAAAGATGAGAAAGATGAGACGAGAGACACTGGTTAAAGAAATCAAAGTCTTGAAAAAAGGAAATCCTCCGATCTTGAGCAAGTTTGATCTTGGAAACTTTGTAGGACACTTGCTCCTATGACAACTGCTTGGAAAGATGTGAAAGATTAGATGAGGGAGACATATTAAAGCCTATCTGCACTAGTTTGGCCATGAAGGATCAGACATCCCAGCGTGGTCACTAACAGGTGGTTATCTCATCAAATCAGCTCTCAATTAACATAAGAAAAAGAGGATCATAGGGGCATCTGTTGAACAAGTCTGATCTTGGAGAGGTTGCAGGACACTTGCTCTTGTGACAACTGCATAACTATTACAAATAGGGCATTATTGTACAAACTTGTCAATGATACCAATTAAAAAATAATTATACATTTATAGTAACAAGAGACAAAAATTAATTCTCAAACTTGAATTGCAGAACTTTTGTGAAGAGGGTCATACTCCTTCATATTTTGTCTTTTATTTTTTAGTGGAGAGTCGGTGACTGTACTGTCCGTCTTTCCATTGAAATTCAGACTTAATATTGTGAAAGCTACTGAAAAGGTTAGAGTGTTACTAATCCTAAGAGCCAGGGTCCCTGTTTCACCAAACAAGTGCCAACATTTGATGACAAAATCACGTACAGTCAATGAAACGCAGTGATTTCAGTAGGTTAAATAACAAACTATGGCTACTATAACTTGTACATGATGACAAGTTTCATGAAACAGGGCCCAGTTTAGACACAACACTGCAAACCACTTGAAAAAAAACCTACCACCAAAAAAATGATGATTTGAAGGAGAGGATTTAATTCTAGGGCTAAACTGATCACATAATTGTTATTCAAATTGGCAATAATAAAAATTGCCTTTTTATTGCTACATTGTAACATATCGTTCCTGTTTTCACGAAGTGACGGTAGTGAGGAAAATCCGCACGCAAATTGTATGTGATTTTCATTCACTACCGTCACTTTGTGAAAATAGGGACGATTATAATGTAATGCCTATGAAAGTTAAAGAAAAAAAAATTTGATCAAAAAATAACAAATTTGAACCTATCTAAGTGTTGCCAATTGAAGGATCTTACAGCTTTTTTTCTTTTTTAAAACTCTTGCCATCAAATGCAGTATAGCCATGAGATAAAAATGGATGCAGTGAGTTCAACAATGTTTGCCCTTACTTCTCATGCATCTGGCATATATCTTTTAGGGTTCTAAATAAAAAAGGTTGAGTCAAACTACTGTGGGATAACTGATGCGAAAGGAGCGGGCCTTTGATACAAGCCGGTATGTTTTCATCTTCATCATAAAAATATTGCCCCTGTCATTAAGGAACACCAAAATATCTACCCCGGTGGTTTTCCAAATCTGTTTACAGCATCGTGTCTAAACAGTGCTTTAAATACAATCACTTCAACATGGTGGGGGTTAATAAAAGAAAAAAAAAATGATGAAAACACTGCATACTGAAGTGAAGAGATAAGCACCCACTAGAGGGCTTGCATCCGACCTTTGACCTTTTAGCGCTCGATCGTCGTGGGCTAAGGCGTGTTTCGTCGTCTTCCTCACTGCTGCCTTCCTTCTTCTTGTATTTATACTTCATAGTGAGAACATAACAAGCAACAAAGAAGGTTGGTTTTCTATACTGTACGTAAACCTTCAGTATTTTACGAAAACTGTGTACTGTATCATACGCAGTTGGGCTTCATAAAGATACAGTGAAACCTGTCTATAAAGACCGCCCTAGGGAGACAAGAACAGTGGTCTTCACATGCAGGTGGTATTTATGTAAAAGTTCCTTTATTACATGCTCCAATGAGAAACTATTTTTAAGGGAAACAAAAAAATGTGGTCTTTCTATACAGGTGGTCACTAAAGCAGGTTTGACTGCAGTATGCATGTAGTACTCAGTGAGGCTCTTATTGGCTAGTATAGCACTGACTTCTTGAAATAACGTAGTGCATACGGTGTAACAAAAACAAAAGCACACTAAATGCTCGTTCATATATGATGCTCTAAATCCCTGCAAAAAGAAAAAAGCTGCCATGGTTTTTTAACAAGTAAATGAATGACAACTGCATGAACAACGGACCTGCCTGATTCACTGGTCTCTGTGTTATAAGATAAAGAACTGTGATGCATATCACACTCAACATCATCATAACAATTTTAAACCACCACGTAAAACCTTGTCATAGCTGAATGAGACCCAAGACTGAAACGATACATACGGTGAGAAAATCAATTGACTTTCATTATTAGTTCAAATAATAATACTAATATAGAATATTTAGTAGTGCTAAAAACAATTACCACGGCGCTTACAAATAAAATATATGGAAAGAGGACCAAACAAAATTCACAGGAAGTAGATCACATCAGGCGCATCCCCCCCCCCCTTGAGCGCCAGCCCCCCAAAAAGGTAAAAATCACGTGTTTTTACATGATTTTTTCTCATGGGGGGGGGGGGGGGAGGGGGGCCCTGGATCCGCCACTGGATCACATAGATCACTGGGGAAAAAGGTGAGTTTTAAGGATCTTTTGAAGGTGGCAGGACAGGTTATTTTCCCTTATGGAAACGGGGATCATTGAATACAGTATAAATAAAGGATCCTTCCCAGATGTCAATATGCTTTGCCATGAAAGGTATTAAATGATCAAATTGATTGGAGTGTAAAAGGTTGCATGATGAATTGCTCTAATGGATTAAAAGCCTGAATGATATATGTTGATGAATTGTGAATATCAATAGACCCCTTCTTTATCAGCTTGAATTTACCAAATAACCCGCTATTTTCAGTTTTCGGATTATTATCCCGAAGCTCGAAATTGCGTCTTCACCAAACCGATACACTCAGCACAAACTAGCTCAGACGGGCACAAGACCAAGATTTCTCGACAAAATATACCACTAATTGCAACTGCAGGTTGTTGAAGATGCAAATTAACTGACTAATTTGCAATTGGTCACCGATTAGGCATTGTTTGCTCTATAGAGGGTGCAAGTAGCAATAAATAGTGCAGTGAGGCTTTAAACATAATAAAAAGGGGTCCATGGGGGACCAATGGTCACCGATTATGCATTGCTTGCTCTATAGAGGGCGCAAGTAGCTATAAGTAGTGCAGTGGGACTTTAAATACCTGCTTAGTCCTGTACTTCTGGCGAAGACGCAATTTTGAGCTTCATAATAATAATATTCCAAGTCTGAAAATAGCGGGTTATGTGGCAAACTCAAGGTGATGAGGACAGGCCTAGTGAGGCAATGTAGGGCGAATGCTTGCCATGTTTTGCCAATTTGAGGATTAAAAGCTTTAAATACCTGCTTAGTCCTATCCTTCTCCTTGGTCTTCTCAGCCTTGTTGATATAGCTATCGTAATCAAGCAGCTTGTCATAGCGCTTCTGGATGAGTTTATGCGGGCCCTGGAACATGTTGAGAAGACTGTTGAGAGGAGACATCACTCTCTGCTGCACAAATAACGTCTGCGGAGAAAACAAAAGACAGATCGTGAAGACGTACAGGTGGTTCTCTTTGAATTGATGTAATGTTTGATGGCTTAGGCATTGCAATGTACATCATTATCATCTACATTATCCCTATCTTCATCACCATCATCATCGTCATCATCTTCAACTTACGTAATCTTTGTCGAGTTTGTTGGTGAAGATGATTCTGTATATTTCCATCACCATCATCATTACTATCATTATTATCATCGTCATCTTCAACTTACATAATCTTGTTAGAGTTTAGTCGCGAAGACGATTCTGTATAAGACCTTCATCAATATCATCATCATCATCATCGTCATCGTCATTATCATCGTCGTCATTTATCATTGTTTTAATCATCATCATCAGTATCGTCATCATCATCACCATCATCGTCAACTTACGTAATCTTTGTATTTTATTGGCAAGATGGTTCTGAATATGATAGTTATCATCACCATCATCATCATCACTGTCATTATCACCATCATCATCATTATCACTGTCATCATTATCATCTTCAACTTACATAATCTTTGTAGAGTTTATTGGCAAGATGGTTCTGTACTGCTTCATACTTGTTTACCTCATGGAGGTTTGACTGGTTGGCATAGTAATCAGAGATATCGCTTCCTACTGTTGCTTCTACTGATGTAGCTTCCTGTAGCAAACACAATAGAGAAGAAAAAAAAGGTAATAATAATAATAATAATAGTTCGTTCTTTCATGTCGCATTTCAGGTCCGCAGGCCTTCTCAAAGCACTTTACAGATATATCATTAACTCTGTCATCGTATTCAAGCTTACCCGCATACAATGTATGCACATTCTCTACGCCCTGGGGAGCATTCCAGCCAGGCGTCATTTTTTGTTTTTACATTTGACACTTGCTCATCTAATCACATTAACTTCCGCATCCTACCAGGTACCGATTTTAAAACCTGGGTGGAGAGTGGCAAATGCAGATCAATGTCTTGCCAAAGGAAATCTGCGTACTTTGCAAGTTATGTGCATACGGATGTGATTCATAAATAAATTCTATAAAAAATGGCAAGACTTTACCTTGAGTTGTTCTAGGTACGCATGGACATCCTTGACGAAGATCTTGATGGTTTTCTCTAGAGTATGGAAACTCCTCTCTGCCCGATCAAACTCTTCATCAATAGTCTGAGATAAAAGATAACATAGAAAACTGATCATTAAAGCCATACTGTATTAGAAGCACTGACGCTAAAATCCCATCTAGAGCAATCACACAGGAGCATCAAGCAATTTTAATTTTAACTGTGAGAATTAAACACCGAATCCTCAAAGAGCGGCCAGGAACAGAAAGATATGTTTTAGACTGCCACCATATTACAAATAACAAACGATAATAAATAACACACATCGTCACCTTCTTAAAATAATGGTGTAAGTCATATTTTCAAGATTTGAGAAAAACAGAGAAAACTGAACAAAACATAATTTTACACAGGAAAGTTTGTGGATATATGACTATTAAAATACAAATAATGCAGTCTATCAAATCTGTTTCATTAGAGGATTAGATTACTCATTTACTTTGGGTTTACTCAATAATATAATTTTTTTTTCCACACGCTTGATTTAGGCCATTATACTAACTAGGTATAAGCAGCATGAATATGTTCAATTTAGAACATATGTAATTTAACAAAGGTGGATAACCTCATGAAGAGATGACTGGGGCGAAAATATCACTTTCTTCAAAATGTGACCTAGGCCATTATTTTAAGAAGGTGACAATATGCAGAATGTAGAAAAGAAGGATGAATGTAACGTACCTGTGTACCGAATCCGGTCATCTGGGTGAATCGTTGGTTGATTCTCTGTGATTTTTTACGCAGTGAATGCAAGTTGATCTTTCCAAGCTTATCAGACATCGCCTCCTGACCTCGGTGCCTGTACTTTAAGACTGACAAACACAACAAAACAAGATGTGGATACAAAACGTGTCAGCTCTAAAACACATGGGGAGTGTTTCAAAAAGACTAAGAGTGGACTAAAATATGGCAGGCCTTTCATGCCACTGTTTGCTCTCACCATTTACTGGCATTTGTCTCTCAAGGGACGTACAAAACATGATCACGAATCTACAGAATTTATATTTTTTGATAATTCATTGTTGAAGGAAAAAATATTATCTGAAGATCATAATGGTGAGAGCAAACAGTGGCATGAATGGCCTGCCATATTTAAGTCCAACTTAAAAATGATCTTAGTCTTTGTGAAACACTCCCCAGAAATAGTTGCCACTGCAAATCCTAATGACTACATACATGCATAATCAAACATGCCTTTTGTAAATGATTGATTACTCTACATTATATAACTCACTCCTAGATGCTAATCAAATTATTGGTCAAACACAGTCAGGTGGGATTCTTTAACTAAGACCAAATCTTTTTTCCTCTTTTATTCACAATTTCATTCTTACAATAGTCGGTAACCCAATCAAGATGTTACCTAAATCTTTTTGTCTCTTTAATACATGACTTTATTCTTATAACAATAAAAATCAATAGCCGACATGTTACCAAAATCTTTGGTTGATAATGTCATCCCTATAATAATACTCAATAGCTAAAATGTTACCTAAATCTTTTCTCCTCTTGAATTCGTTGATGTCTGTCGCCACCTCTGTCATGGTAGAGAGAGCAAGCTTGAGTGTTGATCGGTCTTGATGCTCTTCCTCAGTGTACTGATATTGAGAGAGAAAGAGAGAGAGAGAGAGAGAGAGAGATAGGGAGAGAGAGGGGGAGATAGAGAGAGAGAGAGAGACAGACAGAGAGACAGAGAGAGAGGGGAAGAGGGAGAGAAAGAGGGAGAGGAAGAGGGAGAGGAAGAGAGGAAGAGAGGGAGAAAGAGAGAGAGAGAGATAGGGAGAGAGAAGGGGAGAGAGGGGGAGATATATAGAGAGAGAGACAGAGAGAGACAGAGAGAGAGAGGAAGAGGGAGAGGAAGAGAGGAAGAGAGGGAGAAAAAGAGAGAGAGAGATAGGGAGAGAGAAGGGGAGAGAGGGGGAGATAGATAGAGAGAGAGAGAGACAGAGAGAGGAAGAGGGAGAGAAAGAGGAAGAGAGGGAGATTAATTCCTATTTTTAGAGAGAGAGTAGCACATACAGGAAGATTCATTTTTACCAAAAGATACATGGAAAGGTTTCTCATGCAGAAAGATGTCTGCGGAATCCTAGAGGAGTTAGTTGAGAGAACCAATTCAGTGATTTGGAATTTGTGCTACATAAAAGACAATTGTACAGTGAAACCTGTCTATGAAGACCTCCCAAGGAAGACAAGAAAAATGGTCTTTATAGGCAGGCAGGTGGTCTTAATGTACAGGTTCATTTAGTAGATGTTTCAATGAGACTCCTTTATTCAAGGGGAAACACAAAATGTGGTCTTTTTATACAGGTGGTCACTAAAGCAGGTTTGACTGTATAAATGTATGAGACCATGGGGGTGTTTCACAAAGATTCTAAGTCGAACTTAACTTAAGTTGGACTTAAATATTATGGAGAGTCATTTGTAGCCTTAAAATAAAATATATTCAAAAGCGAAAAATCAAGTACTTTAGACTTTTTATAAATTCCACATCAAGAACACGAAATCTCATGGATAATAGAAATTATAAATTATTTGAATCAACATGTTATGCCTTTTAAAATAAATTGTACAAAATATTTTCAAGGATGCTAACAGCTTTCCATAATTGTTAGAGTTAAGTTTGACTTTGAATCGTTGTGAAACACTCCCATGACATCTATACAGAGCTAAGCATTACAGGCCAGGGTGGCTAGATCCCTAAGAAACACCAAAAAATCTCTACCTTGTAGAGCTCTGCGATGAGGAGATGGTATTTGAGTATCCTCTGGACTGGCTTGATGAGAAATGAAGCCAGATCCCAACAGTTGGTACTTTGCCTGAAAATAAGAAACATGAGATGATTAAGATGATGTCAAGTTTCATCTAGTTCCCATATCAAGATGAGTCAGCATGTTTCTTCTCTGTGGTCACTAGTTCATTTACAGTGGACTTGGACAAAAAAAAATCTAATGCCTAAATAGAGGGGGGGAATATAAAAACAAAGCAAAAAGTTGACCATGCACAAAATCAAACTTTATGTATTTTGTTGGATTAAAAATGATTTATATCTCCTTTAAAAAAAAGTTAACTGATGGATTAGATTTGATATCATGGGGTATATTATTCCACAATTGTGGCCCTTTAAAAAAATTACATTTCCTAGTTATATTTAGTCTTATTTTATTTAAATGAAAATTAGAAGAACTTCAAGTATTATATGAATGTAATGCAGAATTAAGACAAAATTTGCAGGAGAGATTACTTGGTATGATAATAAGGACTGTTTATAATAAGGCGCTTAACCAGTTATCCTTTCAACATAGTGTCAGTAGAGTCAGGTTTGGCATGGAACAAATAGCATCTACTAGGTGATGTGATGAGGCTAATGTTGGACACCTAACAACTTAAAGCTTCAGAGTTTTGAACTACATGTATACAAACAGTTATTTATAAAAGTACATTTGGAGAGTACATGTTCTCATTGAAGGACTACAAATATAAATGGGTGGTTTGATATAGATTGAAGTGACCCAAATGCTTATGCCTTTTTCAACCTACCTGACTAATTCCAGTCCTTGGTTGATGTACTCCTGCACTTCTGGATTTTCTTCATACTGGAAGAAAAAAAATATGATCACAGCATACCTAAATCCTCTTTAAAAGAATCATTATTTGTGTTAAATGTGCTTTTGCAGAGGCACATGTACTTGTATGTTAGTCAGAACTGGCTGCGCATCTCTCATTTTGTCCCAAGATCTGCAACTTATTTCTAAGGAATGCAGGAGACACATGCACCTGCAGAAGGTTTTTCAACATACTCTCTGCATGTGGGCTACACTTTTTGATGGCTGCATGTGACGCATGCAGCCATTGTATTTCATTCAGATTTCGCAAGCGGTTCTTGTAGTGGTCTCTGTAGCTGCATGGCCCAGTAAACAGCCATAGAGCGCCTTAGCATCCCGCAGCAGTTGTAAGGCACCTGCATGGGGGTTGTGAGATTTTTGATGTTTTACAAAACTTTGAAAAATGAATGCATTAAAAAAAAAAAAAATCACAATGATACCTTTTCGAGGAGAGCAGAAGCATCGTCATGATTCCTGCAATATTGTGCGTATGCTTCATGAAGATTCCTGGAATGGTCCATGAAGATTTTACCTGTAGAGACACATACAAAACAATACAGTCAAGTTTATCTTCACTTTATTTCAACCTGTCTACTTTATGGATCTATCACATGAACTCCTTTGAGCAGTTTATGACTGCGTAGAAAAGAAACATATGCCAGCCAATCAAAGCTCAACAAATAATTGGCTTATGCCTAAAGGATAGGAGCTGTCTTAAATTCAGGGTTAAATACTAAGCCAAAAGCTTCGACTCAATACCTAAATTGGCTTAGTAATTATCTTAGTCAAGAATGAAATAAAATACTCATATTTATTACCTAAGTATTGAATTGAAAACAAACCCTGAAACCTGACACCTAAACTTGACCCAAACTGTAACCTTTAATCTGAAGCTAACCCTACCCCTAATCAAAAATATTCTAAAACTAGAGCTGACCCTAAAGCTAACCTCAACTTTAATTCAAAGCTAGCCCTGACCCACTCTAATTCTAACCCTACCCCTGAAGCGAGCCATAATACTATTCTCCAGCCTGACTTACATGTACCAAAGAGTTGATCTTCGATAGGCTTTTCTGCTGCTCCCTCAATGTCATGCAGGAAGCTTTGCCACCCTGAAACAGAAACCCTTACCCTAACCCCAACCCTAACCAAGCCAGAACCCTGACTCCAATGCTAGCTTGCAAAACAGTTGATCTTCTATAGGTTTTTCTGCTGCAGCGTCGATGTTGTGCAGGAAACTCTCTGCAACCTCTATGACCTGAACCCTTACCCTGACCCTAACCCTAACAAAATCAGAACCCAGACTCCAATGCTAGCTTACCAAAGAGTTGATCTTCTATAGGTTTTTCTGCTGCAGCGTCGATGTCGTGCAGGAAGCTCTCTGCTACCTCTATGACTTGCTCCATGTTACCGAAAAGAACATCCAGCTCCAACCCTTTGGCCTGATTTACAAGAAAACAAACAAATTAACAAATTTAATTATTCCTCCTTTAATCGTATTTGTGTATTTCATTCTGCAGTTGCAAGTGTTTATGATGAACATATGATATGGCCAATGTATTACAGTTTCAAATATGCTCATTTGTAAGGAAAACCGTGACTCTTTAACTTTCAAATTTTCAACTAATTGCATAAAACAATAAAGACAATGAAATTACTCCAACTGATGACAATATCTTCACAAATATTGAAAATTTTACACTCTTCAAACCTTTGACACTGTAAAAATGAAAAAGTAGTAATAGTGAGTACCTAGTATACAAATCAATCAGACATGTACTAGTTTCACTACTAGACACAACAAATTGAGAAAAATGATGCACTCCTATAATTTGCTATAAATAAAACAAACCATAATATGTGTAGATAGTACAGAAAAATAGATATAGATAGCATAGTAATATTCCAATGTCCACCACCCCCCTTCCTTTGTTTACAATGTGATATTATAATTATTCTTGGGATCACCCCTGACAAACAACTTTGCTATGATTCCCCCTCCGCATACTGGTTCACCATGCTTAATTATTAGTTCCCCTTTTGTCACTTCCTTTTGTCGTAAGTTGGTCTTTTTATGTTTGTATTCCTTTGTATTTCATAATGTATATCATTTTGTATTTGGATATTTTTGAACTGGAATATGGAAAATATTAAATGAAATGAAAATAGAATTAGATTGACCTGACATAACACAAGATATATAATACACTCTTGTATTTTTGCAAGAAGAAAGAAAAGAGTATGCAATTTGTGTAGATACTGACAGACTTGACACAGAGTGAGAAAAGTGATACACTTCAACAGCTAACTACAACTTTACAGCAATATTTCACAAGTGGTTCACTCCAGCTCAGAAAAAATGTGTTCATTTCTAAAGTGACTGAAAAAGAAAATGTTAATAAGAAATAACTTATAACAAAATTCAATCCAAGGTTAGTTGATGCATATCATATACATGCATAAGAGCATTAGTGCAAGTATTATACATATCTAGGTTAGTAAATTCAAAGTTAGATGATGTAAAATTACATATCAAATGCATTCAACTGTACATCACATGCATTCAATTGTCTATCACATGCATTCAATTGTACATCAAATGCATTCAATTGTACATCAAATGCATTCAATTTTACATCAAATGCATTTGACTGTACATCAAAAGTATTAAATTGTATAGTAGCAGGCCATAGAAGTAGGTCTCAGAAAGTTAGTTCATCATAAAGCACATTCAAGTAAATTCAAAGTTAGTTCAGAGATGTGTATGTATATCAGATCAATTGGTGAGTTATTTCATTACAGGACAATGTGAATCTTCAAAAGCTTCTCATCGTTAAGCAGACATTATGAAAAATGTACACGTAACCAATTAGTTTCTCTGATTGTCCATGCCTTTCATTCAAAGCAGTTAGTTATCAAGATTCTGTTTCCCTTAAAAATTAATAACTTGGCTTATTCATCTAAATCAAGCTGAAACAAAACTTCCTTGAATAATTTAAAAAATACTAAGATACAATGTACATGTAACATACAAATATACTGACAAATCTCTGTTTAAGAATCAAATCGCTTTACAAATAGTCAAGGTTTGCTAATAAGGTAGGATCCAGATTTGAACTTTAAGATTTTTGTATAAGGTTCTTGTATAAGGCTTATATGAATTACAAGGTATATTGTTGTTTAAGGTTGTTTGTATTTGGTTTACAAGGTATAATGTTGTTGTACAAGGTTGTTTGTGTAAGGTTTACAATGTGTAATTGTGCTGCATAAAGTGTTAGGTTGTCATATAAGGTTTATATGGTTTAAAGGGGTTATAATGTATAAGAAATGTTGTATAATGTTGTATAAGGTTTATATGGTTTATAAGGTAGGACAAATGTATAAGGATGTACAGGTATGAGGTGTTTATGGTTTAAAGCTATATGGCATACAGAATGTTGTATCAGGTTAAATAAGGTTTAGTGTTAGGAAAGAGAAGGACGGGAAGGAGAATCTGAAGTGCAGTGCTCATCCAGTGTTAGTATAACTTGCAAATCTTATTTACGTATCAAAAGGTAACCGATTGGCTTCTACAGGTGATCATGCATCCCTCTCCAGCTACATGTACAAGTGCATTAATGGGGAACGTACCGCACAACAAATAAAACCATTTGTCATCTTCTCAGAGCTAGAAGGGCGTTATCTGTTAAAGCATTTGAGTCAATACCCTTCTGGCGCCAAACAGATGCTCTGTGATTTCATTTGAGGCAATAAAACACAAGATAGTATATGCATGTATGTTGCAATCACCCTATACAGCTTATATTCCTTGGATGTCACTTTTAGGGTCAAGCTCGCTATCCATGAGGACCGCTATTCATAAGGACCATTATTCATAAGGACTGCTATCCATAACGTGTAACAAAATGAATAGCGATCCTTATAAATAACGAGCAGACCCCAACTTTTAGATTCACAGGAAAATTTGTCATTACATTAGTCACACTCGAGACAAAGTGACCCTGAACTGACCCCAAACTGATGCCAAACCAAATCAAAACATACAGATCTTTGACCGATTCTTTGGTCTGAAGTTGCTCTGGAGAGTGTTTCACAAAGGCTAACATTGAATTTAAGTTGGACTTAACTATGGCAGGTTGTTAATGCCACTGTTTGCTCTCACCATTATGATTTTTAGATAATGTTTTTCCCTTCAATAATGAATTATCCCAAAATGTCATTTCTGTAGATTTGTGACCATGATTTGCACGTCCATTGAGAGACTAATGCCAGTAAAAGGTGTGAGCAGACAGGTGCATGAACGGCCCACCATAGTTAAGTCTAACTTAAAAACAATTTTTTTAGCCTTTATGAAACACCCCCTGCTGCCAATCTTATCAGTGTAACTAAATAAGAAGCCAACTGGTTAGTAATGATTTGAAATCCAAAGTGCTTGTTATGATTGGTTAGTTTAATCTGCATCTTTCAAATCAAGTTGCATAATTCTGACCGCTTTCTTGTTCTCTGCCGCTCGTTCCAATTCTTCCATTTCTTCCTCGGCCTTCACAATCAATATCTCATTGATTATGATCTGGTATAAAGGGAGACAAGGAGATAAACGCACAACGATGGGAACGGTGGTTAGGGGCACTAAACAAAATGTATGATGAGAACCAGATGGGCATGCAATTTTGTTCCAAACATTGGCAAAAGGTTCTTGCCGCTATTGATCTACCAGAACGGTTTTTGGCAACGCGAAACCTTTACATAACCACGATTCAGTTTTGTTTCATTTTTCATTTAATTGATTCCATCGCATTAGAGCCCCTCTAAAGTTTTGGGGGCTCAAAATTCCCCGAGTGAAAGAGGATGTCATTTAAGACACACTTCTGCAAAGATTTCTCCTAAAAAATGTGTTTGAAGACAAATTTTGATAACATTTCGGTTTCTAATGTATGCAGAAAACATAATTTCACATTAAGATACCATTTAAGCCACAATTTTGCCGTCAAGTTTTCGGGGCTCCCAACACTTCAAAGTGGTTTCAAGATCTGAAGCACTTGCACAATTTGTCAAAGTTTCACAAACTCAAGAGTTTTGAGTTTTATAATGGACTAGGCCTGCACATGGTGTACACATCTGTATTGATAGGCAAGACATAGGACAACATGCTTTTTATCAACCTTGAACATCTATTTAAATATATATATTATACATGTTCATACAAGGGCCAAACAAAATCAAATAACATGCAAATGACTATACATATAAATTAACACCAATATATTACAGACTGCGTGATTTTGCATTCTCATATATATTCTGTTTGATTGCTTCTTTCCTGTGTATACATATTAAAGATTGCAGCAAAATTTCATGCATAATACACACAAATCTAGCATACAAATATCAACAACCATGACTGTGTACAACTGTTCTATGAACAATGATGGATTACATTTTTCATGCAAATTTTGTTCAATTAGAAAGACAGCTAACAAAACAAAACAGCACTTAAAAGCATGCCACTTTAATAGTTAACAATTGAAAGTCTTTTTTCCCCCTGAAGTGCCTTTTCTCTCTTATTTCATCAATACTTCTAACTACTTCCTCTCTCTCAAGTTGTCTCCCTGACTGTCCATCTATCTATTTGCTTAAATGCATTTGTCTGTCTGTCTGTGCATCTCAGTCTTTTCAGTCTTCAGTAGCTCTTTGAAGGCTCTCCATCTCTCTCTCTGTCTAGTCATCTCTATGTATGTCTGTGTGTGTGTCTCTCTCTCTATCTCTCTCTGTTTGTCTACCTTTCTCTCTCTGTCCTATTAGTATCATACCTGATTCTCCTGTAAGACTGTCATGAATCCTTCCTGGCACAGCTTGATATCTCATACATAATCATCCTCGGTCTTCAGAAGTTCTTTGAAGACTCTCCATCTCTCTCTGTTGTGTCATCTCTCTATCTCTCTCTCTTTATCTATCTCTCTCTCTGTCTACCTTTCTTTCTCTGGCCTATTAGTATCATACCTGATTCTCCTGTAAGACTGTCATGAACCCTTCTTGACACAGCTTGATATCTTGTACATAATCATCCTCGGTCTTCAGTAGTTTGTTAAATACTCTCTCTCTCTCTCTCTGTCTCCTCATCTCTCTCTCTCTCTCTATCTGTCTCTATCTCTCTGTCTGTGTACCTTTCTTTCTCTCTCTCTCTCTCTCTCTCTCTAGCTCTGTCTCTCTGTCTGTGTACCTTTCTTTCTCTGGCCTATTTGTAGCATACCTGATTCTCCTGTAAGACTGTCATGAACCCTTCCTGGCACAGCTTGATATCTCGTACATAATCATCCTCAGTCTTCAGTAGTTCTGTGACAACTTTTTCTCTGAAGTCTGCAGGCGTCATCTTTGGTGCTGGGATAGGTTCAGGCATCAGCACTGCGAGTTGTTCTAGTGAATCAAAAGTAGTAATAATAATTATAGGCATTTCTATAGCACCGTCTATCTAGAAACTCTATTCCGAGGCGCATTAATTATTACCCCTGCTTTAACCCAGCTGCTATTACGGCGCTCCAGCATTTCAAGGAATTAAGTCATGCCAGGTACCCATTTACCTCACTTGGGTCGAGTGTGGCAAATGAAGATTAATGCCTTGCCAAAGGATATTCGTGCTGTATTGGGAATCGAAAATATTGTCCGATCCTGTACACTTGCAAGTTACATGAAAGAGATGGACAATAGTTCTTCCAATGGGTCTTCAAAATGAGGTTGAGTGAAGTTCTTGCATGTTACAAGTTGAATTCTGGTCATGCGATTGAATTGTGAAAGAAACGTTGTGGAATCGAGCATATGAGTATTGGTGTGTACTGCAAGGTTCTGGAATCAACAAAATGATAAGAAATTTGGCTCAATCTTGGTAAAGTTACAAGCACTGTACACAGAATGATGTATATGGGACTACACAAACTTGTGGCATAAAAATCTGTATGATGATACATGCTATATTTAGAATATGAAGGCATTTGAAGAGCCATGCTTTTCAGGGAACATTTTTTATCTGATGTTCTTCCACACTTGCATATTAACAATGATAATGCTCACAAATTATTTTTCACCTCTTTCCAGAACTCAACCTTCTCCATAAGTCCTGTTGTGCAAACAATAAAATCCACATACCTTGTAAAGTTTCGATTTGTCTCTCTTTGTCCAAGATGTCTAGTTCGTCGTCAGCGATCTGCAGCTGTAGCTCTGCTTTGTCTGTGTCTACAGTAACAAACGCACACTCCCTCACTAGGTTGGATTTATGCAGTCTCTGTGCCTGTTATCATCATAGAACAAGTGCAACATTGCAGATTATTAATTGCATGAAGGGTTTTGCGCTGACCAGAAATATCAATGGGGTGTCATACGCTTTGTGCAAAAGTACCCTGATGACAGTGCAATTTTAAAACAACATTTGATGGTTACAATTTCATGTCTTTTTTTTTCTTGAGCCGTCCAGCCTCCCGCGTCAAATGCCTGCTGCTAAGACAGTGCAAACAATGAGTGCGGGGTACTACGTGCAGGGTTGCTTAAAGATATAATCATTTGACTGGTTGCGCAATATAACATCGGAAAATAACCTGGAGTGAATTATGCTAACTACAATCCTCACTATAAATATGAGGTGATGAGGTGTGGACCAATCACATCAGAGTATCTGTAAGAGCTATTTACTATAAGATCACATTAACTTTGATCAACAAAATCCTGCTGGTTCCAAGATTTTTCCCGACTTGTTTTTCAATTACAGATCGATCAATCAATCTTTTATTTACTGGGTGTAAGCCACAAATATGTTTAAACTATTGAAATTTCTCCCAGGAAGCATTACATTTATAAAAGAATGCTGTTTGTACATGGAAATCTATTCAAGGGAGATGTAAAAAAAAAGGAAAAAAAAAATACCTTACCTCAATCTCTTCTTTGAGTTGTGCTATCCCGCTCTCCAAAGCGGCAATAGCCTCCGCAGTATGAGCCTCACCATTCACTGTGTTACAGAATGAACAAGCAAGGAACTTTTATAATAGATTGCCCATGGTGTACACAAATATGCAATCATCCAAGGCCTCGTCTTACAACGAGTTGTGATTGATCCAAATCAATCGCAAGTCCTCCAATCAATCGCAAGTTTGCAGTCTCCTATCTCTTATGTACATAATTGTGATTGCTAATTTGCTATCAATCGCAAATAAGTTGCGATTGACATCATTTCTTTGTAAGACGGGGCCCAGATCTTTGTTCGATTAAAGCAAGCATCTACATGTATATACTTGAATGCATTCACTTGATAAATAATTTTGCATACTACGTCACTTCATCTTGAAATGGTGATGCCCATGTTGTCCTGAGAAACTGTAATCTATACGTCTCTCATACACTTTGCGGGAGAATCTTGTAGAATAATTGGCAATACAATAAATCTCTCAGAATGACGAAAAAGTATTTCTTGGGTGAAGTTTCCTTTATATGTGGTGGAACAACATAATCTCCAGCAAAATTACCACATGGTTCAAGTGGCGCTCATTAAGGACCTCCATCACTTTGGAAATAAATATTCTTAAATGCACAAAGTGGGACTTCTCAATGTATAATTTATAATGTATAATTTGGGATATTTTGGGATCTTTCGTATTAACAGAAAATCAATGCTCCTTCTCTCCCCTTTCCTTGTCTTCTCTGCAAGTCGCACTTCTGCGTTTTTATTTTTATTTTTATTGTTGTATCTAGGTTGAGGGCTGCGGACATGTCAAGCTACTTTGCTTAATCTGTAACCCTCCTGCATCTAATGTATGTTCATTCAATATATTTGCTTAATTTCGTATATTGTTTGTATATACAATTATATACACTTGAAATATTAAAAAAGATGCAGAAACCAATAAATCAAATCAAATCAAATCAAATAAGCTTATTTTCAAAATGGCTTATGGGTCCGGATCTTGGTCTCACCTGCGCCTGGCCCTGACGAGTCATCTTCATCTTTCCTCATGTCTGGACCTAGTCTAGGAGCAACAGGCCTACCAGGAGGTACCTTCTTCTTAGCTGTGAGGGAGAAAGAGAGGGGGAGAGGGGGAGTGACGGGGAGATGGAGGGGAAGAGAGGGGGTAAGAGAGAGGAAGAGAGAGAGATGACAGAGTGAGAAAGGGAGGGAGGGAAGGAGGGAGAGGGAAGAAGAGAGAGAGAGCGATGAAGAGAGGAAAGGAGAGAGAGAGAGAGATAAAGAGAGAGAGGGTGAAAGAGAGGGAAGATAGTTAAAAGAGGGAGAAGTACATAGGAAAAGAGAAACAAAATAGATAGAGATAGGGGAAGAGAAGGGAGAGATAAAGTAAGACCGGTAACAGATGGTGGGGGGGGGGGGGGGTGACACATAAAAAGAAAGATAGAGAAGACGAGAGATAGCACAGATGAATGAATGCCAAACCAAAAGAGAGACAGAGAAAGATGCAGGGGGGGGGGGGAGAGAATAGGGAATTTGAAAGAGAGAGATAGAAGAGGGTGGGGAGGTTTTAAGGGAAGGCAAGTGAGAAAGAGAGGGAGATAGAAAGGAGAGAAAGAAAAAATAAGTGTGATTCTTTTCCAATGCAAGATAAAGAGGTTTTCAGTGACTGAAACATAACATACACTCAATATACAAAGCTGAAACAGAAGAAAAATAGGTCCATTCCATTGAAAGGATACAGTTTATTCTAAATGTATATCAAACAGCAAACATACTTGATACCATGAAAAAAGTACATATGATATGGAAAATACAATGTTCTGAACCAGCAAACCTTACCTTTACTCGATATACAGCTTGAATAATGATATATAATAAGGACAACCTGTGCAACTGCAAGCAATATACTCTAAGTAATCCACAAATTCCTGGTCAGTTGAGGTTTAACTGTGTATCATAGAGTTCCTTTCTGATTCCTCCCTCTCTATCAGTTACATGTAGTTATATGCATCGTACACATACAATGCACAATGCAGCACTAAGCACTCACATTCTTGACTGGTATTAGACTTTGTATACGTGCAGTGAAGCAGATTCACTTCAAACCAGTACAGTGCCTCACTGCTCAGTGCATTGACCCCATCCCATTCAAAAGATAGGGCTTCTCTAAGGGTGTGATATTTTGTTTGTATGTCTGGTGGAATCAAGATTGTTTAAAGAATTCTCATACAGCATGTGTTTAAACAGATAAAAACGCATTATCTTTATGAAATTGAACATTGAACATGGACAGCACAAAGTACATGTCATTTTTTTGTATACAGGACGTGTTTCTATAGTTGTCGTAGTTTTTTGTTTTTGTATACTCTTTGGATTGGATTGTGTTTTCTGGGCGTGTTTTGTTAAATAATAATCATTATCATTTGTCAATTTCAAGTAATTAATACCTACCTGGTACCTATTTACTTCACATGGGTGGAGTGGGGAGAGTCAAGATATTGTCTTGCCAATGGGCATTAGTGGTGTGAAAGGGATTTGAACCCTGTACCTCAAGGTAATTCAGAGTCCAGATAGTATCTATTAAAACCTCAACATATTTTAAAGCCCCACCGCACTACTTACATATACTTGCGCCCTCTATATAGCAAACAATAACTAATTGGTGACGATTGGTCCCCCATGATCCTCTTTTACATACGTTAATTGAGAGCAGAGTTGATGAGATAACCATCTGTCAGAGACCATGCAGGGAGGTCTAATCCTTCCTGGCCAAACTAGTGTGGTGGGGCTTTAAATGTGGCTTTGAATAATCAATCATGGCCAATTTATTAAATCAGGCAGAAGAGCAAGCATCTTCATTGTTAACACGTACCTGGCATGACTGGTCTTGCCGGAGCTGGTCGACTGGGTTTGTTGGACTGTGGGGGCGCTGTTTCCTCTACTCCACCTATTCCCAGGAGATCACCCACAGCTGCCTGTGAAGGCTGCCCTCTAGTGGTGGATGAATGCTGCTGAAGAACTGAGCAAGGGGAGAAAGAATTGAATCAATTGGACAGAGGTGATCTCTGGACAACTCCAGGGGGTGTTTCACAAAGATCCTACGTTGAAGTTATCTCTCAGTTGGACTTACAAATTATGGAGAGCCATTTGTAGCCTTAAAATAAAATATATCAAATAGTGAAAATTCAAATATTTTTGACTTTTTGTAAATTCCACATCGAGAGCCTGAAGTCTCCTTGATTATAGAAGTCATGAATGATTTGAATCAACATTTTATGCCTTTTAAAATATCTTTTACAAAACATTTTCATAGATGCTAACAGCTTTCCATAATTGTTAAGTCCAACTCAGAGATAAGTTCAACTTAGGATCTTTGTGAAACACCCCCCAGGGATCTTAGGCATATTTAGCCCATAGTTATGATCATTGTGAAACTGTGTTGAAGAAGCATACCGGTACATGTACATGTAAGTTCTACAAGGATATGACCTACAGTAGAAAATGTAGGGTGTTCTTTAGTGGTTGATGAATGTTGCTAAAGAACTGCACAAGGGGAGAAAGAATTGATCGATTGGAAAGAATTCTCTGGAGAATTAGCTCATAATTATGATCTTTGTGTGACTGGGATGTTATGTAGCAAGTGTAGGGTGTGCTTTTGAGCTTGATGAATTCTAATGAAGAACTGCACCATAGGAAAGACATTGGATGAAATGTGAAATACGTTAATGCCCATTACAGGTCAACAAATTTCATGCAATCCTCAACAACAACAGCAACACAAAAAGACCAAAGCAAAATCAAATACGTGAGATTTGTTTTAATTCAATAACAAGCATTGGCAATCAGAAGAGAATAGCTGATCAGTTCTGGCCTTTTTAGACCTCTGTCCTGAGTATGTTATAAGTATTAGCTGTTAAGATATTACAGAGAGAGAGCTCCATATTAATTTTACCAGCATTGCCAATTGGAGAGAACTAATCAATATCATCCTTTTTAAAACCCGATTCTGAAGTAAATTGAAGGTGAGGCTATTGGGTTACGACAGAGAATCTGAAACTTACCCTGACTGATGACTCCAAGATCTTGATCCAGGAGAGATGCACCTCTGGTGACAGGAGGTGGAGGAGCAGGAGCCTGCTGACCAGACACGTCCGTCTCCTCTGTCTCCCACTTTGAGGTGTCAAATATCTGCTGAATGCTGGCCTCAAAGTTAGCCAGCTCGGGGTTGGCAGCACGCTGGTTGTCGGTCAAGAGATCCAAGTCAGGCTTGGGCGGAAGGACCGGTTTCTGCGATGGCAGTGGAGGAGCTGGCAGCACAGCCTCTATGTTGTCTACGCTGGACCTAGGTCTTGGGCGGGGCACAGCGGTCCGAGGATCAAACTTCTGTGGCTTAGGAGGAGCGATGGGACGCTTACCAGGAGACGGGGGAGGGGGAAGCTTGAAGGAGGTAGAGGTCTGAGGATTCTCTGCGGGAATACTGAGAGGGGAATTGATGGTGAAGTTGATACCCTGGGCAAAGGCATCATCAGACATGTCTGATGGGATGCTGTCGTCTCGCGGGAGGCTGGCGTCTGGGAGGCTCTGAAGAGGATCAAAGGAATTAGCAAAGGAATTGTCCAAGGTACTGTCTCCCTCTCCTGGAGGAGTAACAGCAGAAAAGGGATTAAAGGATGCTTTGGTGGGTTGGATCTCTGCCTGTTGCTCCTCCACAGCTGCTGCAAATGGATTGGGGGAAGGTTGACGAGGAGGAATGGGCGGTCGGAAATCGTCCTGCTCAGAGCCAAACGGAGCGTTACTGACCGCATCCATTTCGCTGCTGAACGCTGCATTGAAATTTGGTGTCATTTCCTGCCCGTCATCTTGGATAACCTTGTCCAGGTCAGAGTTCACTTGTGAGAGGGTCAGAAGTCCCGACCCTGCACTGGTGTTAGGGGAACTTCCTTCAAGTAATGCACGATCTAAGTCCTGATTGACTTGCGATATCGTCAAGAGTTCTGGATCCTGGCCCACAGGCTCTGAGCCTCCGGACGGTGCAGCGGTGGCCTGAACGGCGGCACTTGCGTCTATACTGCTTCCCCTATTCACTGGACGCTGCACGCTTCTGATCTGCTTAGAGCTAGTGGGATTGAACGGCCTTGCAGCTAGGATATCAAACTTGGAAAGACTGTCTAGGGACTCTTGTTTGGTCATGGTAGGTCTGGGGTCCGATGATGCGTTGCTCACATCTACTGCGGACATTGGCATCATTATGGGAGACATCGGTGAGTCAACAGGACTCATGTCAAGAAGGGAATTCCCCCTTGTAGGTTGAGGAGGTGGCGTGGGAGTTGAGCTTTGGGTTTCTGCGGTCATGGGAGCGACGGTTGCAGTGTTGGCAGAACTCTTTCCTGCAAACGACACTGGTTTGAAGGTACTGCCGCCTGCTTTGAAAGCATGAGGAAGAGAAGGATCTGACGCATGGGTAGCTGGTTTTGTTGGAGCGAGGGGAGGATCAGAACCCCCAACAAGAGGGTCAAAGAACAGTAGATCATCCAAACCACCACCACCTCCAGAATCAGGCTTGGGGTTCTGAGATTCAAGTGTCCCAAGTGAAAACAATTCATTGGCATTCTTATCCGCAGGTGCGGTTGTAGGAACACTCGGGGCAGATCCTTTCTTTGAAGGTTTGACACGTGGCGGTTGAGGAGCAGGTCTCTTGAATGAAGGAGTTCTAGGTTTCTCTAATAATTGCACATAAGCGATTGGGATGAAGCCAACCTTACCGGCAGGGTTCTTTGCTTCGTACCATTCATTGTCTGGTTTACTCATGATGGTGATGATGTCACCCTGTTTGGCGGAGACATCGTGTTCTGTTTCAGGGTTAAAGTCGTACAGGACTTTCCCTCTTCTGCCTTTTATAGGAGGGGCCCCTTTACCCTGTCCAACATCCAGTAATTGTGGCTTAACAACAGCAACTTCACCCTGCGTTGATGAAGATGACAGCACTGGGTTACCGGATGCTTTACCTTGCTTCAACGGAACACTCTTGGACTTTGTCTCAGGGGGGACGTACCCAGGAGGGATATCCACAACGATTTGAACAAACTCTGCAGGAAAGAGTCCAACGTTTCCATCTAGCTCCCCTTCAAACCAGTTCTCATCAACTCGCTCTCTCAGATATATAGTCTCACCATCCATAAAGCTTAGCTCACAGTCTCGCTCCGCACTGAACGGAAATAGTGTCTTTGCCTTTGGCCTTTCTCCCGTTGCGCCCGATGTAGTACTGGTCCCTTGGAATGCCTTGTCTAATACATCAAAGTTTAAATCAGAATCATGGGGTGTTCCTCCAGTCTTTGGTCCATTTAATGAGTTTGAATCGAGCGCTTGCACACATATTGCTGGTAAGACTCCTGATTGGCCGTTTATTGTTCCTTTCAACCAATCATCATCCACCTTGCCCGTGATGGTGATGATGTCACCGACCATGAAGCTAAGTTCCTCACTGAGTTGTCCTGTCACTTTCTGAGTGGCTCTTGCCTGGTAATCTGAAAAGAGCAAAAAATGGAAAAAAGAGGAGGGTTTTTACAGGCAACTCTTCTGCACAATCACGTTTCTGTTATACTCATTAAATTGTTATCAATTCTGGATCTTTCAGTGCAAAAGTCATGTTGGTGCATTGTATAGCAACATTAAAAGCACAGCAGTGGTGCTATAGTCTTCAGTGACATGTACATGTAGTTCTCTCCTTCTCCAAGGCATTTCATTGGCGTTCCTGGCTAATAAAACATCTAAATTACTCTGCACTATCAAAGTGCAGGAAAATATAGTTACAAAGCAGCTGCATCATATATCAAAGTATAATGATTGTTTGTTTTATTATTATTTTCATCATTATTGTTACTATATTCATAGTCATCATCGTCATCAAAGGAGGTGCGATGGCTCAGTGGCAGAGTAGCGGGCTCAGGCTCGAAACCTAGTCAATGCACTTGTGCCCTTTGGAAGACATTAATCCTTATAACTAAGTCCATCGGAGAGGACTTAAAGCCATTACTAACAAACATGTCATGCTTTCTTAGCAGACAGGTAATGCAATAATCGATTGTTATTACTAGTACTGTCATCATTATCATTACCAATTGTTAATATTGTTATAATCATTATTTCTATTATTTGTATTACTACTAATACTACTATTACCATCATCATTATCACAATCACCATCATAATCCTCATCATTATTAATATATTTCTATCATTAATCAATAATTATTATGATTGATAACTAGTAAGGGCTGTTATATGAACGTACCATGTGTTGAAGCCTGATTGTTGTGTTGGAGCGATGCATCCTTATTCACATAGCTGACAGGGAATATCCCTGATCTCTCTCCTATAGAGCCCTGTAACCAGTGCTCGTCAATCTCATTGGAAACAGTTATCATGTCACCTGTATCAACAAAGAAAAAAATAATTTTAAACAAAATAGAGATTTAATTTATAAAACTCCACAAAGAGATGAAATAAAAGTGACTTAAGCTCAAGCATTTTAGCTATTTCCCACTCCTGACGACGGATAGTCAACCTGTTTAAAACGTCAAGCCATTCCTGCCACCTATCCTCTCCAACCTGCGCTATAGTTCTCCTTAAAACTATAAGCTAAGAAAGATAACCAACAGTCTTTTTCAAGACTACACCAACAGTCCTTTTCAGGACTACACACACTCAAGAAAGAAAGAGCATCGAGATAACCTTTTCAGGACTTCCCAATCCTCCCTCTCTCTCACATGGTGCAACCGCAAGCCTACTGTATATAATCAAACTTGTTTTAATGGGACCATATGTCTACACATTTCTAACGAAACCCGTTCCTTCACCCTGAAAGGGCCGGCCTAGCATTGATCCCCCCTGAATTTGAGTACCCGCAATATGCTTGAAGATGATTTTTAAACAGTAAAAAGGAAAATCATCAAACTCCACGAAGAGATGAAATCCACAGAATAAAACACAATCAAATAGGGGCTTGGTAACATAGTTAACATGAGAGAAAATGGTGCTAAGTAAGTGACTTCAATGCTTGATGTGCAATTAAAGATAATCTGAAAGTTTCAGTGAAAACGGAACATTATCAATGATACAAATTTGGAAAAACTGATCTGATTGATTCCTAAATTCTCAACTATATTATTATAATTCAATTTATTTCAGGTGAATGTAAATCGTCACAAAGCAATGGAATGCCTCTTTATACAATTCCAAACATTTAGTATCGTTATTATTATCATCATAAATATCATAATTTGTAACCATGCTCTAACCTGTCTTGAAGCAGAGATCGCCATCTGTAGAACTGTCATAATCCTGGATAGCTGTGACTTGATATGAGGCTACTTTCTTATCCGATGCTACAGATAGAACACAAGGGGGAGAAAGGAAGAATACACACTTAGAATGTTCCTTTCAAAATGGCATTCATATGGAATAATGTCACGTCTTGCAGCCGATCAATTACAAAACATTTTCTTTTTTCATTACCCAAATTTGAAATGATAATAATCACCTACAAGGACTCACCTTGTCTTCTTGTAATTATAATTTCTTATGAAATTTGAATTAAAAGTGCAACTAAAAACAATTTAACAAATTCTACCACGGCTACAAGAGAATACATTGCAGCTTTGGGATGTATATTTACTATTATTATTATCAATACAATTATTAAGTAATTGGCGTCACCTGTGCCTGGGAGGCGAAAAATAAGCTGAATCACTGTCACTGTCAGGTTTCTATTCATGTTGTATATTTTAAATCCTTATACATTTAACACATTTTTGGTACATTGCTAATATTTTCCATTACAACACTCCTCAACTTGTCTTGTATTTGCAATTTCTAATGAAACTTAAATTAAAAGTGCAATTTTAAAGTTGATATAACCTGAGAAGGCTACAAAATATACATAATAGGCGATGAATATCTTTTAAAATGCATGTACTGTATGTACACCATTATCAGTACATTGCTGTTTTGTATTACGGTGGGGGGGGGGGGTACTAAGTTGAAAAGTCTGGAGCAAACACGGAGACAGAGCGGAGAGAAAGAGTGAAGAAAATAAACAAAAACAAAAACAAAAAAGGGAGAGGTGAGCGATTTAGCCTGGACATCTCTAAATGCGGCTTTATAGTAAACAACAGGTAGTCATCAAATTCATTTAACAAATCAGGTAAAATAACAGGAATCTACTTACTTTGAACATAAAAAAATTGCCACAAGCATTTTACTTTTAATCTGAAAAGAGTGGAATACCACCAAAAAAAAGGAAACAAGTTTGATTTACCGCTACTTAAAAAAAGACAAATCAAGCTTACTGTTTGAGCCCGCATCGTTGAGTGGCTTGACGAAGCTTGCCGGGAACGTACCACTCTTTCCATTGCATGTACCACTGACCCAGCTCTCGTTGATCAGTGAGGTGATGTCCACCTGATCACCAGCTCTCAGAGCTAACTCACCGGGCTCAGTCGTCTCAAAGTCAAAGATGGCTACCACCTTCGACCCCACCTCCATGATGGTCTCTATGGCAACAAGAAGAAATTATTGAAATAAGTGAAATGAATTGAATTAATTTAGTTCAAATTAAACATACAATTGAATTCAAAATTAAATCAAATTAGACTAATCTAAATTCAAGTTAATCAAGGTAAATTGAAACTAAATTGATTTTAAATCAAATCAAATCAAAGTAAATCAAATTCAAGTTACATGTACAGTAATCATAGTAAATTGAATTTAATCAAATTAAACCTGAAATTGTAAAGTACACAAGCAAGGTATTAAAGTAAAGTAAAATAACTAAATTAATAATAAAATGTGCATGTGATTGATGTATTTGTTTGTGAAACAGAAACATGGTTAGCCTTTTAAAATAATGTAATGTTTGTGTTTGTTTGTTTTATTTATTCACCATGTAAAATAATTGTTTACAGATAATGAAATTCAGTGGGTTACATCAAGATATAGTACAAACATGTAGTAGGAACAGTGCATAAACAATGTAAAATGATACTGAACCTTGTAAAAAATAAAACCAATATTGAATTGAAAAGAATTCCCCTTTAAAGTAAAGATTCCTTTTCCCAAACTCCTCTTGCTGCTGGAGAGGGAATTAATTAAAATCAGACTATCAGATTAGAACTGATTAATGCTTGACTATCACATGTCGAATAATAACACAGGAAATCTTAATCAATTAATTACATACAATTACCACACTAGTTCATAGTTGTACAGATGGGGAACGTATACATTTTATAAGTGTATCACACAATATTGTTCTATTTCTCAGCCCTGTATACAGTATGTTGCGTACAACATGAAGGGCATATTGATTCAATATTATAGAGGAGGAGCGATAATCTAATTTAGACGCCACCAGATACTCCTCAACAAAACAGAGCAGATACTTTAACACGCGCGTACATGTAGAGAACATGTAAGTGTGGGTTTCCATTCGACATTCCTCCCCCATCCTTTATTAATACACACTATCTTAAAATATATCTCTTCTCTTTCATTTCATGTGCCCACCCTTCTCTCTATCTTGTCTTGTCTCTCCATTTCTTACTTCATCTCTGCCATTATCCCTCTCTTTATTCCGTCTCTTTTGCTCTCCCTCTCTCTCTCTCTCTCCATTTCTCTCTATTCCTCTCTCGCTCTCCCTCTCTCATCTTCCCTCTCCCCCTCTCTCTATATCTCTCTCTCCGGCTCTCTCCCTCCCCCTCTCTCGTTGTCTCTCCCCCCCCCTCTCTCTCTCCCTTTCTCCCATTCTCTTGTCTTCCCTCTCCCCTCCCTCCCTCCCTCCCTCCCTCCCTTTCTCTCATTTCCTTATCTTCACTCTCATCCTCTCTCTCCTTCTCGTTTCTCTCCCTCCCTCCCTTCCCCTCTCCCTCCCTCCCTCCCTCTCACTCTCTCCATCTATCCCTCCCTCCCCCCTTCTCTAAGCTCCTAAGCACGCAGGAAATTAGTCCATATTGATTAGTTGAGGCCCTAAATGAGATTGCATCCAGCCAGCGATCATCGCTCACTGAAGGCTCTTATTATGGAGAATCAGCTTGAGTGAATCATCCTGCATATTAAAGTATCTAATCCTTAAAGCTTGTTCACATGTAGGGTTAAACTTTGGATTTTTTTTTCCTAGCATGGCTCTTTCTAGTAAGTAAAAGGTAGTTTTAAAAAAACAATGGTATTTCAAAATTGGGTATTCTGCTTTATTGGCCTTGCATCTTTTATCTTTAAAGGTAAAGACCAGTATTGGCAACGCCCCAATTTCAAAAAATGAAATGGAAGCTCTCATTACCAATCATGTGAAAGAATATGTTTTGACTAATACATGATGATAAAAAATTTGCCGGGAAACCGCCTACTAATTCATATATTTGGTAAATTTATTTCTCTCATGGTCTGGTGAGAGAGATAGGGTAGTCCCATATACATCTTTCTGTGTATAGTGCTTGTAACTTTACGAAGAATGAGCCAAATTTCTTATCATTTTGATGATTCCAGAACCTTGCAGATGCTAGATGCTAGATGATCGACCTTTTCTGATCGATTCCACAACGTTTCTTTCACAATGCAATCGCATGACCATTACTGGTCTTTACCTTTAAAATATCCGGAAGAAACACTACATTAAGGCCCGGTCCCACTGCACTTACGGATGCAAAGAGGATGTAAAACGTAAAAAAATCTTGCCATCCGTTGTGTACTCATTGCATACATGTACGTGTTTCATACGCTCTATCCATCGAGCATCCGTCCACTGTGATTTCATCCGCGCAAAAAGTTTTGAGCTGCACAAAACTTTTAGAACGGATGAACTTCCACCGTGTACGATGTAAATCCGCGACAAATACGAGCAACAAACGTTCTATGTCCGTTATCATCCGTTAAACGTCCGCTGTATCCTCTCTGCATCCTCTGGGCATCCTCGCAACTCACATCCGCTGCAGCTGAAAATGGAAAGAGGGAGGAAAGATAAGGTACATGGAACGTCTATACATCGTTAGTAGCACGGAAATAGAAAGGATGTAAGCGTATGCATCTCGTATGTAAAGTATTGAAAGCTGTCATCCACTTACATCCGCTTTCATCCGATAGGCTTCCGATGAACATCCGTTTAACATCCCCGCTACATACTACCCACGTCCGTTATTTTCCGTTCTGTTTTCGCAAATTTTTGGAAATTTTGTCCATTTCTGGAGCGGATGAAAACGGATGGAGCCACCCGCGAAATTTTGCTTGTCCGCTGTGTCCTTTATGCATACGTTTTGTGTCCATCGGCCAGTGGGACCGGGCCATTAGGAAACAATTCAACTTGGTTTCAATTGGATTCTGTATCAGGACAATACAAGCTTCATACAGTAGCATTCATCAGTCCACACGTGTGCACAGAAGCCCGGTGGCTAGCTTCTAGGTATGCGGACCATGGGTATAAATTGATTGATTCGTCATTGCATTGAGCTCACACAGAGAGGTTTCCCAGGGAAAGGCCACTTTATCAGCACATGAGCAGTTAGAGGTCATTTATTTTTAAACCCATGACTAAACTGGCTACTTTCTCGTGGAAGTTTCTTTAACGCTTCAATGGTGCATTCAATGATACACAAGCGAAAGTACTCTTTTCTTCACACTTTTCAAAAAAGTGAAGAAAACACACAAAGTGGGACCTCTTCGGTTTAAAAGATCAGTGGAAATTTGAGTTCTCTTGTACATGTACCAAATGCTAACTAGTAGCTCTAAAGCAATGACCAGCAGCACATATTCTGCATTGAGCAACGGTGAGTCAAATAGGAGAGTATTTCAAAATTCCACTACCCAAGGAGAGCAGTCTTGATTGAAGAATGAATCCAGGCGAAAAAATATATCTGGCAAAAATATTCAGAGAAGCTGATGTAGACGGATGGGTAAACAAATCCAGACATACAGCAAGATGGACAGTACTAGACTGCACTCAGCCCCATTAGACTGCCACTCAATAAAACGGTGAAAATAAATCGTCCTCGATTCATTAATTTATCTGCTTCAACGCCCCTCCTCGGACTATCAGTCATGCAAAGGAGGAGCGCAATTTCAATTTTTCTTAAAGGGATCTGGTAACTTTGTCTTAGATCCTTTAAAAAAAATCCTTGATTTTGCTCATGCTGCAATGATAATTATAAACCTTTAGGGCAGTCAGGAACCCTATGACTTTTACAAGTCAATCACCTGTCTGATAACTGGTAGGAAGATATTTATGATTGAAAATCTAAATCAAATTTTGCATTTGGCAAATGCTACATAACACTACAGTCTATTGAAGAAAATATGGTAAAACCGGTCACTCAAAGGTTTTTACTTTTTGGAGGCACTTCTTGATCATTTTGAAGCACAATTTTATTAGGGCTTCAATATAAGGCGAGGCGTCAAAAATAAATATACCAGCCAGCGGCAGCTAACTGCACTTGTGCGTCCTGGCTGCATTTTTTAAATTAGCTCAGCCGGCTACCGCTGGCGGTAGGAAATAGCATTCAAAAGCATGCGCCGGCTGCCGCCTTTCGAATGGAAACCGAGCCTCAGATCCCAGCCTGGCACAAGCCGGCTGGGCTAATAAGTGAAAAATAATTGCCCCAGCCAGGCTTCGGCCGTAATTACAGCCTCGATGCGCCAATACGTGAGGCGGCAGCCTGCTGGTATCGATATTTTTGACGCCTCGCCTAACACCATATCACAGGCACCTAACCACATAGTGCCGTGCATCTCAGATTTAACATTGTTAAACGATCCCTTTAAAGGGAGACACATCGTTAGTTTCCATGTGTAGTACATGTAGGTCATAATTAGCTGACACCAGACTTGGTGGAAATACCATTGATGGGTGTACAAGTCTCGCAAACAGCAAACCCGTAGTCCCACCAAGAAATGCCCACTACAATGTAGTTTCTCAGAGGGTTTTTCGGATGAGGGATACATGTATATACCAACAAAAAAAAGTCCATAAAGGGTGAATGGTAGAAAATGCAAAGCAAAACTTGTTCGTCAAAAAAATGAAGGCTAATCCTGGTGATTGACAACACCTACATGTAATATTGGGTAAACACTAAACTCCTGAATGGTGTCAAATTTCCCACGAGAGCCCTAACTATGCATCATCTACACATATTTTGATTGCCCCGACACAGTTGGAACTTAAAAGAGCCAGAGGGTTTAATCATCAGAGTTGCATAAATTTCCAACTGGAAGAATTTCATTACAGTAGTCTATCTAACACACGTTCAGGTCAGGAATCAGACAAGCTGTAATCGTGGAAGGATGTTTTTTTTACAGGAAAAAAAAGGGAATGGCACTCTAGCATAGCTGCCAACATTTGATTTTTTGTAATCAGGGAGATTTTTGAGACGCGAGTGCACTGAGCGACAAAGGATTGGGCAATTTTTACAGTAAATTTGTGTATCATTTTTAAGGAATCAGTGAGGTTTCTGAGATCCTATGGCCGATGTTGTTTTTATTTTAATTGTAATAAAATTGTCGACAAAATATA